AGAGGCTTATAGTTACTACTACTATAAGAAGCTTAGCTAAGAGGCGCCTATATACCTTAAGGAAGCTAGTAAGTAGTAGGTTAGGTCTTAGCGCCTTTTAGGTACCTGTCTTTTAGAGAACGTTAGTAATGTCTGCCTCTATTATAGTGTCGTTAATAGTAAACTACTAGTACTACTTGTTCTAGAGGTCTAGAACGACGTTACTAAGATCGGCTACTAATTCTAGAAAAAACTACTAGCCTAATACTATTACTTTATTATAGTAGCTTATAGCTAGTACCTTTTTATTAGCGCCTTAAAGAAGAGAGAGTAAGGCTAGTTCTAAAAGTATATAGCTATAGAGCCTAGCCTACCTTTTAAGACTCTAGAGTTTCTATTAGTCTTTTAAGGTAGTAGTAAGGGCGCTATACTAGCTCTTAGTCTTTATATCTTAGATCGTCTAGAGTTAGTAGGTACTAGCCTACTAGAGGTCGCGCTAGTAAAGTTTAGTTAGGGTAGTAGTATATTAATAGCGTACTACCTACGTTTACTAGACGGCCTTAAGGACCTTACTACTTTACTAAGGTTTAGTACGCCCTTAGCTAACCTTCTTTCTTAGGGTAGATAAGTCTACGATATGTATAAGCTAAGAGGTAAGTGAGTTAATAGCCTTATTAACCTTATAAGGTATGTCTAGTAGCTTAGAGAGGAGGTAGAGCCTTCTAGCCTTAATCGCTACTAGCTCTTAGTCTATTAAGGTCTAGCTCTATCCTAGTACCTCTACGGCTCTCTTACGGCGATCTCTTACTTAGGTAATAACCTTAATTAGCTAGGCGTAGTAGTTAGATCTCTTGTACCCTAGGTTACCTTAGTAAGTATACTAGAGCGTTACTATAGCCTACGCGTAATTAATCGTTAAGTCTTGTTTACTATGTCTCTTTTAGGTTAGCTCTCCTTAAGGTATACGTAGCAAGAGCTACTACTTATAGGCTAGATAAAAGAGGGTCTCTAATTTAAGGGTAGTCTTACTAGCTCTGTCTTAGAGTAGGTAGTAAAGGTTTATATTACTTATAACGATCTATAGCCCTTTTAGGTCCTCTCTAGTAAGCCGCTAGAGAGGGCTAGTCTAGCCTAAGGAGTTAGGAATTAGTAAGTATATTAACTAGATAGTAACACCTTATAGAGTAACGTAATACTAGTCGACGCTAGTCTCTACTACTTAGGTAAGAGGTAGGTACTACTTATAAACGTAGATAACCGTATAGCCTTTACTCTTATAGACCTACTAGTACTTTGCCTATACTAAGTAGTAGACTGTCTTTGTCTATTTGTTATACTATAGCTCTTAGATTACTATAACGTTAGCTTTACGGCTATTATAAAGTACTATTAAGGTAAGGCTATTCTTTCTTATAGTGTTCTAGTATACTATTATTAATTTTATTACTAAGAGTCTAGGATCTACGAGTCTTACGTTATAAAGGGGTCGCTAGACCCTTAGTTAGTTCCCTAGCTTAACATCTCTATAATGTCGTAGCTCTAAACCGTTACTATATCTAGCGCCTTAATAAAGAGGCGCCTACGCCTTACTAGAGTCTTTACTATAGGCTTCTTATTGTTACTTATCTATAGTCTCTTAGGTACTACGACCTAGTAGCTATTATTATTGTCTTATAAGGACGCTAGCGTAACACTAAGTACTTAGCTAGTAAAGCTACTCTTTAATACCTTAAACTATCTAGGTCTCTACTAATATATAGTATATACCTACTTCTTTACCTTAAGGGCCTTAGGACACTAATAGTCTTACGCTACGTATAGTCTACTATAGTTAACGTATCTCTTTCTACTATTAAGTTAGGGGTACTCCTCTTTACCTTAAGGGTACGCCACTCTTATATAGTAGCTATACTAGGCCTAGTTCTTATAAAACCGCCTAATGTAGCTAAACTAGTAGTACTAGAAGTATCTTTAGATTTGTAGGTTAGCTAAATATAGCTTGTAGTTAAAGATCTAGGCTTACTAGATTAGCCCTTGTTTATATAGGCGCGTTACTATGTTAGCGCTTTAGAGGTATAGTACTATTATTATAAACTTTACTATAAAGGCCTTAATAAGCTTGACTTTAACTTTTGTAATATACGGCGTATAGGCTTAGATCTTTACTAGTAGCGCTCTTAATTCTACTTATATAACCTAGTCTACTAGTAGGCCCTTTGTAATTACTATAAACTTACTCTTATAGAGCTAGGCCGTAGGCCTAAACGCCCTTTATACCTAGCCTTAATCCTAGATCATAGTCTTTAGTATAGCCTCCTTAAAGGTAAGGATAGTATTACTACTAAGGAGCTAGTAGGTCGCTACTACCTTAGCGCCCTTAATCACTGTATTAGCTACCGTTACTACTTTAATAGTACTATAACGTACTAAGTCTTTTATCTGTCTATCTACTCTAATCCTTAGCTCCTTAATCCGTCTCTCTAGTATTACTTATACTCTTGTTAGGCGCTAGCCTACTACTAACGTATACGTAGCCTAAAGGGCCGCTACTACTATCGGCCTCTAGAAGGCCTCCTTTAACATCGTTCTTAATTACCTAATCGTTACTAGGTTGTTGTTAGAAGGGGTCTTAGGGGTATATAAGAGGGTCTTTATGTTTGCCGCCTTTAGCTCTACTATTACTATTATCGTTACAATAAGGTCGTAAAGGAGGCGCGACGCCTTATCCTCCTTACCTAGTATTACGTAAGCTTTGATTCCTTATATAATTTTCTCTGTCTTATCGTCCTTACTACCTCTACTACTCTCTAGCTCTTTACTACAGCTCTTAGTCAGGGTATAAGAGTACTAGCTCCTACCTATAAGTAGGTAGTATTAGCTCTATTTAAGTCTAGTATACCTACTATCCGTTACTATAGGCTCGCCTATAGTCCGCTAGTACTCTAGAGAGTATCTAAAGGTACTAATTTTAATTCTATTGTTTGTTTTTAAGTTTTTAGGGTAGTAAGGGGCGTAGACGACTGTCGTAAAAATTTTTTTTTTTTTTTAAGAAAAGTAGTTAATAAGTAAGTAGTAGACTTTAAATAACGTCTTAAATATATAAGTAAAGGTAAACTTATATAGTTTATTTATAATAAGATAGCGACCTACTTTTAATAATACTAGAGACACTATTATAATACTACTATAGCGCTACCTTATACGTTACTTAAGTATAAGGTAGGCTAAGCTATATAAGTAAAGGACTAGTATAAAGACTCTTCTTTAAAAGAGACCTTATAAGAGAACTAAAAAGTATAATAAGCCTAATATAATAGCTTACTAGTATACTACTAAGGTACTACTCTAGCTATACTACCTGTCTTTTTAGTAGATACCTTTAAGAAGTACTTACTCTTTTATAAGTATAAGAGCTCTCTCTTAATATAAATATGTACTAGTAAGGTTAGACTTTAGGCTTTTCTTTTTAAACGTAAAGTACTAAAGGTAGTAACCTCTTAGTATCCTTATAGTAAGGCCCTAAAGACAGTAGCTTACCTAGTCCTTAACTACTAGTAGCTTAATTAATAATAATAGGCCTTATAGTAAGTACTCTACTTAAAGGCGTTATAGACGTTCTATAACTTTATAGTAGTAATAAAGAGAGAAAAGAGTACGTATATACTAATCTATTAGCTACTATCTACTAGCTAGTTCTTATAGTTTAGGCTAGCTAAGCGCTACCTAGCTAAAGAAGAGAGAGAGTAATCCTAGCTAATAGCTAGTACCTTACTAGCGTACTACTAGCGCTTACTAGTATGTTTAGTATTACTAGGCTAGAAGGTTAAGTTCTAGTAAGGTAGTAGTAAGGTCCTAGCGCCCTAGTAGTACTATAACAATATAAGTAATAAGGGTAGTACGTAGGTTTTTACCTAGCTTAGGTATAGTTTTACTACGTGATTTATACAGTATAGAGGTTCTATATACATTAGGCATAGGTAGTAAGAATAATAATAATAATAATAATAATAATAATATTATAATCTTTAAGTTGTAAAAACTCTATTTTGTTAGGCCTCTAGCCCTTTCTTATGACGTTAACGACAATAACTTTATAGCTACTTAAGATATTAATAATCTAATTATAGAAGAGGCTCTTGTATTACTCCCTCTTTACTCTAGTAGTAGTTTTAAGGCCTCTTTCTAAAAATTTTCGTTCTGTAAAAAATAATGTTTTTCTTATACTCTATATATAATCTATATATAAACAAAGATTGTAAAAGACTTAAAAATTAAAGTAGTATTGTTAGTAGTGAAAAAACCCTAAAAGAGTAAAGTAGGCAAGAAGAGGGGGGCTGGTGTAGAGTAAGAAAAAGGGGGGGGGGGGGGGTAGGGGCGGCGAGATGTATCGCTAGCCGAGTTTGCTTTGCCGCCCACACCCTAGCCATTGGTCATAGAAGGGGGCGCCCCCAGCCTATCACCGCGGGGATACACCAAATCTTCGGAGCGACTCGATGGTCAGCTCTGGACTTCTGGCAAGCCAAGCTTCTCCATGAGCCTCTCAATCGTCTCTACAACCGCCGTCAAGGCCTGCATTATTATTAGCATATAGGTTCTTTGCCAGGATATAGGAACGAACCAGAATCTCTTTTCACATCTTTCCCTAACCGTCTTACTTTCGCTCTTATTCTCACTTCCTGCTTCGCTGCTTTGTCTGCTGGCATTCCTGTTCTTTCCTGCCTTAAAGCTTGTTGAAGTCCTCTTTCTATCACGTCCCTTCGTTTCTTTTTGCTCTGCCATTCACCTAGTCTCTCGCTTTTTCCTTTTTTTCGTTCGTTTCTATCCTGGATCGAAGCATCATCGGAATGAAGCCGTGACCATGAACAGCTTGAGCAAGTATCTCGATGATACATACATGACATGGCTGGGCTCATCACTGAGCTGTTGCAGCACGCCGAAAGGGCAGGTCCCTACGCATGGTGAGTATCCCTAAATCGTCTATATGACAGCACGTCTGAACATTCGCAGGTGCCGAGAAGCCCATGAGAATTGAGCATTATCAGCCACGTCTCGTTCCTCCGCCAATTGCGGAGCCGCAAGAGAGACCGTCAATGCGAGGTAGAGAATGGGAGAAGAGGAGCAAAGGTTTCGCATCCCGCGCATCAAGTCGTGGAAGCTTCTCTGTGAGAAGGTCGTTGAATACTAGCCCAGGTCCGCGCAGGCCACGGATCGGAGCACCGTCGAATTTTCGACATGTCGAGGATTCCATGCCCAGAAGGGCCGAGAGATTACTTGAATTAAGCATATACATACCGGAAAATCGATTGTCTCCTATACTCCCTCACTTCGGCGACATCGATGATTTATCGTTTCTAGCGGATGACTCCAAGGATTTGCCAATCCGACCGTTGACAGCTCAAACTCATTCAACGAGCGAATCAGCGCCATCATTCAGAATTCCCCGGAAGCCCGTTCGCTCGAGCTCCTTGGCCTCGTCGGAAGTGACAGCACATTCTCAGCCAAGTATGCGGTCTATGAACCCGCAGGAGCTCCTGGCTGCCTTGGAAACACAGCTCCCAAGAGTTCCACCAGGAGCTCGCATGAGGTCTCTGACAGAGCCCCCTGCGTATGAAAGGGTCAAATCAGCTTTGCACGAGAAGTTTGAGTTGGAGCAACGCTTGAAGAATATAGAGGAACTTATCGAGGAGAGGCGAAGTATCTATCTTAGCAGTCGACCGACCAGCCGTGCAAGACCTACTCAACCCCGCAGTATGTACGCGGAACCTGAAGGTAAGCTTCCGGACCTCTTTCAGAATGCCTCTTGTTAAGTAGCCCAGGACCTATGCCCCCTACCAAATCCCCCTTCGCCGAATGCAAAGACCTACCTCTCGCGGATCAGAGACCCAGAATCGCCCCCTCAAAAAAGGTGCACATCCCCACCCGCCTCAAGTCACTTAGCGATGGATCAGCAGCCTTCGGCTTCCCAGATGCACGAACAGAAGTCCTCCTCCCACCGCCCCCTCTCCCTCTCGTTCTCCAGCCCCCTCCTCGGCCTCCGCTCCGAAAGAAGAAATCCTTCTCCCGCGTCTCGAACTGGTTATTCCCGGGAGCTGAGCACTCTCGCACCAGTTCTCTCAGTTCCGTGACCAACATGCCCAAACCCGTCACTTTGCGCGATGGCTTCTATCAGTGTTTTGAGCTGAGGCAGCAAGCGCCACGGACAAGCATCAGCTCCGCGAGCACTATCCGCACGCTCGAGAGCGAACTCGACGAGCCGACCGTGCCAACAACCGGGACGCCGGCATCGACTCCCGGGGGGGTTAGGAGAGATGCGATGTTCCGAACCCTTTCGATGGACTCGGAGAGGCGCGAGATGAGCAGCGAGCTGACGCGGATGCGAACATTTGGGGAGAAGGAGATAGGTCCCGATCAGGGGGGAAGAATGGAGGGGCCTGCTGCGCATGCGCCCGGGAGGAATAGTGTGGGAGTGGCGTTTTGATGATACCATTTGTTGAGCCTTGATCTTGTGGAGTTTGAGGGTAGAAATAATTCCTGTGGCCAAGTGGAAACTTGACTAACAATTGCCATCCTTTTTCAAGAGCCGAGCGTCTGATACCACTCACCGTGAATAACGCTTGAAATGTACTTGATTCTTTGAAAACTCCCTCTATCTGAAAAGCAAGCATGTCTTGCACTGAACGCCGAATGCCTAAACCTATGCCCATACCCCGCCCTAAACGCCGCCTTTCATGGTCCTCTAATTTATGCTATACCATACAGTATCTCTAACGCCCACCGTAATATCCCAGTTCCCATTACACTTAGTGCTTCCTCGCAACTATGCCCATGCTCATGATTAGAGAAGTGGTTACTTGAAGAGACTCCTCAAATCCTCTAATCTCTTCCTCGCCGCTTCGGCCTTATCCATATGCTTCCGACCCTCGGAATCCATGCTCAGACTCGCCAGCTTCTTTTTCTTCTCCTGGAGCTCCAGCATCTTCTCCTCGAAACTGTTGTTCATGATATAGCGTACCGTCTCCACTGGTCGCTTCTGGCCTAATCGATGGACTCTATCGACAGCTTGTGCTTCTGCAGCGGGATTGTACTGAGGTTCCATGACGTAGACTTTGTTGGCAGTGGTGAGATTGAGACCGAGTCCACCGGCGGTGATGGATACCAGAATGACATGGATGGAGGGATCTTCGCGGAAGAGGTCGAGCGCGGCGCCGCGTGCTGCTCGGGACATCTTGCCGTCGAGGCGTGTGTAAGAGATACCGTTCTCCTGAAGAGCAAGCTGGATGAGATCTAGATGCGCAGTCCAGCCAGAGAAGACGACACTCTTGATGGGCGGCTCCAGAGGATGGAGTTCCGATTCTTCTTTGGAAGCAAGAAGGTCTTGAATCAAGGCCTTTGTCTTGGTGTGTGGCCCGCTGTAGCCGGAAATTTCCTTAGAATTCTTGGCATTATTCTTTGTCTGAGTTCGTGAATCCATCTCATCTTCGACGCCTCCCTGTCGTAGGGTGAAGTACGAGAGCTTGATTGTCTGGTGGCAAATTGGGCAATCAATCTCCGAAAGTCCTCTTGCGATGTCTTCGACATCCGACTTCCATTTCTCGATACACGAAGTGCATAGGATGTGATAGCAAGGTGTCATATAACCAATGACCTCGTCCTTGGGTTCTGCATCAGAATCGACGACATCGCTAGGGCCAATCTTACGGCTGCAGGAGACGCAAATGTCGGCATTAGTCTCCTTCATCAAATTATACATATCGTATGCTTGTTTGGCCGTCAGAGCTGACTTGTCATCGTCATCGTCGCTATCAAGGTCAATTGCAGAGTGCTTGCTTAGACCGTCCATGATCTTTAGGTCTTCCTCGCTTAGTAAATCCTTTCCATGAGCGCAGATCAGTCGAAGACGTAAAATCGATTGTAGGATATGGACGTATGATTTCCCACCCAGGGTCCTTTCTCGCTGACCAACAATAACCTTGACTCTGTCCTGGGCATTCTTGGCGAAGATATCATACATTGCCTGCTCCTCATCATTAAAGTCGAGCTTAACAAGCTTATCGTGACGGGGGGGTAAGTCGATTTTGTCCTTCAGACGCCGAAGTGTTATGCTGTCAACGAGTAATCGCAGCTTTGGAAGAATCTCGGGGTCGCACATCTTGAAAGGGGCCATAATATACTGCGCAAAACTGCCCCTTTCATCGAAAGGCTTGATGCGAAGGAAAGCCATGAGAGCACCCAAGTCCTCAAGGCGGTTCTGGACAGGCGTACCAGTAACAGCCCATCGTCTCTGAGCGGCTAATCTGCATATGGCCTTTGACTGCTGCGTAGATTGCTCTCGGATCATGTGAGCCTCGTCAAGGACGATGCGGAACCAGTTGATCTCTTCAAGAGGGTATACTCCTTGCTTCTTCTTGCTTCTGTGGTTGAACTCGCTTGCCACTGAGCCGTATGTGGTGATGACCACATCGTAATCAGCCAGCTTTTTGATATCTTTTATCCTATTGGAACCATGGTAGATGTACCACTTCAAAGTATTGGCCTTGATATGCTGTTTGATCTGATCCTCCCAGTTGGCTATCGTACTAAGAGGTGAAACCAAAAGTGTTGCCCTGGAGTTCTGAACTAACGCAGTCGGCTCGCAGGCTGGTAGTGGTGGGTTCCTTCCTTTCCTGGACTCCAATTGCTCTCTCTGCTGTGAGGCACAGGGACTTAACTTTGCCCATTCGCTGCCTTCATCTAGAGTGTGGACAATTAGAGAGAGAATACTCAAGGTTTTACCAAGACCCATCATGTCTGCCAGAATACCACCCTGAACATGTGGCGGACTTTCACGCTCCTCTTGTCCAGTAATGACATTGTAGTATGTTTTCTGGCCATTGTTGCCAATATTCAGTCGCCATAAAGAGCTGTTTCCCTTCTCATCGGCCCCCCAAATGCGTTCCTTTTCCTTGTTTGTCATGAAGTATAGGCCTTGCTTTTGATGCTTGAGTAACTCGGTGACGATTCGAGGATCTGGCTCCATCTCTGGTAGATTCTCTGATCTCTCTAAGGAGTCGAACATGCCTAGGACGTCATTTCGAATTTCTTCCGTTGTACGAGTAGGGCCTTGCATCCGACTACCATAAGACCCAAGAGATCTTGGGGCCGGAGTAGGTGGTTTCTGTATCTCGTGAGGGTTATAAACACGAATCCCGGCCTCCACAAATAGAGGCGTCCGCAGCCAAAGTTGCTTTTGAGACAGATGCCGGCCAACCTGGAGAGCATACTTTTCGGGCCCGTACAAATTCAAATCCAACCCATAGCGGCAGGATACCTCTGAGCCGGGGGGAAGATCATCATCCTTTCTTGGTCGTGTAAGGATTCGAGACGCTGTCCGAATGCGCAACTTTGAATCGAGGAGGGGTGCTAAGCCAATAGAAGTATTGACATCCAAGCAGCCAACAATTTCTCGAGTATTATCCACGGCATATATGATGGTAGTCTTCTCCCCCACCCGTCGCCTAAGAACGATCTTGACCTGCGGCCAAAACCCAGCTGAAATGGCTCGGACTCCCGGTTTGGGCGTTGGGACCCTATGAGCGTTTATCTCAGCACCTTCAACGCGGCCATAGCAGACCTCCTTATCATCTGAGTCGCCAACCACAATAACATCGTCATCGACTAGACAGAGTCAGTCCTGATCACACGTCCTGTCAAGTTAACTAACCCGTAGATATATCCACCGCAGTCCCTCGGCTGATATTTTCCTTCTGTCCCTCTTCCCTTTTCTGTCTCAGGTAATCTCCTATGACCCCACCCTTTACCCCACCGTGAAATTCAGCCTTGCTTGCATCGTCCTGACGATCATCGAATATCTTACGCCGTTTCTGTGGCAACATGTCGCGGCCCGCCACATTGTGCATGCGCTCTAGCATGTGGCTCATGCCTCCCCCATTTCCGTTTGCGAAGGATGCGTAGTCTTCAGGCGCGCCGTTGTTGTACTGTAGCGGAAGGTCTGGCTGGGATGAAGCTCCGGGGGAATCAAACTGAAAGGCGAGTCCTTGCGATGGGCCGTTATTCGTGAAGCTATTCTCGACTCTCTGCTGGGGTTGATGGAAACCTCGTGGATTCAGAAGGGAGGCCGGATTCCATTGTGGGGTAGTGAAGGAGGAAGCACCGCTGTTCGGATTTGGAGGCGTATTCGAGGGAGAAAGACCTTGACGACAGACTCGAGGTAAGCATGACTGTCTGAGAATGGCAGAGAGATGGAATGAAAGCTGAGAATTCCCACAAGCCCTGGGACCCCAGGCCTCCCACGCTTGCGCGCGAAGGATGACTGTCACATCAAGAAAAATAGGACGTACCATCTGGTTGGTTCCAGGAAGCCATGAGTCCTGGATCCGATGCGCGTCGCAAACTTTACGGACGCATGCAGAGGTGGGAATAGAAGTGCGCACTTTGGACAAACGAGAGTGCCTGGATAGCCAGCGCAGATTGCAGGTTAAAGAAGGGAGGGTTGCTAAGAAAGCGCATGTGCAATTTAGAGGCGCGCCAGGTGAAGGTGAAGATATCGGGGGAAGAAGAGGAGGAGGAGGAGGAGGAGGAGGTGCCGGTGTGGATGGACGTGGGCGCGGAGGCGGAGGTTGGGATAGGATTTCTAATCAAGTGAATGGATGCGCGCCACCGGTCCTGGACTCTGAGTATATATATGGATGCGAAATCGCGTCGCGTTCTTCTTTCTCCTCGAAGTCGTAGTTGGCGCGGACCATATTCTCTCGGCCCATGTATAGGTACATATCAGGTACTGGACAGAGCCTCCCTTCTATCGCCGTGAGGTGGGAAGGCCTTTTACGATAACAGGCTTATGTAAGACCATCAGCGAAAAACCACAATCCTCCGTAAGCCCGTCCGCAGATCGAGTTCACGATTATATGATGATAATATAATAGTCATGGGCCACTGGCTGTAATCCGAATATATAGACCATGAAGGCAGCCCTCCCCAAATATATAGATAGATATATACCGTATCTGTCTCTGCATCTGCGTCTGCACCCCGCTTTCTATTCAGATCCCTCGCAACATGAACCGCTCCAATTAGATTAGATGCTCCCAAGGAATCTATAGTATGTACGTCTTGCCCTGTAGGAACTATGCTCCCCGTCCTCTCCAGCGCCGTGCCTGAATATAATACATCCAGATAATAGGTCTAGTTTGCCTCCGTCTTGGCCCTGGCCTAACACCACGTGAACACCGGATTTTTGCTCTTAACTGTCTCGAGCCGCTCCACAATCACTTTCCGCTGGTTTCCTTCCATCGCTGCCGCATACCCAAGATCTCCCTCCAAATCATCGTCGACGTAGAACATCTGTCCAGCAGCGCGATTTCTGGCAGAGAAGGAAAACCTCCTGGTTGGGACGCGAAGTTCCTGCGATGGAGATCTCGAAGGTCCGTCGTAACTCATGCGATTCCTCGAGTGACTCGGTCTCGGTCGGTCTGAAAATTTGACCTGGCCATTCTTTACCGCGCCCTCTTTCTGGGTTCCGGCTTTCATACCGGTTGCTGAGGATGCGGAGGCTTGAGGGGCAGATGCGTCCCCACTAGCCCGGGGACTTGCCAGATCAAATCGATTCGCATTGGGCAGATCGGCAGGAGGAGTATATAGACCCAGAAGATCGTGCTGCGGCCCTTGAGCATTGGCAGCACTGATGTCCATCTCATCATCGAAATCCCTGTTATATCTCACGTCGTTCCGTCTTCTCATCTCAGCCGAAGGTCTCCGCATCGGGACTGCAACCGGAATGTCAACCAAATCATCCCAGACACACACACGTGCCCTTCTGGTTAACTCCAATGGCCCATGATCCGCGGTTTTTAACGTTTCAACAACATTCCATGCCTGGCCCTTCATGACAGCGATCTGTCTTGCAAACATTCGCTCCTGGAAATCAGCATCCTGGCTGAAGACTTTTCTCAATTCTAACTGAGTCTCACTCCACCACTGCTTAGAAGTGAGGAGTGGCAGAAAGTGATCCCTAGACTTTTGAGTAAATGGCTGGCCGATGAGTGACACTGGTAGAAATAACCATCCAAAGGGAAAGCTCCGCCATGCATCAGGATGCTTCCATGGCCAAGATAGACTGTTGTCGATAGCACCGATTGATATCGTAGGACCAGCCACTCTCGATGGTGTAGCTGATCTACTAGTGGCATCCATAGGCTCCTGAACTCGGTATGGATCGGACCCGTTTGAGTCTGCTAAGGAAACTAAACGTGGTGCATGCTCTTCGGTATCAATGTTCATCTGAGGTGGTTCGGAGACGATGGAAACGCCCTGGTTCTCCCAGTCCACTTTAATCATCCAATTATCCAGTCCTCTGTCCGTATTCCGCATAATGTAATCCAATATAACCAACTTTTCGAGTTCCTCGCGAAATGACTGTTGTAATGCCTCGGTCCAAACAAAACGTCTCCTGGTCTCATCGGCCCCGGATGATGCGGGATCGCTTCCACCTTCGTCATCTTCATCTGATCTAGTATCTGGTCTGCATGTCTCTCTCCAAGGCCTACCCCTCCTCGTCCGGCCGTCCGTTGGAGTGTAGGCACCATTTAAACGGTCTGGCCAGGGGTGCTCCCTCAGAAAGATATTCGCATCCTTGAACCCCTTAAGAAAGACCTGGAAGCTGCCAACCTTGGGTGGAAAAGGTTTCCCCTTCCTGTAGAAATTCCTGCGATCCCAAAAATCATAGTGGAAGGACTTCGAGGAGAGGTGAACTATATCGGTGTATGGTACAAGGTTCGTCCGTAGTCTGCAATCGAGGGTGTACGCTGCAGCCTCGGAAACGTAGCTAAGGTTAGGAATGAGGCATGCCCGGCCAAAGAAACACGGAAAGAGGTTGCGGTGTATCCATTTGTTCCACTTCGGGTTGCCTGCTGCGTAGGGCTCCTCGTCCTTAGGTTTAAAGACACCAACGACTTTACCCTGGGAGTTCCGCGCAAAGTAACTACCAGAGCTTCCCTGCGAGATCATCTTAGGATGAATGCCCTGTTCGATAGCAACTCGAACGCTTTCCACGATCTCATCGAACTCTGACTTCGTCATTCGGTTGTGGTCGTGATCTGACGCGAGCATCTCAGCCGTCGCGGGTATTACACCTTCTGGCGCCTGGAAGACCGAATGGTGGATCTCCAGCCTTTCCTCTTCCGCCGTCTTCCCCTTGATTATGTTGATCTTGAACTTCGACGCGATTTCGTCTGCCCATCTCTCCAGTCGCGTATTGATCGCCTTGATATCTACCCCCGACGAGTTACTCCGCATTCGTCTTCGATTCTGATATCGTCTGGGAGCATTTGGGGATGTCGAGCCATCTGCGTACATGCCCCCATGCGGGCGAGGCTGTGTAATGGGTGCATAGCGTGGAGCTGCTGCTGCTTGTAAGGAGGAGGTGTTGGCCAGATCATCGTTCTCTGAATCCGACTCCTCCGCCTGGGCAATTCGGGCGTACCCGGTGGTTGGAGGTCGATTCCTTGGCATATTGAATCCGATCACCTAGTAACAGACATGATAGGCATGGCAGGCATGGAGGTTCAGAGAATCGATGAAACGGCAGAGCTTCAATGGTCAGCATACGTCTGATTTAGGTTCACAGGCCGGATACTGTACACCACTCGCGTACCGCCGCCGCGGGCGATCACGTGAAAGGCTGTACAAGGCTGAGATGGGCAGTAGTCCTAGTCAACACGACTGCAAAAAGGTAGAAATAGACTCTCTCTGTGTCTATTATTGGTGCTGAAGTGTGAGCTACCTGTAAACATGTGGGTGACAAACGGAGATCAAAGAGGATCAGCAAGATTCATGGACTGGAGCATGGGGAGCGGAAACAGTTTAAGCTCCGAAGCTGAGTAGGTAGGTATTTATACATGTTGATACAGGTTGTGACTTGCTCAAAACTCCAATATCGCCGACCTTCACCTTCCTCCTGTCCTGGCTTACGGCTTTGCTAATAACTGTTTGACAATTACTGCCACCTCCGCCCTCTCCACTGGCTTGTCCCCCAGGACCTCGGGAGAGAAGACCTTCTTCAGCACTTCGCCCATCTGCATCTTGGCGCCCTCGCTCTTCATAGCATCCACAACGCTCTGGACCTTAGCGCGAATCTCATCTTCTCCCATCGTCTGCACACTGCTTGCATACTCTTCCATGATTTTGCGTTGTGAGTCTTCCTTATCCGCCAGATCCTGTCTGCCTGCATTCTTGAATTCTTCGCTCGCTGCTCGACTGGCATTTGCGGATTTGCGGAGAAGAGCAAGCATCTGCATGTCTGTGTTAATAGGTGTCGATGTCTTAGAGGCGTTGAGGGTTTGCGCGAGGAGGGCGCGTAGGACGGAGAGGCGGTTCGAGTCTTTATTCTGCATGGCGGTCTTCATGTCCTTTCTGTAGGTGCGCGCATTCAATTAGCTTCTGTAGAGGGAAGCAGGATACTGTAGAGGGATCTTGCCTGATCTTCAGGAGCAGAGGCGGAGCAGATGTGGTATCGGTGGCATAGCAGCGACAGCAGAGCCTTGAAGCTCTGATCATTGGCCGGGCGAACATCGTAGCAAGGTAACGAGCGTAGGGAATTGGAGTTGCTCGATCAATGGAGGTTCTACGGAAATATTTGTTTGTAAGGGACCTAGGCAAGCCTTGCCTCGCCAAAAGCTGCCTTCCTGACATCTTATACTTTACGTCAGCTGAACATCAACTTCACTCAGCACCTCTGCCTCTTCATCTTCTGGAGAAGTTCCAAACAATTGGAGAGCTTCCGAGCTTACAGAGTGGGAGGAGCATTATGGTGCGTTTATTGCCCCATGGTTTCCCCCAGGTCACATTGTTTGTTTCTCTTGGACACCTGGATTAGTCTCCAGAATCCAATCTCATGATCCATACCAGATGAGTTGTGAGAAGGGCACCCTATGAAACCTCACACTTCCAGTGTCCGAGTCTTCTCAAATTAAACCAGTTTATCTCCATAAATAGCCAAGGAAAGTGCTAACCAGAGCAACTCCTAGTAACCCGCATGCTATAATTTATGAGGAAGTCTCCCTCCTGCACCACCAACCCGCTCACGTTTCACTTCCATCTCACCTCACCTAACTTCCAAAAAAACACACTCCACCACTGCACACGGTCCGTCAGCTTCATGGTATTCATCTCACCCCAGAGCCCCGAGGATCCCTCATCCTAGCCCATCATCCTCTCCATTGCACTGAACACAGTTTCGGATATGCCTCCCCTCATCGCCAGCCATCCCAGCGACTCGCACCTCCTCGACGTTCCGGACGAGGAGCATCAACGAGGACGAAAGCGGCGTCGCAGTTCCGTAAACTCCCCACCACCACCACCGTCCAGCGGTTCCACTGCATTTCGAGGCCGAAGACGCCACCGGTCAGTGAGTCAATCTCAGATATCCTCTCAGGAAGATCCCGTGACAGCCGGGGAGAAGACTAGATCGCAGTCATGGTCGGGACGCACGTCATCCCGCGGCAGGCGCCAAAAGCAGAGGCCCCAGGTGCCGAGTACCAAGAAGCGACGGAGTCAGAGTCCATCACGTTCGAGAGGTAAGGGGGAGGAGGAGCGCTCTCCTAGACCTAGGCGGAAGCGGACGAGGAGCCGAAGCCGGAACCACGACGCTGAGAGGCGCGGTAGTAAGGTAGAAGACTGTTAATGCTAAGCTTGAATGGCTCCTGGGTGCAATGGGAAGTTTTAGGTATGGCGTTCAGTGCCTGGGAGCTCGGCGTTTGTCCAGGACGCATACGGTATGGTTTAAGGGGCATGGGCTGAAATCGGCTTCTACTTCTAAGATGGACTGTGTATACTTTACAAGAAGATCACTTGCTGTGGAAGCTTGTAAACGGGCACAAGTTGAAACCATTTCCAAATCTCTCTCGGAATCGCCATATTAGTGATATTAATCCCCAATAGGCGCGATAGAAGATCCCCCTCTCAACTTCATATTTGATCCTTTAAACTATACATTTTCTGGACTGGAGACTTTGAGCATCTGAATCATGTCACTTATAGCAGAGGAAACGATGTCACACAACGTAGTTATAACTAGACGCATTCTAGGAGTATTTCAATTCCCATGCAGTTTACATACATGAAAACCGAGACGCAGGACACAGCAGAAGGAAGGGAAATAGTTCGGAGTTCGTCACGTAGCATCCAGCGTGCTTCTGTACCAAGTCGACCACCAAAACCGATGCGGAGATGAACTTTTTTCGTAAGTTCGTGATGTCGTGGGAGGCACTGATGACAATCTCTTAACTGTAGATACGCAATACAGTACCGAGCTGAGGAGGAAATCTATCAATAAAGATAGGATGCATCTACAGCTTGTCATAGTACTAAAGATAGTCAGTATTTCAGTATTGGAATCCGACGTATAGACCGGAAGACTTACGTTCTCGTAACCTGGAACCTCAACCTTGAGACCCTTGCGCTTACGCATCTCCTGCACAACTTGACCGACCTTCGAGGTTCCGTCAATTGGTGATCCACCGGGAAGAATCTGCCAGTGGTCGAAGACGGATTGTGGGAAGGCCTGGCCAGAGGTATGTGAGCGGAGATCAGCGTTGAAACCGAAGGACTCCATGACGGGGAGGTAGGCCTTAATGGTGAAGAGAGGAGTTCCTGGTCGTTGCTCCTCGTTGAAGACGTGACCTCTTCTTCGGGTAAGGACACCGTAGACACCACCCATGGCGTTCTCGGGAACTTGGATCTCGACCAAGAAGACAGGCTCGAGAAGACCTGGCTCGGCGAGAAGGGTAGCGGCGTACAAGACACGACGGGCAGTGGGGATGACCTGTCCACCACCACGGTGAATAGCATCAGCGTGCAGGGTAACATCCAGGATGTTGAATCTGATCGATCGCATTGGCTCTTCGGCAATTGGACCTTCTCTTGTAGCCCACTGGAAACCGGAGACGACGGAATCCTTGATTTCGTTCAAGTATTGAACAGCCTTTGTCTGGTCAACCAGCAAGTTGGCACCGTTGGTGTCAGGACCAAAGCACCAAATCTTTCGGGCATCGGTAACATCCCATCCGTGCTCGTCAGCCAAGATACGGGCACGGGCCTTGAAATCATCACGGGGACCGATCTTGCCAGCCTCAATCTCCTTTGAAACCTCCTCGTCAAGAGGCTCGGCAACCATGTACAGACGGTTGTGCTTGTTGGGCGACTTCGACAGGGCAGTCATACTTGACTTTCCGGTAACAGTCTCACGGTAAGAGACGACAGGGTCGGAGATACGGAGGGGAACACCAGCGTGATCTTCCTCGAGATCCTTCAAGCAAATTTCCAAGTGCAACTCACCGGCACCAGCAACGACGTGCTCACCAGACTCAGAGATGAAGGTCAACACGCAAGGGTCGGATTTTGAGAGACGCTTGAGACCTTCAACGAGCTTGGGAAGATCTTGGGCGTTCTTGACCTCAACGGATCGTTGCACAACGGGCGAAACGGAGAACTTCATAACCTTCAAGTTGTGGGCGGTCTCACTGGTAGTGAGGGTACCGGACTTCAACAAGAATTGATCAATACCGACCAATCCAAGAATGTTACCAGCTGGGACATCATCGATTGGGTCGACCTTGCCACCCATCATGAGAACGGTACGCTGGATAGCCTTGATGAAGAGATCGTCCTTCTTGCCAGGGGTGTAGTTGGGGCCCTGGATGCGGACCTTGAGACCAGATCGGACGGTACCAGCGAAGACACGACCGAAAGCGTAGAAACGACCCTTATCAGAGGTTGGCACCATCTTGGAGACGTACAACATGAGAGGAGCCTTGGGGTCACACTCCCGGATACCAATGCAGGCCTCGTCATCAGGGGGACCCTCGTAGAGAGTCTCAGCACGATATCTCTGAGCAGTGACGGGGGATGGCAAGTGCAAGATCAGCATCTCCAGAAGAGCGTCAGCGGCAGGAAGGAAAGTACGCATGATAACCTTAAGCAATTGCTTGCCCTCCTTCTCCCTGTCTTCTGGGGCAAGCTTGATGTTGAGCTTCTCGAGAAGGGTTGGGATTTCATCCTTCTTGAAGTTCATGACAGCAGCGAAGATTCTGAAAATGGGGTCGAGGATAAATTGGTTGAAGGCACGCTCGAGAGGCTTGCCCTCGTGGGTTCCCTTGTTGGTCCACTTCTTGGTGTGAGGGTTGAAGTAGTTGTCGCCCTGTGCAGGATTAGATTAGCACTGAAATGCAAGGGTACTACTCTTTGAGCCGAACTTACCCAGAGACGCTCCATCATCTTATTTCTGTCAACACCAAACTTCTTGGCATATCGTTGAGCGAATTGTCTGACAGTGAAAGCCCATCCGTGGAGACCGGAACCGAAAGCGACGGTGCCCTTGTATGGGTAAACCTGGACATCACCCAGAGTCTTGTCGAAGTAGGTGGAGATAACGACGTTGACGGACTCGATGGTTCTTGAGAAAGACTGGTAGAGATCTTCCTTGGAGACCTGGAGCTCAAGAAGGGCACGGTCGACCTTGTTAATGATAACAACGGGCTTAATACGCTCACCAAGAGCTTGACGGAGCACAGTCTCAGTTTGCACACAGACACCCTCAATAGTGTCGACGACAACAAGGGCACCATCAGTGACACGGAGAGCAGCAGTGACTTCAGAGGAGAAATCAACGTGACCAGGAGAGTCGATCAAGTTGATCAAGAAATCACGTCCGTCGGTCTTCTGGCCAACAATGTCCTTGAGATCCTCATCATCTGGCAGGTTTCCGTACAGGGAGATAGCAGTGGACTTGATCGTAATACCACGTTCCTGCTCATCTGCACGGGTATCGGTTGCGCGAGCATCACCGGCCTTTGCGGCAGAGATGATACCGGCTTTTGAGAGAAGGGAATCGGTAAGAGTAGACTTTCCGTGGTCGACGTGAGCAATGACGGACATGTTACGAACGTTCGTAGCCTTGTCCATCAAGGCGCGGACCTCTTCGACTGTGAAGCTGTAATTCAGACAATTTGTAAGCAAACGTTCACCGTCTTTATCTCTGGAGGATGATGCCCTCGCGCATGTAGCTTCATCTTGAACACTACAGAGGCCTCGCGAGAACCTGTTCCACGCACGTTTGATGGGACTCGAACTGTACTTACTTGACCATGGTGGCGGTGTTGCTTCAAAAAGCTGATTAACTGAAGTTTTTTCTTGTTGTTAGGTAACGCCGCAGCGTACTGATCAGACTCGAGGGTGGGGTGATATTCCACCTGAGTACCAGTCTATCTAGAGCTGTCTTGGACGAACCACGACAGACAAGATAGAGATGCGCAGCGAAAGGTTGGATGCTTTCGATGGGAGGAGGATGAATGAGGAGGGGAGGTGGAGGTGGAGGGAGGGGGATCGATATGTAATCGAAGAAAACTTGAAGTCGTCTCGCGGTGGGGCGGGGAGCGAGGGTAGTTGAATTCCTCGTCGTTGCGGCCTCAGGTATCAAATGCCCCTCCTTCCTTCTTATCCAGCCCTAGCCCTAATCGACCATTCAGAGAACCGGAAGGGCCAAACAGAATCCGAGTCACGGTCCAGTCATTCGGCCAGCCATTGGACCAGCCATTGGTAGCCACAACCGCAACCACAGCGACAACCACAGTTACAGTTACCATCACAGTCACAGTCACAGTCATAGCCACAGAGTTGTAGAGTCGCGGTCACAACAATGACGATCTACAGTGCTGGAGATCTCTTAAATCCATATGGAGATAACCATGCCTGGGGCTCTGTTGACACCCCGATATTCTCTCTTCTCGGTAGAGTATAGTAATCATCAATACTGTACAGTCCTAGATCGTCTCTGATGTTTGCAAAGCTTTACTCGTCCGCCACAATTAAGACAGACAGTTTCGAGCCATGACGAGTCATTATTAATCCGGTCATCTATAGAATTTACAATAAAAATACATCTTTTACCGTTACCGCCCCAAGCCTTGGTTCCTTTTAGCCATGTCTCTCAACTCCTTTTCAACTCCTTCGCTATGCTGATGCCGGTGCTGATGCTGATGCTGATGCTGACGCCAAAAAAATACGCCGAATAAACACGCCATCCCATATTCACCAAGAACAAAGAAACTCACATCACGAAGAACCTAGGATCTTCGAATAGGCGTCCTCCACCTCGCTTGCCAGCTCTAGCAACGTCACGATCACAATTTGATGCGTCAGGTTCGGGAGCTTGTCGCGGTTTAATCCTATCCATTCGAGTGGTGGCGTCTGGTCAAAGGTTAGCTATAATCCAACCGGGATGGAAATCCAGCCACTTACAGCTTCGCCCATGTCCCTCAACTGCGGTGTTTCAATAATAGGAGGCTCGAGAGCCGTGTAATCGTACTTGGACTGAGGCACGTTAACCTCGGCCGTTATCTTCTGTTGCTCCCCCTCCTTCCTCTCCACAGCCTCCTCATCCGGCACACCTGTAATTTTTACTGCAGATGGAGGGAGAGGCTTCCCAAGTCTCTGCGCAAGTGCTTTCGAGTGAGAAGCCCACATACTGCGGATATAACTTATTCGAGAATAATTCCATCCAACCTCAACCTTGCCTTCGAAAGAGCTCTTGAAAATGTAATCAATGTGGTTAGAACTCGGAACATGCCAGGTCTGCATCGAAGCTTCGACCTTGGGGACCTTCAAAATCGTTCCGCCACGGGAACCCGTCGCACTGCTGACAACATCCTCGACTGATATGTCGCCGACAGACTTGGGAATTTCTACTCTTTTGACGCCGGCGAGCCCGATACGTAGTTGCCCCAGAGTGAGACCTAAAATGCTGTGGAGTTTGCCAGCGTCCATCGTCACAGCAAAGCGTGCCTGTGCATCGAGCGCCTCGATCTTGAAGACCTGATGATCAGAAAAGGTATTAGGGAAGGCCCCCATGTTGACGGCTTTCAATGTCACAATCACGTCGCTGTGGAGTGATATCGGAGACTTGGGCGTTTTCTCCTCTTCGGTGGTCGACACTTGGCTCTTTGGGGGAGAAGGCGATGGTACGGGATGTGAGAGCGTAGATTTACGCTTCATGAATTTCTCAATCTCTGTCAGTGATGCTTCGTAACTCGCCTTCTTTTCCTGAGCGAGACGCAGGAAGGCCTGATATAACGCAATTGCTTGGGATGCCGTTGTGGTAGTGCAGAAAACCTGTACAGCTTCACCGTCCAGAATAGCGACCAAACGGTCGCCTCTGGCATGAGGGCCGTTCCGCACATTATACATCAGGAACTCGAAGGAAGTGATATCAGCAACGAGGAAAGCTTGATAGTCAAATGCTGCCTTGACCCGCAGTTGACTGAATCCCACTGACCCCTGGACAAGAGGTGTTTGATTTAGAGCCATTTCGCGTGCAGGCCACTGGATCGAGGTACGTATCCTGAAGTCCTGTAGAGCAACAAATCCACTCATTCTTCCAGTACTGTCAACGCCAATCTTATCAAACCCCATGCATAGATTCTGCTCCCAGTCTGAATTCTTCTTAGATGAAATCCAGAACTTGGAGATCATGAATGCGGATTTTCCAATGGCTTGACCGAAATCTAACTGTACCTCCAATTCCGCTATTGATACAGTTGCATTCCAGGGGAAAGCACCAGTAGCCGCCACTTGCTGATATCTTTGGACAAGAAAAGTTTGAGACTGCATTGTTGACGTCGTCGGCGATGGTGTTGAAGCACTTTGACGTATTTCAATAGGAACCCAGATCTCCCTAAAGAGCAGAAAGTCTTGAAGTTGCTTGGCGTTCACTAAAACCTTCATAGGGCTGATCTTTAGAATTGCAGACAAGCCACTCGTGCCACTGACATGCTTGCTGTTCATCAAAGACAAGAACACAGTATCCACGTCAAAGCTGCCGGTTGATTCTCTGGAGTAAACATGCTGCACAGATGCCCGTAGGCGCGTAATCGCAGCTGAGACGGCAAAGAAATGGCCATTCTCGATTGATCTGACAGTGTTGGCTGTGAGGTATATGTCATCAAATCGAGCTGTTGCAGCGACGCGGGCGATAGGCTGACAGCTAAGACTGAACTCTTGCCTGCATATACGAACTCCGAGATTGAGTTTTGTCCGGCCAAGGACGGCACTAGGATCCGCGGTCAGAATGTTTTCCTCATCCCCGTTCTTAGACTTCTGCGGCGAAACTTTTCTTTGCAGAGGAGGTTTCTTCATTTTATCATTGTCGCTGACGACCTCCTTTACGGTTGATGTGATCTCCAGGATAAGTGGAACCACCGCAGGATACAGAATGTTAGACGATGCATCCACTTTCACTTCGGCGTTCAGTGATGGTTCGTCGAGACCACTGTCTTTGTATTCGACTTTCCACGCAAGTCCTGGAGTACGTAATACCGTGTTGCTACTGGCATCGGAGTGCGTGAATTGCCCATATCTCCCAGTCTGTGGTATCCTGCTACCTTTCACTCGAGGTATATCCGAGGTTTTCTTGCCTGAGAGATACACAACGGCACCAGCAAAGTCTGCATCGACGAGTAGGGATTCCATGCGCTTCGTCCCGAAGAATGGCTGTCGCCTGGAGCCAGAGCTCTCTACGGGAGTATTCGAGGTTGTAGTGGTCCATGACGCCGATGCAGCGCCAACTTTATCAGCAGCAGAGCTAATCGACTTGTGCAGTTGTGAAGCAGGTATGATGAACTGAGACGTCAGGCGAAGGTCAAGAGATTTCCCAGCCGCCTGGAATGCTAATCGACGAGCGTCTCCTGTCGAGACGTAGCCAACGTTGAAAATGACCTCTGGTAACAGGGCTGAATTGAGGGATCTTTGGCTCTTATCATGAGATTCTGGAACCATTTGCAGCTGGAGATCCTCTATGGTCAATCTAGCAGAGTTTTCTTTTTTTGTTGACAGATCGATGCGTTTCAGCGAAAGGACCAGATTCTCCATCTCTTGCACTGGAGAATGGTCGGTTTCTTGTGTCTTTTGTTTTCCAACTAGCCAGCTGACCTGGATGTTCAACAACTCAAGGGAGTACATGGAAGCGAACATCGCGGCTGAGCTCTGGACGCCCTCCACAGTGTCTGGCTGTTGTTCCTCGTTGATTGAGATACGTGGCTTCGGCTTGCGCAGTTTACGGAAGTACTTCCTCTCTCGGGTCAAGTCTAGGTCTTTGATCTTGTCCTGCAAGTGACCCATTATGTCCACAACCGATGATGCTGTTTCCGCAAGCAAATTTATCTCCAAAGCATCACTCCGTAGGTGGTATGACCTGACTTCTTCTCCTAAATCATTCTTTTTAGATGTTGCATTTAGGAAAGCCACGAAAGCAAGGTTGCCGCAAGGTTCCATGGCATTATTGTTCCAACGGGACATCTCAATCATGATGCGGCGTAGTCCTATTCGGAGTTCTGGGAATACGAGAGCTGGGCCTTCTCGCTCCAGTCGATTAGAGAGGATCACCTGTACGCATCCAAGATGGAAATCCAGTCTCGCCGCATTGTGGCCACCACTCGTTCCCTGGGCATTCGCGAAGACATCAAAGCCAGCCAGTGTTAGATGGGCATCGTATATTAATGGTTTGCTTTCACGTGGAGACTTCTTGACCGCTCGCTTCTGATGCCGACCGAATATTTCCTCTATGTGAGCCTGGACCGCTTTGGCGTCTTCCTTTATGTCGGCCAGAACACTCGAGATCTCGGGCCTATTGAGTGCTGTCATGATGCTGTGAATGGCGGCAGCGTCGAGCTCAATTGGCTCCACAGAAGCGTAAACAGAAAGGAGATTCTCTTCCTCTGACATACGAGTAGTGATACGACCATTTATGGGAGGCATCTGTAGGAGTGATATGCTCTCAGTCTTATTGGTGACAAGGGTTTGTATGTCGTGGAAATGTTCTTTGATGTCGAAATCAAAAATCACTTCTGATTCCAGTTGCGCTGCGACGGAAGTTCTCGCCACGACACCCGACACGTGGTAAGTTAAAGATTGCAGAAGCGGTATACTGATATCATACTTGTCCAAGAAGAGGGTAATATTGACTCTGCTTATCGGGAGCGGCGGACGAGCAGAACCAGACGGCTGCCGCGTTATAGGAGAGGTCGCTGCAGGCTTGCTCTCCTTTAAGAGATAGATTTGAGCAACTTCATCTCCGACAATAAGATCCAGGACCTCGATCAAAGCCAGAATATCTTGTCGAACAATGTATGTCAATTCTTGGCAGTTTCCTGCAAGTTTGACGACGTTGTTGGGTTTGTCACCAGAGATCTGTTCCTCATAGGAACCGTAAACGCTTGGATGGCGCAATTGGGAAGTTGCCAGTTCTTGCGAATGACTCCAAACTCTGGATGTGGCCGCCTCAGCAGCAATCATTAGATTTCCGATAAGTTCAGTGCTTCCTTCTACCTCGTTGCTCATTACAAAGGAAGCCGTCAGGCCCTTGCTGATAGACACGGCTTTGATATTGATAGTCTCTATGGAGATGGAGCCTCTCTTAGTTGCGACGACAACGTGTAGATTGCGCTTCGTGTTGGAAGCGGTATCATGAGTAGAAGCAAGAGAGTCGCTGACAGAAGACTCTTGGGGCGGTTCGCTTTCATGATAAAGCTTCAAAATGTCATCTGCCAGCTCGCATAACTCCCAGTTCAGGTTCATGGAAATGTCGGCGCAGAAAACCTGCACAACTGTGTTCTGTATAGGTGGCAATTTCGTCGGAGAAAGCTCGTCGCCTCGTTGGCTGATCTCCTTATTTTCGAACATGGTCGTGACTGCAGAGAGTGACACCTCATTCTGCTTCGGGCCGGGGTCCAATATGAGTCGGACTAGCTCTGTTCTGAACGATAGTTTCATAGGCCGGGATTTTTGAGGAATCCCTACTTCGGGTTGATCTGCCGACTTATATATCTTCGATATCACAAGACAAGAGTTGATGTTATTCAAATCCCAGTTCCTCCATTGTTCAAAGACTGCAAGGACACGCTGCTGAGAGTTTTCGGGAATAGGCTCCGAGTTCCGCAGACAACGCATTGCTATGTCTTGTTGAGTTGCAGGATCCAGGCTAGTGTACATATGATGCAGACGCGTAACGATCTTCCATGAATCGCTAGTTCGTAAATGGTCAGGAGCCGAGCGGAGCACATATGATGGCCTTGTCAAGAAGAGGGGGTCGGTTGCCTCTTGTCCAGCTGTTGCCACAAGGTATGCGAAGAGCCTGACGCGAGACTTTTGCTGGTTGATACGTGAAATGAATGTCTCTCTCAGATTATTGATGAGCATATTTGTCCGATGCACGAGCGAGGCTAGGTATTCAACTTTACCACTTGAAGTCATAAGTTCAACGAGCCTGAAGACTACACTCATTGAAGTATCCTCGCCCGAAGCTGTCCAAAAGATGACATCCTCGACAACACCGTTTACCGCAGCCTGAGGGTCAGTCAGGTTACTAAACCGTTCCTTGGCAGCAAGTCCTGCTGATACCAGTGAAAAGTGTAGAACAGACGAGTCCCGTGCATCTTCTGGGGCTCCTTCATCCATTGCTAAAATCTTGGATCTATAAGTGACAGCAAGCCCTGACATTGATAGGTCATATTGGTCATGCGTCTCGTCGCGAGGGTTTCTGGAGGACTCGGAGGCAGTCGAATTCAAGAAGCGCAGGCTGATCCCAGGTGTCCGCAGACTGAAGTCTAGTATCTTGCCGCTCCTTATTTTATGTTTGTTCAAATCGAAGAGTTCATTCATGGAGTCAATTTGAAGTTCATCCAGGATATCGACTGGATCCACGGCTTGCATGGCGGTCAGGAGTCCCGCAACTGCGTGGACGGCTTTTGGATTGCAAACCCCCCTGATGCCCGAAGACAACTCAACAATAAAACTAGTTTGCGTAGTATCCTCGCCCACATTGTCTGGATTGACATCTTCCAACTCCAGCTGGCTGGCTCGGACACTAGCTGCGTCTTCTTGGTCCAAAGAGACGGGCGGAAGATCTTTGGTATCCGGCTCAACGGATTCTAGAGGGAAATAAGGCGGGAGGAATGGGCTTGAAAATATAATATTCGTGGGTTGTAGACTTCTGTGGTCGCCAACAGCGCTATAGAACGATGACTGACGACCCGTTGAGGTAGAAGCGTCTCTCAGACGTATTGGAGGTCCGGATCCAGTACCAGTTACCAAACTGCGCGAGCGAGAATCGCCAAGCAATGGTTCTCTGGCAAAGAGCGAGCTCTGGGGACGTAGAACGCTCCTGTCGCTCCTCTGACTTGAGCTTGAGATTGATAAAAAGGAGCTTTTGCGAGTTACAGACTGGTGCCCACGACGCACGGAAGATTTCTTGGAAGCCATAGATGCACTGTCGACACTACCATCGTGGAACACAGGAGGAGGCAATGGCGGAACACACATAGCCGGTGGGTCGACGGGAATCAACATTGAGTCATCAAGCAGTTCCTGGTGTAGCAAGAAATCGGCTCTGTGTGTACGTTGATCATGTCGTTTCACATGCTCTTGCTGAAGTTGTCGGTTTTCCGCAAACTTGAGGTTTTTCTGAATCATGACAAGTGACAATGTTGTTTCAATGGCAGCATGAGTTTCGACCGGGTGTTGGGCTCGGGACCTGTGCCTCGATGCTGATTCTGCATCGACACAACTCAGGTGTAGATCCGGAATTTGGAGACGGAGTTTCTTCGAATAATGCGAACCAGCCCAGTCGTTGAAATTCATTGATATTTTGCCCGTGGATAAAAGGAACGCCGCATCCTCCACATGTAGCCATATTCGGATAGAGTCTACCCATGCCCGAAGGAACGTTATATCGTGCAGAACCGCTTCCGAAATCAAAGGTAAGGCGTTCTCGTCGTCGTCAAAGGAAAAAAGAAAGGCTCTGGCGCCACGAGCTAATCGACTAAAGAAATCCGTGGTGCACTCGCCAGTTATCGCGCCAACTGCGAAATCCCAATTGCAAACATAAGTTGGTTCTGTAGGAGGCAACCCAAAAAGGCGGTTCCCTGTCACATTTATTCCATCTACAAATAACTGCGTGCTAGAAGTGGCACTGTTTGGAGTTGCCGTACCATCATCTTCGTTGCCCTGGGCGAAGGCCAACGTGCTCAACACAACTTCAATGTCCATATAGTAGTTTGTGAACCTTAGGTCGGCAGCAAGGGTCCCGATGTCAATGGATATGTGATTCTTGGCAGAGTAGAGATTGGTGGGAAGAATGACACTAGATTCATCGGCACTCACACTCAATATAACATCCAGGTCGTTGGAAGTCTTGAGCGGTTGAGTGTGGGAAATTTCGACATCTTGGCCAGGCATTGCCCGCAGAACATCTTGGTATTCTTCGAGCGTCTTAAAATGAACATCCTCGCCGAAATAGTTGTCCTTGACTTTAAGGAAGTATCGAACGAAGAAACCATAAAACTGAGCAGTTGGTGCATGGCCACGTATATCGAGCAGTAGCGTGTCGGTGTTACTAGTTGAAGTAGTGGAGCAATACTGATATGTGCCCTGAATTGCAAGGGATTTCAACTGCGCCAGCTCTGTAGAACTCAAGAATGTTGCTTGGGTATTCCACGGTGGCACATGAAGATCCAAGCCGCCATGCTTCATGTGAACATTGAATGATATGTCATTGCGATATGGACGGTACTTATCCAGCGGTATGCAGATATCGGCGTTCAGTGCGGAGCCGAAAATTATGATAAAAGTATTATCATCAAGATCTGATGGGTTGTTGATGATATTCGAATCGTTGACATTAAGATATATCTTAAAGTCAATAAGGTGCAGGTTCACTAGGTACCGAAATGGAGTGAACGTCAAGTATTCCGGCGGGGGTCCACTAGCCCAGTCATCAACAAGATCTATTAGTAGAAACACATGCTCCCGCAAGATGAAGAGTTCGAGTCCACTGCTCTTTATATCAAAAGTCCAAGAATGGTAACCGTTCCACTGTAACGGATTCGCTAGGTCACAAGAGATGCGGTTGCCGACAGACCTCCAGAGTAATCCATGGTTCACGCTCGTAGTGATCTCCAAGCTAGGTAAGTCAAGCTCCAGCATGTTCGAGAATCCGGAAGGTCCAGCAACCATGTCCATGGTATACCTCAGAGTTGCATTTGACGCAACTTTGATATCCAGCCAGCCAAACGGCCGAATTTCTGGTCCCGGATTGCCCTTGTCGGCTTCTCTCTTCCGGTTCTTGTTTCTATTTCGTTTCTCCTGTCCTTGCCTTGCGCCAAAAGCATCCGTATGTTTTGTCCACTTCCAGTTCTTTGACTCTTCCCTGATGGGAACGCGAAGAACGGTCTCATCGACGAATTCAATGTATAACTTGAACTCCGTAGGTACCCTAAGTTGGCCAGGCATAAGCTTTTTGCTTGGGACTGCATCCTTGCAGAGGCTTGGAAAGAAAACTCGCTGTATATCAGCACGCTGCCTATCAGCCCAAGGGCCATAATTGATAAGTGCACCCTTGAATGAAAGGTCAATTCCCCATTCAGGGGGCAAATCTCCGTTGATATTTGCAGTCTCGTCTCCAGATTTCACATCCGATAGGTCTCTTCTATCAGGAACGGGGCCTACGACATCCCAATAAAAATTCATTGTAGCCTCAGGACTATCGACGATAGTAGAGACCGTCGCATACTCAATGGTAGACCATCTAGCCTTGTCATCTTGCTCACTCTCATCAAGGTATCGTGAAAGTCCCTGCCAATTGTTCGAGCCTGGTCCGTTTTGCGCCGGCGTATCTAGCCCTACATTGACGCTGGACGAGAGAGATTCCACGGAACCACGGAGAGCAGGCACGAGGTGCTTGAGTTTATGCAACAACTTACGGCGTTGTCGGTACAGGAAGGAATGACTATGGATATGATGGTCTTTATCTTTGAGCTCAGTCTGATCAGCCGTTTTGCGCTTGATTCGAACGGCTGTTGCTGCTTGATCTTCCTTGTAGTCATCATTGGGCTTCATCTGAATAACAGGGTGCTCAAATTTGAAACTGATGAGCTGTTTGTACTGGTCCAGGGTTGTTGATTTCGTAGCATCGATCTCTCCAGTGGCCTTGTCTACTTTTGTAATGAGCACGCTTTTGGTGTTTTCGTTTCCCATAACGACTGCAGCTTTGAAGCACTCGATATGAACCGGAAGAAATCGGAGAATCAAGGCGCGTGCTTGGTTTGTCTGAGGCAGTTCGTCGTTCTCGCTTGCTTCCGTTTGAGAGGTCGACGACCTTGGGAGTTGTTCCTCGGCAGTGTTCAAACCTAACGTGCTCTTGTCGGTCAGGGGTGAATTGTCCTTCCTGAGATCAAAAGATGAATCCTTCGATGAACCATCTACATTATCCCATTCAGCTGGTCTACCTCCTCGTCTCCTAATTGTGCTTTCCGACCCCACGTTCTCTTGTCGCATTTCCGGTATATTCTCCATGGACTCATTATCCTGTTGTGTCATGCTCGCAACAATGGCGTCGTAGGCTGCGCTCCTATTGTAGACGAACCACTCCACGCCTTTCACAGAAACTCTGAGGCGGCAAGGAAGTTTGATAGGACTTGGTGCGCCCCCTTCTTCGTCTTTATTGACTGTCTTGTTAGAGCATTGCTCGCCATCCTTCTCAGAGTTTGACGGTACACGCTTCGTCCCCCCCTCTTGAGTCTGTCCAAGATCCAACTTTCTGACATTTCTGAGCCAGTAAGCCCACGTAACGAAGCCACTATGAATCAGAATGGTCTCGTTATTCCCATGGTATCTAAAGCCCTTGAAAAAGATTCGCCCCCCTAAAAGAGAGATCTGTAAGGCTTGGATGTCTATGTAGACTCGATATTTGTGCCACGTCCATGCGCGAAGGCCGTACGATACGAGAGTCGCAAAAACCCGATTGAAGTAGAAAACAAAGAAGAGCGTTCTGGGGTATTATTAGTAAAGGATTGATACTCTCCGCGATATTCTACAGAGTACTTACAACACCCCGCAGACCAGTAACTCAACCAGGAAGACCCTGAAGCAAGTATTAGCGGGATCACGTCTCACTCTCTGCAAGAAAGGCCTGACCAATTAAAGCCCAAGTCTGGTCGCAGAGGGGCTGCCGTCAATCCCCCACTGCTCGACATCTTCTGGCCAAACAGTTCTGCTGTTTATGGGACGTCGTTGCTCATGTTGGCAAGTTCCTGGTCTCCATGCTCCAACTTGCCATGCGGCGAGGCTGGATAGAAGCCGGGTGGATCCCCTGGAGCGACCGAGACGATTATCGGAAATCAACAGGGCTCCAAGGAATGCCCACTGGACTCAATCGTTCTCTCCAGGATTCGTTGTCGACAGAGGATATGTTTATGGCCTGCGTGCTGCTTGATTGCAGGTGCTTGTGATCGTCGTTATCGGACTAACTCCTTCGGGCGGTATGCCTCACTCGGTGATTGTTCTGCCGTGCTGCATACCGCCTTCGCCAGTATGGAGTATATTGGAACGTGCCTTGTGATTTAATGCTACGCAATATAAAGGTCGTTGCACTGAACAACTAACCTCTTGATTTGCTTTTTGAAGCCAGGGGTTGTGGACGATGTCAAACCTCGTGTCGTCCACTGCTTAAAAGCGAACTCTTCCCAACGCAACTTGGCATTCTTCTCCCCTATCTCGAAGGCGTCGGATCCTCAACTTGCCGCGACTATGGCGGGGGGCATCTCGGGGGGAACGGGGCAGAAATTGACTCATGCTACTATTATTGTGGCTGGAGTTGCTTCTTTGGTAGCATCGTTATTGTCCATTGTGTAAGCTACTCACTTTCTTGGCTTCTAACTCTACTAACGTCTTGATCAATAGTTCAGTATGGCTCCAAACGTACGCTTCATGGTCCCCTTGCGTCGGAACCCCTTAACTGATGAGATCTCAGCAAAAACTACCGCAAGCCACTCCTCCAACGATATGTCATTCGAATCTTGCTCATGTATGTATCTGCGGCCTATCCATTTCCAACCATCTGTTGACCAGGTTCAGGGTACCGATATACTCGATATCATCATGGTCCAGCATCGTCTCATTGAAGGTTGCGATGTTTGTCGATCCTATCCGTGATATTTATGAGGTCTCACAAATTCCAATTCAAATGCGCCAGGCTGGAGGTTGACTTGGTTAGGCTTTCACGATATATACCTTCTTCCAGCTCTTGATCAACTTTCTGGGCGGGGAACGAGCTTTGATAATCATGATGCATGGACGCGAGCCGGTGCACCACCTATGGCCCCTGAACCACTGCCTTCCAACCGTCGATATCTCGGATCCCCATACGTTCTTGGCCATAAAGCGCGGGATCCTACAATATGCCTGGTTGAAACCCGTTCTTGGTCTTGCAGCTATCATCATGAAGTCCACTGGAACGTACCAGGAGGGATATCTCGGCTTAACATCGGGATACCTTTGGAGTGGAATCGCATATAACATCAGCGTTACTGTCAGTCTGTACTCTCTCGGATTATTCTGGGTTTGCATGGCGAAAGACCTTCGGCCTTTCCGGCCCGTCCCCAAGTTTCTTTGTATCAAGCTCATAATTTTTGCTTCGTACTGGCAAGGGTTTTTTCTATCTATCCTGGTCTGGTTAGGTGCTATCCCCGACGACGTTGAAGGCTATACTCCAGACAATCTTGCTGCAGCTATTCAGGATGCGTTGATCTGTATCGAGATGCCTATGTTTGCTGTTGCTCATTGGTATGCGTTCTCCTGGCATGACTATGCAGATGTCACTATCTCTGCAGCAAGAATGCCCGTTTTATACGCAATCCGAGACGCATTTGGAGTCCGAGACCTCATCGAGGACACTAAGGAGACTTTCAGCGGTAACAAGTACGAATACCGCCTCTTCGATTCAGGTGATAATATCCTGGCACATGAGGGGTCCTCCTCGCGGGTTGCGAGAATGATGGAAGGTATGAGATATGAACGCGGAGGGAAGGGCAAGTACTGGATTCCCCGGCCTGGTGAGGCAACCTCGCGAACCCCACTTCTTGGTGGACCTAGTCGGGGATCCAAATTCCAACAGAACGATGATCAATATACAAGGTATGGAAATGGATGCATCGATGAGCCAGTTCTTGATCCGGATGAGGAAGATCTATACCAAAGGGCCCGAGAGCTAGAGTTCGGCGACTGGAATGTAAGCTATCCCTCCCGAATAAAAAGGCATCCATAGCATTCCCCCTGACCTGTACAGTACCCGGTGATCACTGCCCACGAAGCACTTCGAGAAAGGTGGCTCACCGGACAGCCTGGTCTAGTCACCACCTCAGCCAATCGCAATCTGCTGCAGCCAACCCAAGACAATGCCATCAGACGAGAAGGCAACATAAGAGAGATCGTTGAAGAGGTGACTAGAACGAAGAGCCAGAGCAAACATAAAAAGAGCTCTTCCCAAGCCAAGAGGCACAGTAGTTCTAAGGGCAAGCAAGCCGATAAATCGGATGGCGAGGAAGGGCGGGCGCCGATGTTGAAAGGCATGCTGCGGCACCACTCTTCAGAATCGAGCTCAGCGAAATCCGACCGCAGCCAGCTTGTGGACCTCGTGGTTGAAGACACGATGGCAGAGGATATCGAGAGGATCCGGGCCAGAAAGGAAGGCAGTGCGGGCTGGAATGAGACGGAGCAGAAGCGTTTTGTGTGCGTCACCCCGCGGCAGCAAATTTGGAAAGAAAGAGAGAAAGGAGGCTAACCATGTTGACAGGCGAACGTACGGGAAGGGCACTGGCGAAGACATCCGGGAGGGTTATGAGCCGACGGATGATGTTGCGGCTGTTGATCCCAAGGAGGACGAGGGGGTTGAGGAGGGGCAGGATGTTGAAGAGAGGCACAGCGCTGATGACTCTGAAGAGTCACGGCAGTGGAATGAAGCACGAGAGCCGGCGGTGGTGCTCCAACCGAAGTATGGCCTGGACGGCGAGGCGTTTGAGAATGTTTGGGGCGAGGCTTCGACGCAGGCAAGAGAGCACCCTTGATTTGATATACAGTACAAACACTACATGACAGCAGATACCCTTCTTACCCTTCTTTAGAGCCCGATGTTTGGGGAGGGGGGGGCTATGGGGAAGAATGCATGGCGAGGGCGTTGGGGTTGGGTGTTATTATAGTTCTTCCTTGGGGCTTGCTTGGGCTTGGGCTTGATGAATGCATAGAGATTTCGCTTCTTCACGTACGGAGTAGCTACCTTGTCTAGGTTCTTACCTAGGTACCTTACCTCACCTAAGGTACCTTAGGTAGGCAATATAATAAGAGGAGATATTCTCGCCTCCAGAACAAGGCAGGTAGGGCTGTGTGTAACCAACCACGCCTCAGGCGCCTCAGGCATAGCAGGCCGCCGCGCAAGTCACATGAACGAATATGGCTGCGAGTCAGGCTGCAGGGTGCTCGATTCGGTGCAGCGGAAGACGCTCCCGGAGAGGCGCTAGGGGCTGGATCGGGCGTAGTCAGGCAGAGCCGGCTGCAGGGACGAGCCTCCCGATAGGACAGGGCCGGATGCGAAGGGGGTACACGGAGCGACATGGTGATACGGCGGGGGGGGAAGAGGCTCGGGATGGTCAAGGCGAGCGAAAGGGGGTTTATATAAGGTGGAGGAGGGTAAGGGTAAGGAGGTGTGGATAGGGATAACGTGGGTATAGATGTATCAGGTGCCTACATGTAGATATATAGAATAGGTAGGTACCGATGTGTACCTACGTGTACCTTTAATATCCATGTGCGGGAGTCAGTCAATATGTCAATACATCATATGTAGGTAGATACAAGAGCAAGAGAGGTTGGTGAGCGGTCCCGAGGGATCTGGTTAGCTTCCACTCAAACCCCTTTGGTCGATGGAGAGCCCGACCATTTATTATCACGCTCCCACAGGCGGCTCGAGTACGTCCGCAGCTCAGTTCCCGCTGTATAGAGTCTATAGACCTGCCCCATCCCGCTGCTGTTTCATGCGGCATCCATGGACCGATCGGGTGCTGATAAGTACCTGCATGTACCTCGATGTACCTCTCATGACTTGTCAGGCCTGATCGCGGCTTGCTCTTGCTCTCCCTATTCCCCCTTACCCCCTCCCTTCTCTCCTTTTCCTCCTCTGTCTCTCCCTACCAAGCGTCTTCTTCTTCTTTCCATCATCTTTATCATCATCATCCTCATCTCCTCATCACCATCTCTCGGCGCTACTCCCCAGCGGATATCTCCCACAAGTCTTCACAATCTCTCCCTTCTGCGGGACCCAGGGGTATCCCCGTCTCTATTCCCTCTCATTGCCGGGGCCAGACTCCTTTGACGAAAATAAGTCCCCTCTCCATTTCAACCTCACCTCGCGACAACTTGGTGCGCGATGCAACACCTGTTCAGCGAACCGTCGATTCTGTTGTTCTCGGGAGTCTCTGGTCCTTCGAGGGGCATCTCAACCGCACTGCAGTTTGCACGAAGAGGATTGGAGGAGTTGGCAGCCTAGGCCACTTCTCAACGTCTCGAACGACCTGACCAGCAGTGTTCCGACACGTTGCCCAGGGACCAGAGGCTTCCACACCCGCTCATAGGTACTGCTTCTGTTCCTAGAGATCGCCCCTGGATTCCGAGGCGGCGCAAACCTCTCTGCATATCATACGTCCCTGGACGTGTCCTGCCGACCCGAGGCTGCTATGGGCTCAATACATCGGGGGCAGAGCACAATCACTTCAAGTTGGGCTACTTGCAAGTGACACCAAACAAAACAGGAGTTCCACAATGCCATATATTCGATCCTGGCTGATAGTCAACCGGAAAAGCAAAGGAAAATACATTTGTAGCGCGTCTCAAAATGAAGATCTCTCATTCCTCGCCCTTTTCCTTGAATACCACGAGAACCATAAGAGGACCCGACTGGATCATAAAACAGGACCATCAGGATACACAGGCGTGAGGAAGCCGGCTTGACTCCTCTTCGCGGCCTACTGAGCTGCATCCAGGTTCGTAGGAACCCTAACCAATCATCAATATGTTGTGTGATCCATGCTCCTCAAGGTATACACTTCGCTGACTTGGTTGTGGAACTTGGTTCGACTCTCATTCTAAATAGGTTCTTGACCTATACCTTCGTTCCATCATCGATGAGAGCGTGGCTTCCTGCCAATGCAAACATATAGGGGAAAGTACGCCTGCGAACGGGGTTAGAAAACCCCAATCCGTTGTGCAAGTGGATCATCATACCTTGAATGCAGGATTATCGGCCTCCAGACGTGCCCGAGCTATCAGAAGGTGCGCGTCCTGGATCGGCATCCTATCAAACCATGTTAGCATTGGAGATGCTGCTGGTGAAGAAGCCTTACCCCAATCTCTCGGTGAAAGGATACAAGGCCATAGAGGAAAGCAAGCGCTGAACATTCTCTCGATTGGCAACACCAATTTCGTACTCTCTTTGGTCTGTGTGGTCAACATATCAGAATTGAGCCCCCCTAGCATGGAAATGTGTAACCAACCTGTCGACCAGCCACAAGTGTGCAGTGGGATAATGCGATGCTCGACGTCGACAAATCCCGCATCTCTCATCAAGTTTGCCAGTCGGAGCGGGACCCGCAGGTCTTTCAAGCCTTCCATGCTCTCGAGGTATCTGGAGCTCCACTGCTGTAAGGCATGAGCTGTTCAGAAGGCGTCAGTCAACCTCCGTACGCCAAAAGTTATGTGGTGACCGACCGTCGGTCAGGCTTCCGTTGTCTGACTGGACATTAAAGTATAGTTCAACCATCTGGCACCACCCTCCACCTCTCGTAACACGGAAAATATCTTGAAGATAATGCCTCCACCGGGTGGAATGTATCCCCGGGGCCATCATCTGAGAATGAACGAGATCGAAGTTGTGGGATGGGAATGTGAACCTGTTCGCTCTGTATTAGCCCTACTGCTTTCAAATTCTGGCTGGCAAGTGCCCACCTCCGGTTTAAATCATCTACTTGCAGGTAGAGGTTCTCCGGCATTTCTTCCGGTTGCATCGATGGATTTATATCAACTCCTATGACCTATGGTGAATCCGCATGTCAGTCTGTCTGAGATCTCTGAAGAGTTCTCGCGATCCGAACTGGAACATAACCAGGTTACAGTTGGTTTAAGTAGACACCAAGCAAGAAGCATCCGTACGTCGATGATCAAGCTTTCGGGGGGAAAAAAGAAGGAAAACGCACGTTTTTTCCAGCAGCATGGTAACGGGACCGAAAACGTTTGAGGAAAGTGTACGACGTACCTCGCATCGGGGGTGTTGCTCTGCCACTTCAGATGCCCATGATGCTGTTCCATAGCCGCAATCAAGTATCCTTCTCGGTCGAGGCAATGGCGGGAAAATAAGTCGACCGTCGAATGTCCTGCTGAGCACATCGTGCATGATGTGAAGTCGTTCGATTTCGTCCTGAAGATGGCTTAAGAGGCAGTAGCTACTGGCTCTTCATCGGGTGTCTTACCTCATCTGTAGGAGCAAGATAGCTCAGGTTGGATATCGCATACTGCTGATACTCTCGATTGTGGTAAAAGACCGTCTCCAAATACCTTTCGTCAAGTTCTGCTGTATTCTCTTCTGGGTGGCTTTCTCCGTGTCTCTTTTAGCGCTCGTCTCTCACTTAGGATGGGGAGAAAGGGGGGCTTGCCTCGCCATTATTACCCGCAAACACTTCCTCAGACCTCGCCTTCGTTTGGTCAATAAGGAAAACAAAAGTTGGATTATAAGAACGCGGAAGTCTACCACGTAACTAGATTATAGGAGGTACGATTTTCGAAGACCATCTCCTCCGAAGTAATGGCTCATGAGAAGTCATCTTCTTAGTCGATAGAAGAGCATTGAATCTTGGATGCTCAATGGTCCGCCATCGGGATTCTGGGTGTGTGGGGGCAGCCTATCCGGTCCCCTGTTCCGTCGAATTCCTGTCACAAGTCTCAGGTAATGTCTACCCAAAAGCAACCAGTTCAAGAATATGGGCCGCACACATACTGTAGTCTACCAGTGTGATTTGCTGAGGGAGTTACCAGGCCCCGCGACGCGTACCTTTTGGGCCACCAACATGAGACGGCCTCAAATATTTACCAATGGAGGGGTAAGCAGCCAACAGGAGAGAGTTATGCGATTATTCTCCATTCAAAAGGAGTAGTTCAGGGCTCTGAAAAATCGTCATTCGCTGGCCGCCGACCTCCTCGCACATGACAAGGTCCTGGGGCATACTCATGCTGTGCTCCCACGTCACTTTTCAAGTAGCTGACCGGGCTTTTAGGAACACAACTCCATTTCAAAGCCAGCTTCTTGACCCTCTATGGTCTCTCTCGCCGTCCAATCAATTTAACGCAAAATAATTGTCATCTGTCACATCAGCGGCACTGCCCTCTGGCCTAGCTCGGCTCTTGAGCATCTCCTTCGGGCGTAAAACGGCGTGTGAACGATTTCATTGACAAAATTAGGGCAGAAGTCTGATGAGAGGATAGTAGTAGGTCTACGTCCCGCACCCGAACCCCAAAACTACGGCCGTTACACGCAGGGATGTAGAAAACCGATAGTGTGGTTCTTGGGAATCCTTAAGTCATATTACACGCATGGATATGCAACTATCATCTACACAACGGCAGCACAGGGCCTGGATGTTGGGGAAGAGGAGTGCAACAGTGCGTCCCATCTGCACTGCAGTATGGGCAATTGGTGGTTGAGCCGTGGGCTACCCCTCGGCTAGAATGACCTGGAAAGTGGTGTGGATTGCTGTTCAAGCATCAGGAGTTTCGCTTGAGGGCAATCAGCTCCTTCACGGCCTGGTGGTGTACTTCGGCCTCGCCGTTTTTAATTGGGCCTCCCAAGTCAGGAAATGCTCAGGATCTTTCGAGGCAAGTTTTACAGTGATTTCCTCCAAGAAATCGTCAGTGCATATATACCTGGGAAGTTGCGTGTACCAAGGAGTGTGGCGACGATATCCACAGAGTAATGAAATGAAGCCCCCTCTAGTTCGGCTCGCCACGAGCCGGCAAGCGTCCGCCGATATGATACGGAGGGATCGTGGATGACTATACCAGAAAGAACTGGACGATTACTTATTTCTTCATAGCTGCCGCCGTTGTCCCTAGTTCCTGGAACTGGCGGTGAGGGGCCCGCTTGCACTCGGTCTTCCAGCCACGAGGGCATAATCTTGTCCCATCTCTCGCTACCGGAAGTTGATAAAGACTTAAGAGAAGGCTTTGGGAAGGAGCTTTCTCTCCAGCTCTGCACCTTGTGAATACAATAGTCTTGTCTTCCCTGAACAGCATTTAAATTCGATGCATTGCAGCCTAACCACTATAGCTTGCGAGCTGGGCCAAGCAAGTCCAGTTTGCGTCGATCTCAGGACGGAGATTAGGTGGTTGACGGCGTCTAGATATTTGGGCATGTTCAAGTTGTATCTCACAAGCCATCCGAATACGCGCGCTGTCCTTCACACATTGTCTATTCATAACCCACCGAGACTGGAGTAAACTGCAGTAGAGTCATACTCTGATACACCCATTCTACGATTTCAAGTGTTGATTTTCTTCTTGGTGAGAATTTGTATGGCTATTCTGTCTTGACGGGACGCCCAATTTAGGCAAGATGAGGTATGGTAAGGTCGTAGGTATAATCTGTTCGTGACACTGATGAAAACCCATGCAACCTTGACGAGTGCAAAGGAAAAAAGGAAAGCAGAAGCAAGCCCCATACAATAATATATCTATCTTTTCCCTCCCAGAACTCCATGCCTGAAACAAAGGAAGCTGAAGCAGACAGCTGTGACATTGACAACGCGTTGACATTACGGTTCGCCCTCCCACTAACGACTGTTCGTCTTGCCCATGCCTCTCTTTCCGGAGAACTGCGTGTCTTGTTAGCAATAACGAAGGCAGAGGGGTGGGTGAACTTGAAGAACTTACTAGATGCTTGGGCATCGCGGTACTGATGTGCCTGTCGGCCTCTCCCTGCCGCGCCATGCGGTTCATCTTCCGCTGACTGATCTTCTGCGCCCTCTCGGCCTTGCTGCGCACGACCTCGTTCTGCACACCGTCGTCGCGGCGGTTGCTCTGGCTGCGCGCGCGGCTCTTGGCACGCATCTTGGCCTCGTAGCCAGGGTCGTCGATGTCCATGGCATCCTCGGTGCCGGTGCGCGAGCGTAGGACGCTGCGGCCACGCGACTGGGAGCGGGCGCGGGCGGCGATGGCGGTGGTGTCGAGGCCGAGCGAGTCCAGGTGGTCTTCCATGTCGGTGAGGTTCTTGCGCATGGCGGTGCGGGGGATGACGGCGCGGTTCTTGAGCGACTTCTTCATCTTGGCCTCGTTGCGGATCAGCTGGCGCTTCTCGCGGATCAGGTCGGCCTTCATGCGGATCTCGGCGTCCTCGGCGTCTTCGAGCTCCTCGTCGGAGTCGTAGTAGCCCTCGGCCTCTAGCTTCTCCTCCTCCTCTTCCAAGGCGGCCAGCTTCTGCTCGATGTCGGGGTCGATGAAGTCGTAGACGTTCTTGCCGTCGAACACTTCGGGAATCTTGTCGTGCTTCCATTCGGGGTTCTCCAGGATGTACTTGTCTTTGAGATCGACGTTGTAGACTCCTGGCCCGCCCTCTTCTTCCTCGATATCCCGGGCCAACTTTCTCCGTTCCGGATCGTTCTTGTCATATTTCTTCAACGTCTTGACGGCTTCAGGGATGAAAGTCTCTCGGACAACCCCGTCCATAGGTCTGGCGACATGGATCCGCGCAAGGACGTCTCCTAATCTACCACCAACGGCACCGCTGGTATTCGTTCCCGCCTTGAGCTTTTGCGCTACGCGATCCGCGATTAAGCGTTCACACGCAGCATTCTTAACTTCTTGGACACCTTCAGAGGTAGTGCACGAGAGCTGTAGCATCTCGACATCTCCGGGTTTCAAGAGCGCTTGGAGCTGGGCCTGGGTCTCCTCGTCGAGATCTTCGGGTCTAGTAACATCAATCTTATTAATGACGATGAAAACGAGCTTGTTTGCAAAGAGAGGCTTGATGCTCTGGAAGAGCTGCATCTGAGCTTGGACTGTATATCCACACTGCTCTGAGAGGTCCATGAAATAAAGGATAGCGGATCGGAGATGGGCGATAGCGGTGATGGACTGCATTTCAATGGTGTTCATCTCCTCGAGAGGGTGGTCTAGGATACCAGGGGTATCAATTGCCTGGAAGCGAAGGTATTTGTAGTCAAAGTGACCAACGAATAAGCTCTTGGTGGTAAAGGCATACGGCTGGACATCAACATCGGCCCTCGTTACGCTCTTCAGAAAGCTTGATTTCCCCACGTTTGGATACCCACAGATGAGCAGTGTTCTCGTATTGGGATCGATGGAAGGGAGACGACCAAGATGCTGTCGGACTTGATCGAGGTAGAGGAGGGGATCTTTGAGCCTTCGGCAGATGGTGGCCATTCGACCCAATGCTGCTCTCTTGAGTTGTTTGCATTGGAAAAGGGACTGAGCATATTTGAGAAGTCGGACATAGTCTCTCGATACGATCTCGATGAGATGTTTCGCGGTGGACAGCTGCCCGAGAGCTATTCTGAAGTGGTCTGCATCGTAAAGAGTGTTGAGAAGGTCTTTGTGGAAGGGATGGATGTCTTGCAGGCGGGGGAAGCCATCCAAGATAAGGGAAAGCTTCTCGGTGAATGTTTCTTGCGTGAACTTGACCTTTCGGGTGTAGAAATCTAGGGTAGTTTAGCATATAGACGCTCCCCGGGGAAATTTCATCTCGTACTTCTGATTCTGCTAATTTGAAATCCTGAACGGATCTGTGTGGGTAGCCGTCGTTGGGTTCGACTCAAGACGATATCCAAAAATTCCTGAGACGTGGGCACCGGTTGAATATCCTTCCAAGTGGTCTTCATGGTGGGCAACCTAGGTGTCGACTCTTTAAGTCGAAATCAATGATGGCGATGTTTAAAAATTCGAAGATTTCTGGCGGTGTCTTAAGAAATTCTGATTTTGCCAGAGCGCTAGTCTCTAATCTTATCGCTAGCCGAGCGCTGCCCCACGTCGAAATTTTGGAGTGAAAGGTTCCCTCGTGGATAGTACAAGTAGAACATAAACAATATTTCACACTCAAGTTGCTCTCCCATCCTTCATCTGCAACAGTTCCGTTCTACCAGTCGCTTCCTACACATCTCCATCATGGGCTCGTCTTCGTCTCCCGAGATCCCCCCCTACAAGGCTGATTTCCTCAAGGCCGCGATCGATGGCGGGGTCCTCAAATTTGGCAGCTTCGAGCTGAAGTCCAAGCGCATATCACCTTACTTCTTCAACGCCGGGGATTTCTACCGTGCAGATCTGCTGCGCGCCATTTCGACTGCCTACGCGAAAACAATCCTCGAGACAGAATCCTCTTCCGCCCCTCTGGAGTTCGATATCTTATTTGGACCGGCATACAAGGGAATCGTGTTAGCATCCGGGACTGCAGACAAGTTGGCAGAACTGGCTCCGCAGAAGTACGGAAAGATCTGCTATTCTTTTGATAGGAAGGAGGCGAAAGACCATGGGGAAGGGGGTAATATTGTGGGAGCTCCGTTGAAGGGCAAGAGGATCTTGATTGTGGATGACGTTGTCACCGCTGGGACCGCGAAGAGGGAAGCAATTGACAAAATCCGAAAGGAGGGGGGCATTGTGGTGGGTATCCTGGTAGCGTTGGATCGTATGGAGAAACTGCCGTCACCAGATGGGGATGATACTAAGCCTATGCCGAGTGCTATTGGCGAAATCAGGAAGGAGTATGGTATTCCCGTATTATCAATCTTGACACTGGACGACATTATTGGGGGTCTGAAAGGAAGGGGATCAGAAGAGGATATCAAGCGATTGGAAGAGTACAGAGCGAAGTACAAGGCGAGTGATTAGACAGACAATGTGGTACTCGGTTCTAATACCCGCGATCTGATGGAGATGCCAATCCCAAGCCTAACTGAAATGTGCAAAGACCTTATAACTGTACCTTGCACTAAAATCCAAATTTGGGTATCAACAGAAAGACCGTCCGCCACAAGATCCAGGGAGCTTACCTAGCCATATGCTGCTCTTGGTTCCAGTGCCTTCAAATCAAAGACCTTGAGGCTTATGTTAATTGGTACATCCTTTCTCTCTCAAAGATCAACTTACCATGTCGTACCATCCGCCCCCTCCAAATTGGCAACTGCTCATCCCTTGGTTGGTGAAGCCAAGTTTCTCGTACCATTGTATTTTATGCTATATATCGAGTTAGCATTGGAGAAGAGAGGGGAGAGACAACGGTCAAGAAATAGGGCAATACTCACATCATGAGCAATCAAAGCCAGTCGATCCGCTATACCAGCGCCATTCATCTGCTGCATATAAGCCATCATGAGGACGCTCCCAAGACCTCGTCCCTGAAACCGTGGTAGAACAGCTACAGAATGGAGAACAATGGTCCTTCCACCTTCCTGGTGGCCAAGTCTCGAAGGAGTTGGGGTTTCGGAGTTCCAATCACGGGGATAATCCATAGAATCATCTGTAACTAACGGGGTTGTTGTTTTGGCTGCGACAATATGGCCGATCAGTACACTGATGGCTCCGTTTCTTCGCTTGGTTTCTACTGGCCGACCAGTTGCGAACGTCTCGGCTTCGACGCCGGAACCTGGCACCATAGTGCAAAACATCCCCAGGCAGAGCTCGCCACACTTGGTGAGCCTGTAGATGAACTGTTGAGTGTCAGTGACCAGCGGAAACGAGTAGATTATCACGTAGGCAGTCCCAGGAGTGGGACTGATGCAACGCGCTCACCTTCTCCCTCGTTGCCCTCTCTTCTGGGTTGGGGAACGCCGCGTTCTCAAGAGCCACCACAGATTCCAGATCGGCGATGGTGAGGGGGCGCGTGTAAGGGTGGAGATTCATAGGTCCTCTGAAGTGTTGGTCCTCGGGGACGATGACAAACCCCCTCTGGTATGCCGGAGGATCCTCATCGGCCTTGTCGGGTTCGTCTGTCACCATACTCGGACTCTCTGTCAAGGGAACGGCCCCCGCTGCGGCAACGTGCGCCGCTTCCTCTGCCAGATTACGAGGCATTGCAGTATGGCAAAGGTAGACTCAGCGGAGGTGAGGACGATAGACGATGCCCCGTGTACGAGGAGACTAAGTAAAACCCAATAGCAGACGGGGCGCTCTAACAGGAGAATAGGATGACTGATGCTCCGGGGTGTTGCGTTTGAACGTTTCCAGTAGGCGGGGTACCTTAGGTGAAAGGTAGTGAGTGTAGGTACCTTGGGGTATTGCGCGGAGAGGTTAGGACTGAGTAGGAGGCACGGCGAAGAGAGTTTGGGTACATATAGATATATATGTGTATATATATGTTGTGTATGTCCCGACGACTATGAGCGTCTCGATGCATTATTCAAGTTCCCACGGGTCAAGTCAACGACTGAGCCACTCACTGCCTGGCGTGAGAATCAACGCCACCAACCGTGGAGAGGCGCTAGCAGCCTTGTGGGCCATATGTGCTTTGAGCGTTTGGTTGGCACGCCCTGCACGTACTTTTTGTATAGCCTTTATGCGCGCCAATTTGTACCTACTTGTTACTCCTATCTAATCTACTTAGCTATTTTCTAATCTATCTGCATAAGGTAGCTGACCAACTGCAAACTGGTGAAGCGCGTGGGCGGTTGAGAAGACGAGTCACGGTGGCTACCTAAGGTATGTATGTAGAGTTCTATTAAAAGCACTTATCTTATTTATTAGATCTATTAGAACTAACGTAGGTATAGACACACATCTAAGCTGGTATGGCCTTGCCTAATTATACCTCTACCCCCCCGCGTAAGGTAAGGTACCTTGAGCCATGATGGGCCACCGATATCATGTGATCGTCGTTCGAAGTTGTCCGACTACGGTGTGCCAAACGATCCTCTGGTCTTCAGTTCTCTCCGTATTCATATAAAACCTTCTTCATCATCATCCTCTTTCCAGATTCCAATTCTCGCAGGAGTGTATATACATAAGGACCCTGCGACAACATTCCTAGGTGCGGTCCTCAAACAGTATACCTTCCTCCGGGCACCTGGCCCTCGGGCACTTCCGTCATCCTGTGTACCTTATGGGCTTGTTGCAACTTCTCTTCACAGTATATGCTTGTGATCATGCTCAAGGTGGCATATATCATGGCTTTGCACACAGCGCATGTTCAATAATCGCAGACAACCGCACTGGTTAGTATTCAAGCCTCACCTGCAATAGCGAGCATGGCGAGCGCATCAAGGATGTCTGGGATGATGTCTTGTACCAAGTAGGTGCTGCACTTAAAAGACAGGTCTCTCTAGGACCCTTGAATCCTAGACCCATTATGGACTCAACGGAAGACGAAGTTAGTTAAAGTCGCGGACTTCCTATTGCGGACTCTTCAGCGCCTCCTAGGAGAGGTTCTCAAGTACCGTATCAATGGCTAGTTGTGCCCGCCTCTCAGGCACGAATAGAGGTTTCCAAGCTCCCTGCCAGAAGTCTGGATGCGATGCGTACGGCCATTTGAAACTCAAGTTCGGTATATGGTCGACCGCCACATGGGATTAACAAAGAAAGGGGTCCCAAGCGACTCTTGTCTGTCATTAAGGATTCGATAAGCACAGCTCCACCCTCCAGACTGTACCCAGCGCGCTTGATATAACCTACTTCAACCGTTCTAAGCATCCCACCAAAGAAAGCTACCGGACCAAAGTTATTTTGGCCCACATGGTGCTTCTAGTCTGCTGTAGGCGCCCGACAGCCAGCCGAGACGTTTCCGGGCCGTCTGCAAACCGGCCGAAGAAATACACCGAGCTGTAGCAGCGTACGGCCGTTATGCATTGATCGACGTGGGACGCGGGTATGCTGCTTAGCATTCGAGCGAGGCCGAGCTCGATGGTCGGCTGCCAACTCGGTTCGACGCGGAGTTGAACGTGCAGTTTGAATGAAGTTGACCCAGATTGTCTCTTTGGGGGTTAGGGAATGGATAGTCACCGCTCTGGGACTTGTCCGGATGTGCTCTGGAGGGCAGGTAATCTTCGTTGAAGTATTTTGTAGCTGCAAAGTTGGTGAAATCCGGCCAGTTGAAAGCTGTGAGTACGCCTTGCGCGGTCATTATGTGCCCAGCGGAGGTGAGCCTGGCCACTCGCGATCCATCAATGCCGTTCCTGGGCCCAGCATGTCATTGCCGGAACGAGGAAGATGGGGACGGCTGGCTTTCGAGCGAGGGGCAAAATGGCATTTCCGTCTGGTTTCTTGGCAGGATTGACAAAACTACCGCCTGTAGGGATCTGGTATCGAATCTTGTAGCATGCCTCACATGCTAAACGGATCTTTAGCTGTTGCTGCGGTACTTGTGCGGGTCGGATGACATGATGACCCTACAACTGCAATTTGAGCTTAACTTCGTATCATACGCTGTTTAAAGTGTTAAGTTCCGGCATGGTTCCACGGGTCAATCTGGGGGGCGCTCTACGTAGTACGAACCAGTCTGTGGGCCACCCAATACTGCTCGTGAACACAAGCCTATCTCTGAGCTCGGTAGATCATGTATCTATCAGCGATGCCGCCAATAATGTAATGTGCGGGCAAATCGTCGTCGGCATGCGCGGCAAAAGGATAGAATGCTTGTATAAAACAAGGGGTTAACTGTGCTTTACAACTTCGGGTACAGGTGTCGGGAGAGCGCGTGCTTTACTACCCGTGGTTTACGGCACAGTCGAACGCGGCTGAGGCGGCTCTTAACTATACACCATAGACGGTCGTATCAGCCTTATAGGTGGCTCCACGAGCTCTTAACAGGTTAGTAAGGGAAGAAGGGTGTTACGCTACTAACGGGCCTGCAGTGATTCTACGAAACAAAGGGTTTAGATAGGGGGGCATTCAACCACTGGAATTAATACTAAACTACAGCATGGATATTCTAAAGGGGATACAACTGATCAAACAAAGGGTAAAATAATGTCCTTTTAGAGGGCATCTTACAGAGTACAGTTTGTTTTCTAGTCCTGAAATCAGTACACCTGAAGGCTTGATCTTCGGCCCCTATGACAAAGCCTGGTACCACCTATAGTAGGCAGTAATTCAATAACCAATATTAGAAATGCAGCTCAAGGTAAAATGGATCAATATCGCGGAGTTGTTTTCAATGTGTGTATATCTTGTGTGTAGCTTTAGGAGGACTGCCCAAGGAGTCTGAACTAGGACGAATCCCCCCCAAGATACTTTAGAGACGTACTTGTTTCTTCCTCAATCTTTGAATCTAAATACCCCGATGAAAAGCAGGATTATAGACTGATCTCCCTCGAGACATTGACAAGCTTCCTGGTATTGCTAGTAGGCTCTAAGGGCTGTTACTGAAGCAAATCAGTGCTGCCGACCTGGCTGTCTCAACACTAGAACCCTTACTCCTGCCGGCGCCCAGACAGACTTGTTACAAGAGTAGGAACTTCTAGCTTTGTCCCATACCTCGGGCTTCCTTGGCCTTGGTCGATCAAGAGCTTCTGTCGGCGTTGTATCGTCGTCGCGCAGAGCCTCATAGACGAAACGAGAACGAGACGAGACGAAGCGATCTCTGCCTTGCTCCAGCCTCCATCCCAACCAGCACGCGAACTACAGCCATCACGGTTGAGGACTGGCCCGGACCCCAAGCTCGTGGATTATGTCACCTTGTGCCTGCTATCTCTCCTCTCCAGTATCTCCAACATCTCCAACATCTCTGTGATTTCATCTGGCGAACCTCTTCGTCCAAAGCTCTCCCTTCCCCCGCTTTCTCGGCATCTGTCTCTATCCAAGCTTCTCCACGCTTCGATACCACCTAGCAATCAAAACCTTGTTAGACTCGGAACCATTGTGTTGCCATCTAATCTACAATGTTGGTGTAGCCCTCTGAATCCCGTCAAGCTTCAATGAACTAACACTCTGCTTCTGCCAAGGCGAATCACGCTGACCATCACGGCGCCCTCGCACGAAGATGCCGACCTTCTCTCTCTTGAGATACCCTCAGACATGAACGTTGGCACACTAAAGGAGTCCATCCAGGCCGAGTCCCAAATCCCAAAGACCTCTCAGCACCTGTATCACAATGGCCAGCTTCTCAGCGATGACTCGAAAACAATGGAACAGCTACGTATCGGGGATGGGGAGATGCTGGCACTCCACGTTCGAGATACGGTCAGGGCACAGCAGTCACAACCACCGCGTCAGCAACCCGGTTCGCAGGCAAGAGGAGCTCCGGGTATTCCAGACCCGGAAACCATCCGCTTGCAACTACTAGGGAACCCTGAGCTGAGGCAGCAAGCTATTAGCCAAAGACCAGAACTGGCCGATGCGATCGAGAGCCCTGAGAGGTTTGCCCAAGCTCTTCAGCGGATGCAAGACCAGGAGCGGGAAGAACAGAACAGAAGGAGGCAGCAGATTGCGGACTTGAATGCGGATCCTTTTGATGTTGATGCGCAGATGAGGATTGCCGAGATGATTCGGGAAGAACGTGTACAGGAAAATCTTCAAAATGCCATCGAGCACAACCCTGAAGGTTAGCGATCCTGGTACGTCTGAAAACATATATGCTTATGATGTAATAGTGTTCGGTCGGGTTCATATGCTGTATATCGACGTTGAGGTCAACGGACATAAGGTCAAGGCTTTCGTCGATTCCGGGGCTCAAGCTACGATCATGTCTCCAGCATGCGCTGAAGCCTGTGGCATAATGAGACTCGTGGATAAGCGCTTTGCTGGAATTGCACGAGGTGTGGGGACAGCAGCTATTCTCGGGCGAGTACACTCAGCCCAGATCAAGATCGGAAGCCTATTCCTGCCCTGCAGTTTCACAGTCATGGAGGGAAAGGATGTGGATTTACTACTCGGTCTGGATATGTTGAAGAGACACCAAGCATGCATAGACCTTTCAAAAGACAAGCTTATAATTCAAGGCGTCGAGGTTCCCTTCTTGGGCGAGGCAGATATACCAAAGGGCTTGGAGGAGGAACGAGCGGAGGAACCGAAAGTATCAGGACCTGGCGGTATGACCATTGGAGGGCGTTCTGGTGTTGTATCGGGACCTTCTAATTCACCAGCACCAGCACCACCATCTGCGGCTCAACCTCAACAACCTACATTCCCGCCGGAATCGATCGATCAGCTTGTAGCTTTGGGTTTCTCCCGAGAGGAGGCCGTAAATGCGCTCGCTGCATGCGGAGGCAACGTCGAATATGCGGCCGGGCTGCTATTTCAAGGGTAAATAGTACTGGAATGGATGGCGTATGGGACGGTAGACAGCATAAGGAAACAAGTTCGATCATCGCTTGTATGGACAGGGTCAGCGGCGCATATGACGGATCTTTAACTAGCTTGCATAACGGTCATGAAATCACTACAGGTCGTGATGAATGAATGAGGAAGCATAAGACAAGAACGACGTTGAACTTGTCTATTATCTGGTGTAAAAGTGACCCCACGCCTTGCTTGCTATTCCTGCTATGAATCCCTTATCAACTCGTAGCCCACTATCTATTATCTTGTTGACAACACGAATCTTGCTCATAGTGCTGCTCGAGCACGCCTATCTTAGTTTGTAGACACAAGGCTTTAGGACCGACGCCTCGTCCGCAACCGGGACCTCCTCATCAATAAACTTCCCCTTCGGCTTCTTCTTCCACGTCTCGGTGCCCGTGTCCGCCGTGCTCTTTGGAGCCGGCACGCCCTTCCCCTTTGTGGGCGTCAGCCCCTTGACAAAACGCATCTTCACGAACATCTTATTCCTCAAATCCGGATCTCCCTGCAGCACAAAGCCCCTCTTGCGCAAGACTTCCACGAATGCACTGACGTCCGTCTCCTGCTTGCTATCTTCCTGCCCGTCAACCTCGACTTCCAAATCCTTTTCATCGAATTCCTCCTCCTGCTTCTTCAGAGCCTTCTTATCGTTCTTCGTCCGGTTGCCCACCGAGTGCTCGACTCGCTTCTGCTTGCCGCCGCCCACGCGCCCGAAGCGTGACTTGATCTCCGCGACCCAGAGCTCGCCCTTCCAGCGCAGCACGCGGAAGGCCTCCTCGATGAAGTCGATCCAGTTAGTGCCCATGAGCGCCAGGCAGAATATGGCCACGTCGATGCTTGCGTCCTCGAGAGGGAGGTTCGCAATGTCAGCCCGTGTCACCAGCGGGCTGGGGTTCTGCAGGTCGAAGCTGTGAATTCGCAACTTCAGCGCTTTGCTATCTTTCTGGAGGCCTTGAGCCAGCGCAGCGTCCCCACAGCCGAGATCCGCGATGCGGCAGGTGCCTTCGGTGCGTGGGAGAGGTGACACCGCGGAGTCTTTGCCGTCAGGGGCGCCGGCGCCCCGATTGGGACCGCGTTGCTTTCCGCGCGTTCTGATCTGCTGGATATACCCGTCGACGGGGTTCTCGGGCCAGACTTCGACCTGGCGCCGGAATCCCTCGTGGTACTCTTGGAACATCTCTGGGTTCTGCTGGAAGAGCTCCAGGGAGTGGGCAGAGGGCGTGGTGTATAGGGTCTGGTTGAGGTGACGGAAACGGGCAGATATGAGCTTTTGGCGCATGGAAGCTTGTAGTGGAGTTAGTTTTGCGGTGGGCGTGGGCAGCGGTGGAGGCTTCGCATCGTTATCTGGAGGAGGGTTTGTAGTTTTAGTGTTTGTGGAAGAACCGTCTGTGGAAGAATCTTTCAATTGCTTTAAAGCTGCCTTCTTCTCCCGCTTTTTCTCCTTCAATGTCTTTGCCTTCTTGAATACTTTCTTGGGTTCGGCCTCCCCCTCTGCACCCTGAGCTGTGTCTGCGTCTCCAGACGCTCCATCTTCTTCGGGCGTCGCCAATTGCTTCTCGCCATGCTCCTTGCTCTTTGATTTCGACTTTTCCTGGGCCGACTTGGAATCCTTCGTCTCTTTTGGCTTCCCTTCAATCACTGTTTCCCACAGATCTGCCAAGTTCGCAGGGTTCACATCAACAGCCTTGGACTTGCTACCGCTTCGTTTCCGCTTCTTGCTGGGCCGCGCTGCTTCTTCGGTGCCCTCATTTTTTGGAGGTGCTGTGCTATTCGTCGTCGCCTTTACTGGTTGTGCAGTCTGTGTCTTCAGATTGCTCGAAGAGACTGACCAGCCTGGAACAGCAAACATCGTTGCAGTACAGTAGTAGTATTACTGTGACGTTGTGGAGCTGTTGCGAGTTGATGCCTCGCAAATATTTTTAAAAATATCCATGAAATTCTTAGCGAGGACCCCCGCTGGAATCGCACCGTCGCCGTACCCGCCGCTAGCCTTCCTTGCTCTTCAAAACATGTCGAGGTCTTTTCTAAGTTCTGTATCAGTTTCACCGCTTTTTACTTTTTTTGTGGTTGATCCTTTCGCAAGTTCACGCATAGAACAATTGCCAAGTGGCCTGGAGATGTTCAGTAAGCCTCTGCTAGATTACCCTCATCACCACTATAAGCTCTCGCTCTCTTCGCCTTTCTCCAATCACTCCTTCACGTCAAATCAATCGCCCCACGGCTTCCCTGTCTCGAGGTCGAGACGTTCGTGCTTTTACCATATCGGTTTTCTGTTTGGAACTGGGATTTTTAGTATCCACCTGCAATCCCAATTTTTCCAGATGTTTGCATGACGATAGTTTCGCCCATGGGTTCTATCAATCACTGCAGTTCTACCCTACCATGACTATACTTCCTCACGAAGGCGCATCTTCCCCATCCCCCGGCATATGTGACACTCGAATTGGGAAGGGGATGCTTGTTCTCATGGGCGACCCTTCTCAGTGGCATGTGCCGTTTCATTGAGTCTCATTGCATGGAAAACCCCCGGCTGGCCATGCAAGTATAGGCACAGACTATGCACTCACGATGATCACATTTGCTTGGTAGTACTGTTGCATTGATATGTACTCAATTGCTGGTAAAAATCCCCGGCCGTCATTTGAGACCAATGGGAGATTTCTCGAAGAGCTTGAATCGATCTTCAACGATCCTGATCTATCCTGATCTAGTCAGGAAGCCGTCGAGGTGCATAAGGCTGTGATGGGTGGCAAAGAACTGCTTCATCTACTCCGCAAGATCCTGTATCCATCTGTCAGTCTGAAATAACATGCATAGTCAAATTGCTGCCACCGACCAATCTGGTTGCCTCCCTCCGTAGTGAGGGATTTCTTGTGGGAAAATGAACAACACAATTTGATATTGTAGGGGGGCAAGGCGGGGGTGCCCATGGCGATACAGCGTATTCCGTACGGTTGGCTTTCCCGCTGAGCGCAGACACAACGGGTATTAAGACAGAGGATCCTGGTTGTGTCAGGGATTAAGTACAAAAATCTGAGAAGAAGCCCTACAGCAGCTGTATCGTAACAGCCGCTGGGCATATACACAGGAAACATATATGCTAATATACCAAGACGTGGGGTTGTGTATGCGTTCCTCTTACCTCCGTAGGTGGCCTCGGGACTGGAGGTTGGCAGAGACTGGGAGGAGACGCCATTTACTCCGTACAGATTTTACAACCCGTACAGCTGCTACAAACAGCTAGGGAGGATCTCCACAGGGCATCCGGATACCGGCTACATGGATACATGGTAACATCATACAGTACGGGAACATGGTTTGAAGTCGGGCTCGGACTCCGCTGAGAATATTCCGGGGGAATAGGGTCAAGATCAAGATGAGAAGGGTCGAGGGAGGGACAGGGGCTTGATATATCTCTAAACAAAAAGAGATGGCTATAGACAGTAGGTAGGTAGATATACCATATACCATACGATACAGACTATAGATCATAGAATATAGAGATAGGTAGGGAAGGCGAAGCTTCTGTCGTATATACGTACAGAAGTATACCAACTACTCCGTGTATACTACCGATCCAACGCCTCAGTACGGCGTTCTTCATGCCTGGGACCCCAGTCGCCGAACGCTCGCTCTGCATTGCATAGATTCCATTGTTCCATTGTCCATTTAATATTGCCCAGTCGTTCGGGACCTTTCTGGAGTATTTAGAGCTGGTTCCTCTCTGTGTGTCAGTTCTCGCCCTGACTACTTCCTCCCTGCTGTGCCACTACTCACTCGCTGAAGGATTGCCCCGCAGCGATTGAGCGGTCAGGACTCAGGTTATCAACAGCAATGCGGTTACGCTGCATGATTGCCTCCCTCGCCCTCCACTGATAATCCATTGTCAACCACCAACAGCCACCGTCAACGCAGCAGGACTACTAGACCTCGACCGTCCACCCGCCCGTCTTCGACTCCACCACGTCGGTACGCCTCGTCGTGCTCTTGAGCTCGGATCAGCAGCGCCGCCGTCGATCAAGCAGCAGTCCGCGCGCATCCACACGACGCCCCTCGTGCGGGCCCCAAGTCAAAGGGCTATTTAAAACTTCAAGAGTGCGGAGCCAGCAAATCATCGTACGCACCTTATCCCCTTTGTTACACTTCTCAACAAACAGGGCAGACGTTCAATGAGTGGCTTTCCCAATTTTGTACTCTGTATGAAGCTATGAGCCTACCGTACCCTCACTGCTAGCTACCTTACTTGAGTAGATCCACGTACCTACTACTACTGTACACTAATTGTTGTTTCCACGTCTAACTGGCTGCTTTTGCTAAGTAAGATGCTGGGAGGGGAGCCAAGACCAGCTGTGGCAGGGTCTACTCCACATTCCCTACAGGCGCTGGCTTTTCCCTTCAAAGATGGCTTACCTGTCGAGTCCCCCCGTGCTTTCGAAACAAAAAGCAAGTGCCGATTATTCGAGCTTGCCAGTAGTAAGGCAATTTCCGGGGACTGTTCAGGAGTTCAGCTCGGCGGTCTGGCCCGTCTTGGAACCAGGATTGCAACGCACGTACAATAACACTGATTGCACGGAACGCCTAGGTTCTGTCTCCGTTTTGGCATATCTGCACGCCAGATTATCTCGCTGCCACTTGTCGTCGATCTCTCTTCCTAAGACATAGCTTGTGTAGGGAGGCCTCCAGACCCCTCGGTTAAGTGGGAACCCCTCACTCCATCTGGCGCCACGCCGCAAACCATCGACGCATGATCTTGAGTACCGTCTTCTGTATGATATACCCCCTTTATGTATTCTACTCTAGCTCTGACCTCAGTTTACGGGTAGGCCTATCCGTATTTCTCTCCGTTGGCATCATTCCCGCAGCCCTCCCATGAATTAGATGCGAGAGACGCCTGGTCCATACCACATCTCTTCTAATCAAACGGCCTGCTGGTCGTATAGTATACCCTACGTACAGTTACTTTCTGGAGAACTCTTTGGCATCTATCTTACCGAGTTGAAACATCCGGCCCGTGCCACCGGGTATTCCTCTCGTGCCGACGCCTATCCCCGCATCAGAGGACCCGGATTATTGAAAGCTCACGTGTGACCCGAAGAGGATGAATCCTCGGTCTTCCCGTTCATGATACACCAAGGATACCTACCAAAGAGATAGATGATGGGAGATCAAATCACCCAAGTGCAGCCGGTCCGACCTGGAAGCCCCGGAAAGAAGAAGGATGAGGGAGATGGAGGGGAAGCAGGAACTAAGAAGCCTGGATCAAAAGCCCCGGGCCGGAAAAGGACAAAAACGGGGTGTCTAAGTGAGTTCTTCTCTTCTGTCACTGTATGGCCTTCGCTGGGGGCTGGAAGCACCGAGGACTGATTCTCTCTCTTCAACCACAGCATGTCGGAGACGGCGCATCAAATGTGGAGAGGAGAAGCCAACTTGTCATAATTGTACAAAGTCCAAGCGCCAGTGTGAGGGGTACAATCAACGGGTCATATTCAAAGATCCTCTAAATTCCTATCGAGGGCCAGCAGTGTCCACGTCTTCACAGGCATCATTCTCACAACGCACCTCTAAGGCCCGTCATGGGGAATCATCCCAACAATCATCATCAGCCCCCGGCCCACTACCAATTGCTCCAAAACCCTCCGGATCCTTTGGACCCTCCGTTACGCCTTCCGATATGGCTACTGTGTCTGCTCCAGGTGCCGAGCGAAGGGGACGTGGATCTAATGTTGAGTCAAATTATCCCACAACGACGACCAGGCAGCCCCCACTTCAGTCAAGCTCGCAGTTTACCAGTGACGTTGACACGGTTAACCATCTTCAACTTCCGGAATCAAGGAACAAAAACCCCCATCAAGATAAGGTAAACACTCACTATGACTTCAAGGCCCGTGAAAGGGTCAGACAAGAGTCTAGAGGTGATCCATCTACAACATCCGCACGGACTGCCTGGTCTGCTGGTCCAAGCAGTGCGTCCCTGCCACCCTCTCGAGAACTCTTCTATGATTCTAACAGCCGATTTCCAGCGTCAGCAACAGCCTATGCAGACTCTTCGGATTGGCACCGTGCCTCTGCTTCACTGGCATCAGCCGAATCTCCCTTCACAACATACGGCCTTGGCAGCATGTCTATGTTTACACAGTCAGAAAACTTTATCCCAAAGGTTGCGACAACATCACAACAGCACGGTGGACATGCTCAGTTCCAGAATGCAGAGCAGTCACGGATATACCCTCCTCAAGCTGGCCAACGGGACTCGGAGAAGCTGAAGAGCATATCCAATCAGCATTATCCGGACGAAGATGAGGATGATCCTTTTGACGTGTCTGATGATGATGCCGATATGGAAGAGTACGATGACTATGACGATTGGCAAGGTCTAGATAGCCATCTGAGGAATAACGATCTTGGCATTGCTGTTGCTGTCCAGGCCGGACAAGGCAACAGAGATCTTAGCTTCCGTTCCATCACCTCCTTCATCGACAGACCAAACATGCTAGCGACATATGCTCCGTCTTCTCGGTCGTCGCCCCTAAATGATAGGATGACAGCACGAGTCTTCTGCCATTTCATTAACGTAACAGGTCCAACCATATCTCTGTTTGAAAGGCATCCTGCCAATCCGTCGTTGGTTTTCCAGGGAAATCCTGTCCCCAAATCTCAGCAACATATATGGACTTGTAAGCAGTAGCCGAATTCTTCATATTGTATCTATAGAATTTTGGATTGACTTTGAGCAGACACTTTTCCGACTTTGGCTCTCCAAAATCCGGGACTTTTACATGCGATGCTCGCACTGGCAAGCCTACATATCGCGAAGCTTCAGAATGGCCCTATTACGGCGTCACTAAAGCATTATGCCATCAGTCTCCGCAGAGTTGCAAAAAGCGTCGGCCTTCCCCATCGTCGAGGACAACCCGCGACACTAGCTGCTGCCATGCTTCTTGCCTTCTACGAGTGCTGGTGTGCAGATCATCAGAAGTGGAGTAACCATCTGCTCGGTGCAAGGGTGCTATTGAGAGAAATCGACTTTGCAGGCATGACCAAGTATATAAAATCAGTGAAGCTGCAGGAACGTCAACAAGAGCAGGCAAGAAACTACCAAGCTCTCCAACAAGGTCTGGGCGGATTCCCTGATGACATGAGCCGATATCAGGCATACAGCGAGGATGTCGATGAAAACATCGTAAGCATGTTGATGGGCAAGAAAGTACGATATGATCAATATGGACAGATCCTGGAGGATAACACGACAGACTACGAGGGAAGTAGGACCTACACCCAGAGAGAGTTAGACCAATATGAGGTACACCGGGATCTCTTCTGGTGGTATTGTAAGATGGACGTTTACCAAAGTATTCTTGGCGGTGGCCGACTCTTGTAAGTTTCTTTAAACTGCACTTACCATCTTCTACTAATAGGTACAAAGCATGGAATATGATCGGTGGGGCGACTGCCCTCCACGCGCTCCGTTAGGTCGCCTTAATGCGACGTAAGAAAGGTTCCTACTGCTCCAGCAAATTTCATGCTAATGCGTTTTCAGATACGGCACTTTCGATCATCTAATTCTCCTCATGGGCCGTCTTGCTGATTTTGCATCTAAAGATGTTAAGAGGAAGAGGTTAGCCATGAAAGCTAGTGGTGGATGGCGTCCGCCTGGGGCTATGAGAATGCCAGCTCAACCGGGGCCACAGGGGTCGCAAGGACCACAAGGACCTCCACCAGTACCCAACTTCACTGGTATGGTACCTGGCATTGGGGAGGCCAAGTTGCCTATGGGGTTCGAACCTCCCCGAGACGAATCGTCTCATCAGGGTGCTCAGAGCGATGATATAGACCTTGAGGCCTGGAGAATCGAGGCGGAAGAAGAATGGCAGGATATTATAAATGCTTTTAGCATTCTTGAAGACCACTTCGGACCGGATTTCCAAGCCCTAGGACCCGAGTTTTCCAGGCCCATTCATACACCATTCGGAACAGCCCTCCAATACCGAACGTATGGAATCGCTGGCATCTGGATGAATTATTACATGGCTCTGATCGCCTGTCATCGAGCCCATCCATCCATGCCACCAGCGGCAATGATGGCTGCTGGAATAGCTGCTCGACAAACAGCCTTTTACGCCAATGAGCTAGGAAGAATAGCCGCAGGGATTGCGCCCGACTGTAGCACGACGACTGAAGTTAGCCCGGGAGTTGGCTCTGCCCTCATAGAATCCTCGACATGCCTCTTCATATCCGCGGTACAAGTGAGTCAAAATGCGATTCCCCTTGCTCACACAAGTGCTGACAAGTAACAGTATCAAAATGCTGAACAGCGTTCTTGGACGGTTAATAGACTGCGAGACATTGCCCGCTTGACCGGTTGGCAGACTGCACTTGCGATCTGCACGGGCTGTGAGTCTTCATGGGTGAAGATTGCAGAGCTGGGCAGGGGGCCACCGTATGCCAGGACTGTGGAAGAAAGGGAAGTCCCGGATGTCTGGAGAAGCGCCAGAAGAATCGACAGGGCTCTCCATGGGCTGAGCGGCGATGAGACGAAACTCACCGTGCAGAAGACGGATAGAGTGCACTACGCTCTAGGTGTTTTAGGAGTTGAGGAGGATTTCGAGAACTTGAATTTGGAAAGCGACGAAAAGTTAAAATGAGTATGAGAAACATGGAATCGGGATATTTTCTTCGGTCTGCACTGGAAGCCAGCTGCAGCAATGTGTACTTACGAGCCACGAATTACTACTGTACATAGGCACAATATGCCAGACGTCTTCACTCCTTTTTACCTCTAATGACTCGAATTGAAAGGTCGCACAGCTCCAAAAAAGGTATGCCATACAATGTGTTTCGATATCAAGTCTAGCCCCGCTCAATTCGCTGGTAATCTCTCTACAACTGCTTCCATCTCCGCATCTGTATAGATCCGGAAGCCTTTTTCCTTGGTCACACTTGCCAGTTGGACGTTCTTTGAATCCAGCTTCTCCTCCATAACCTGCTTTAGCGTCTTCAAGACCAGAGTTTCGGCTTCCTCTATGGTGAGCGACTATAAATGGTATTAGATGCGTCATGAAATATGCGGAACCACGATGCTCTTTTACCTTGTGAAACTCGTTCTGCAACTCAGCTTGAGCCCCCTCCGATCCCGATCCAATAGCCTTCGCATCATATCTATAGAAAGTGCCACTTGGCTCCGCATGATACAGCTGTGGACCATCCTCATCATATCCCGCAATTAACAGAGCGACACCGAAAGGTCTGCTCATAATGCTCTCCTCGCCATCCGCACCCTCTCCGAAGCGCAGGGCCAGATCGCAAATCGCTTGTGTGCAGCTCTCAACCCTGAGTGGCTCGTTGTAGTGGAAGGCATGGTTCTGCGACTCGACACGGGCATGCTCGACCATCGATCGAGCATCGGCTTGCAAGCCTGACATGGCACATCCGATATGACGGTCGATTTCCACTATCTTCTCGACGGACGATGTCTCCAGCAGGGTGGAGGTCACTCGCTTTTCTACGCCAAGAACGACACCTTGGCTCGTGGCAACTCCGATTGCGGTTGATCCTAGCTTGATCGCCTCGAGGGAGTATTCGACTTGGAAGAGACGGCCTTCTGGCGAGAAGGTACTGGGGAAAAGGTCAGAGTTCTGATATAAAACGACACAGGCTTTAAGCAAGCTCTGGAGAACATGTGATTACGCACTTGATCCCTCGATCTATCATATCATTAGCTATAGTTCAACACATGTTTTGGAAGCTCTCAAACAACTTACCATACTCTGACCGAGCAATAAACATCTTGAGGAAAGCGAGGGTGCACGAGATTTAAATGGGAGGGGATTGAAGAGCTGAAGCTTGTGTACAAGCTGAGACAAGTGACAGTATGTGGCGAGGCGTTCCCAAGGGAAAGGGAGGTCTTGAATTCAGTTAATAAGTTGCTGTTTCGTACATATGCTCCCAGAACTCCAGGCAAGCCAAAAGGTACGAAGCTCTCCACAGTTCGGCCTAATCCAAAAAGGGCTAGCTCAACAACCTTAATCGCGAACGCGTCAAACGGGGGGAGCGTGTGCCGCAACTCTGCAAAATCGGACTGAGGAGCTCTGCTTATTGACGTTGTACTGAGTGCGAAGTCCAGATGTGACTACAATGTCCTCTTCGTCAAACACTCGACCCTCGTCACATGCAGAGCGAAGGGTTGCTAACGAAAATGGCCCTGCTCGAGCGCGCGCGCCGTCTGCGCAGGAAAGAGGGAGCAAAAGTCCACGAGCAGATCCTCGACGGTATCCACCGACTTCTGCGTCTGGAACTACGCACAGAAGGGCTGCTTCGAGCTCGCAGGGCCTCAAGGGAGCAGTAGAAGAGCGCCGCACGGAGAGGGTTCAGGTCACAACAAGGGAAACATTGACCTCCAGAGCTAGAAGCCCTGAACGACGGTCAGGCCCACCAGTGCAACAACAAGAGCGGGCAAGGCAAAGTGAAGTTAGCAGGGCCACTTCTGGAGATACCAAGGCCAGGCAAAGCAGAACAGCAGAAGCACCACAAGGTAGAAAGAACCATTTTCAGACTTAACAAAGTTGACATGCCGTCTGACAACCTCTTTTACTAGTACCATGGAACCCAGAGGCCTCGTTGGTGCCCCATACGACCGCGCCTCTAGCATCACGAATATCTATACCTCCCCTTGCTTCACAGGTTCCACAATCAATTCAACCCCGGCCCCTTCACGAGATGTCCTTGGAGGTCCAGGAAGCTGCTATCTTGGAAGATCTACTTTTTGTTTTTATGGGCTACGAAGGCCAATATATTCGATTCTCGAAAAACTATAATCCTACTGTAGAAAAAGATCGTCTTGCAGGGCCTAGCTTTAAGATCTTACCGGGATTGGACCCGAGTCTTCAGGACCTGACAACGACCATGTTGAAAATGGCTACTCATTACGGGGCGGTTGAGGCTTTTGTGGAAGTGCAAAGTCGAGAGGAATTCGGAGCCGTGAACCACGCTCTTTGTGCTTCAATTCGGAAGCTGTTGCATGATTATTTGATCCTCATCGCGCAATTGGAAACGCAATTTCTCACGAACCCGTCCTTCACGTTACATGTGCTAAATCTTTATACGCTGCCAACTAGCCACATGATGTTCCAGCTGTACTCACTGGCCCATGAAATCTTGAAACGGAACTCGCTACTGGAAGAGGACCTCGAGGACTCTGATGGCGACTTTGATGATATCGAGAACATTCTGGAGACATTAAGGGAGGGTGGAGATCTAGGACCAGGGAATATACCGGGAAAGAAGATTTGCAAAGGTGGTAGTGTCTTGGGCTTAATCACCAAGCGATTAGAGACAATGTCTGGAGATCCTGCGGCTCGGTCTCTCCTTACTTCATTGCTGCGGGACTCCAGTCGGCCCTATATGATGATGCTGAACGAATGGCTTCATCATGGCAGTATCAAAGATCCCCACGCAGAATTCCTGGTCAGGGAACAGAAAAGTATCAAACGCGAGAGGCTTGAGCAAGATTACACAGACGAATATTGGGAGAGACGGTATACGATTCGGGACAATGATGTACCGCCGCAGCTTGAAGGCGTGAAGGATAAAGTCTTGCTGGCGGGCAAATACCTAAACGTCGTTCGAGAGTGCGGGGGCGTCGATGTTAGCAAGGCTGTTAAGGACGTTCCTCGGTCCTTCGATGATAATCGGTTTTTGGACAACGTTAACAGCGCTTATGCTCATGCCAATGAATCCTTACTAAACCTCCTTCTCACCACTCACGCTCTCCCAGCACGCTTACGATCATTGAAGCACTACTTCTTCCTCGACCGATCCGATTTCTTCACCTACTTCCTCGAGCTCGGAGCGTCAGAGCTGAGGAAGCCTGTTAAAGCTGTTAATACGAGCAAACTGCAGTCATTACTTGATATCGTCCTACAGCAGCCAGGAAGTGTTGCTGCCCATGATCCCTTCAAGGAAGATGTTAAGGTTGAAATGAACGAGATCAGTCTGACCAATTCCTTAACGAGAGTGGTGAATATATCTGGGATAGAACAGGGAGAAACTCTACAAACTCCAGCATCCCAACCAGTCAATGAAAGTGACAAGAGTGCTGTGGGATTCACCTCTCTGCAGCTGGATTACTCGGTTCCTTTCCCGGTATCCCTCGTGATTAGTCGAAAGACTATCTGGAGATACCAGGCTCTATTTCGCTACTTGTTGTCATTGCGATACCTCGAACAGCAGCTTGTCAATTGCTGGCAGACCCATAACAGGGCAGCCAGTTGGTCTCATAAGAGCTCGAACAAAGAATTGGAAATGTGGAAACGGCGTGTGTTCACACTACGAGCTCGTATGCTCGTCTTCGTTCAACAGCTTCTGTACTTTTGTACAGCAGAGGTCATTGAGCCAAATTGGCAGGCCTTGATGGGAAGGCTGAATACAAAGGAAGACAATAAGGATGGCGCTGCACCAGCTGTTCGCACTGTTGATGAACTTATGCAAGATCATGTCGATTTCCTTGATACTTGTCTGAAGGAATGCATGCTCACTAACAGCAGACTGTTGAGGGTAAGTCGCAAGATTCTTTTAGAAGGCAAAATTATTGACGTCCCTGTTTCAGATCCATTCCAAGCTTATGCAGACCTGCACAATGTTTGCGACGTTCACTAGCTGGTTGTCACGAGAACTACAGCAAAATGACCCGGACTTGGCCGGTACAAAGAAACCGAACACTATGAGCAAACAACAATGGGCACGATGTCAAGCGGAACGGCAACGACATGGCGATTCGACGTCATCTAACTCCGGTGCTGGCACTGCCCCTGATGAGGCACGACTTGAAAAGATGTTTGATGTTATAAAGAAGTATGAGTACAACTTCAGCCGGCATCTGCAAATCTTGTTGGATGCTCTGAATCATTATGCGGCGACTGAGACGGTTGTTTTGTTGGGGCTTTGCGCGAGGTTAAGCACTGCAAACCAGGGGACGCAATACAGCGGTCTCCGGAATGATGAGGATAACGGAGCCCAGGCGTAATGGTACTGTGCCCATTAGATTTCGCAACAGGATTTGGGTGTGGAATTTGTGATATCCATCGGCGTTGGGGCTGGATTGAAGCGAGTTCTAGAGCGACGGCGTTGAAAAACCTGCACAGCGTGGATATACCGTGTTGTGGTGGAAGCTAGGTGAGAATATTGATTGATGTTACGATGATGCTCTATGATATTGACTCCAATACGACTGGCGGCAAGATGAAAAAGACGCGTGACTCTCCCTTTGCCCAGAATGAGAGGCCTCCCTGGATACGGGCCTACGGAGTATCCACGCTCGCTAGAAATAGTAGTATTTGCTTATATGTACCCCACCACACTTGAGAAAATCTGCCCCTCCAACGATAAGAAACGTCGATTCACATAGACAAAAGAGCGCCTTTCGCCTCAAAAGACGTGGTTGGGCTTGAGGCTTAGAACATCAGGCTGTCTCACATAATCCTAAGCCTCACTTTGCCTCGGGACTAGGATTTGACATTTGCGGGGACCTGGGCCTGGTCGCTTGGGACTAATATAAAATAAAAAATCGCTGCAACTCAACCCCACCGCTCACCGATTCGGCTTGTCGATTTCAAGTGCACACGCAGACTACTGCTCCTTGTCAACCAGCTCTCCACTGTTACAAATACCTTGGCCTCTCAAAAGGCTTGCAGACGACTGTAATACATGCAGCGCGAAGCAGCAGATCGGTGGGCTCGCAACAGATACTTCGGCTAGCACCAGCTGCCGCAAGCACACAAGAGAGGTAGACGCGGTAGAAACGAGGTAAGACTTTCTTCTGCTGCCGTTGCACTGCTTGTCCTGTGTTATTCGCCCGCCTTTTCTCATGGGCGATAAAGCAATCCCTTAACTGCTGTTCGAATTGCCCTCTCGGATTCATTGTGTGCCTTTCTGGTGTCTAGTAACGGGCTAACACTGCGTCTCCTTTTCTACAGGACGTTCGAGCTTCCAGTCCTATCTTTCACGACAGCATTCCTAGGCCGCCAAGATGCATATCAAAGACATGCTGGCCGAGACTGAGCGGTCCGGCCAGCCCTCATTCTCTTTCGAATTCTTCCCGCCGAAGACTGCACAGGGCGTTCAAAATCTCTATGACCGCATGGACCGTATGCACGGACTGGGGCCCAGCTTCATCGACATCACATGGGGTGCTGGAGGCAGGTTGGCGCAGTTGACTTGTGAGATGGTGAACGTTGCTCAATCGCAGTATGGGTTGGAGACATGCATGCACTTGACCTGCACCGATATGGGGAGAGACAAAGTCGACGAGGCCCTTAAGAGCGCTTACAGAGCGGGCTGCACAAATATCCTCGCCCTCCGTGGCGATCCACCCCGAGAGAAGGAAAAATGGGAAGCAACAGAGGGAGGCTTTGTGTATGCAAAGGATCTCGTCAAGCATATTCGCCAAACGTATGCCGATCACTTCGATATAGGAGTCGCGGGCTACCCCGAGGGATGTGATGATCAAGATGATCAGGAGCTTCTGCTGGATCACTTGAAGGAAAAAGTTGACGCCGGAGCTTCATTCATCGTTACGCAGATGTTCTACGACGTGGATAATTTCATTCAGTGGGTCTCGAAAGTTAGAGCAAAAGGCATCACCGTCCCCATCATCCCTGGAATCATGCCAATCAACACCTACGCAAGCTTTCTCCGGAGATGCAATCATATGGGCTGTAAAATCCCTTCCAGCTGGAGTGAGGCTCTCGAAGAAGTGAAGAATGACGATGCGGCTGTTCGAAACATTGGGACGGGATTGGTGGCTGAAATGTGCCGTAAAATCCTGGCAGCAGGCATCCGTCACTTACATTTCTACACCATGAATCTATCGCAAGCTACTCGCATGGTGCTGGAAGAACTCGACTTGACGCCTTCATCTGAGCGTCCATTAAAGCAAGCTCTCCCCTGGAGACAGTCCCTTGGCTTTGGACGGCGTGAAGAGGATGTGCGCCCAATCTTCTGGAAGAACCGAAACAAGTCATATGTCACGCGAACCCAGGATTGGGATGAATTCCCCAACGGTAGATGGGGTGATTCTAGGTCCCCTGCGTTCGGTGAGTTGGATACGTACGGCATCGGCTTGAAGGGCAGTAATGAGCAAAACCAGAAGCTCTGGGGTTCACCGAAGTCCATCAAAGATATATCTGACATCTTCGTGAAATATTTGGAGAAGGGAGTTGACAGTCTTCCATGGAGTGAAGCTCCCATCACCAGCGAAGCAGATGTCATCAAAGCTGACCTCATCAATCTCAACAAGCGTGGCTTACTTACTATCAATTCACAGCCTGCCGTTGATGGCGTAAAGTCTTCAGATCCTGTGTACGGCTGGGGCCCGACTAACGGTTATGTCTATCAGAAAGCTTATCTGGAACTCTTAGTATCTCCAAAGCTGATGGATGAGCTGATTAGCCGGATTGAGCAGGATCCTGATCTGACTTACTACGCCGTCAACAAGGCCGGAAACTTGAAGACCAACTCAGGAGATGGGCCGAATGCTGTGACCTGGGGAGTATTCCCAGGCAAGGAAATCGTACAGCCTACTATCGTCGAGACTATAAGTTTCTTAGCCTGGAAGGATGAAGCCTTCCGTCTCGGTATGGACTGGGCACATTGCCATCCTTCGTCAAGTCCAACTCGGAACTTGATCGAGCATATGATGGAGACATGGTTCCTTGTCAATATTGGTATGTCTTCACCCGGTATGAATATGCTTTATCTGACACTTCTCTTAGTTCACAATGACTTCCATCAGACAAATCGCTTGTTCTCATTGTTCAATAGTCTTGAGGTAGAAGATCTCGAAAAGGAGTTTGAAGGTGACCTCAACGGCACCCCACAGACAAACTAAGTCGGCAATGCCGAACCTAGTGGTATCGAGGATACCGTTTCAACATTTGGGGAGCTGAGCAGTCACTAACTTTACGCACGATTTAATGATTCAACATACAGGTGATGGGGATATGATTCTTTTTGCATTCTGCAGTGCATCTAGCGAGGTGTTCGGGGCAAACTTCAACAAGTTTGGCGTTTTTGAGCGATCTCAACGATCTGACGACATTGAAAAAGTTACGGTTTAACATGGGCTTAGGAGCAAACTTCAACAAGTTTGGCGTTTTTGAAACGATCTCAACGATCATCTGACGATACTGAAAAAAAGTCACGGATTTCATAGGCGTAGGGGCAACCGGCGCAAACTTCAACAAGTTTGGCGTTTATAAACGATCTCAACGATCTAACCACAGGGAAAAATAACGGCTTACGGGCATGGGGGGGCTTGGGAAACAAATTAAGTTCTTAAAATGCCTTCAACGGCTCACAGTTCACTTAGACTCGCGATGCTTTCCTGCGAGCTGTCACTTTATTTAGTCTAATTAAAATGGATACTCTCCCCTGTATGCATCTTTGTCCAAAGTGAACCGTACGGGAATCGACCCCTTTGATCAGCAACGCACCAAACCAATCAATATCTTGCCATCTAGGTGCCTCCTTTCGTCTCAATCGTCGACTAGCAGACGTAGAAGTCTCGGACATTATACCTAGGAACTAGGAAAATATTTTAAAGTACTCGCTGCTCGTACGATGCTTGTTATCGAAACCAGGAGTCGGTTTAGGGAGCATTCAATTCTCCTGTCCGTTTAGAGGGGAGGGGGGGGGGGGCTTATAACACAATGAAGACATCCACTCCACTTATGTAGGGGGTTATTAACTGGTATAATGTACATCGGTTGCCCTTTTCCCGGGATATATATGGTTCTTGGTCGATGAAGCCCTTTGTCTCGTTCATCTGCGTAACTGTAAGGGAAGTCGATTTGTGAAGAAGGCGTGAAGTTGACTCGCTTGAAGCCCCCCCCCCCCCCCTTTTCTCACCCTTTTTTAAAGGGAAAAATAAAGCAATCCATCTAGGAAACTTGAGCATCGTTTCGAGCTGCTAGTAAGTTGAGTTGAGTTCAATTTTTAGGAATCTCGAGGGTCGCTCCTGCTCGCAAGAGGTGCACAGTTCCTACCTTCGTTGAAAATCCCTTCATTAGCTTTCGTTTCCGAGGTGGATTCCGATTGGATTTCGACCCTTTTCAATGCATATCATGAATGCCCACGCTATCCCTATTTATACTATTTCCCTAACCTATGAAGATTCTTGACCCTCCCTCTTTGGTCTTAACATCTCGTTGTGTCAAGGCAAGGCACAATTCACGAATATCATGAAGGAAGCCAATTCCTTCCAAACCCAGAGAAAGCCCTCCGAGCAACACACCCCGTTCAGTTATTTAGAAAGCGATTTGCCTTCACTTTTCCTTCGGCGCCGAAAGACGAACAGGAGTTACGATTCTACATCAATCTCCCCCATCTCTCCATCTGGTGGGGCTCAGGACAGGAAAAGGTCTGGGGGATATTCAAACAAGAGCAATATTGATGGGAATACAAGTTCACTGGCATCTTCGTCTGTCTCGCAGACCAGCAAGCACCGGCTAAATGTCTCGGACTGGAACGAGAAGGTAGTGCGTGAATCAAGGTCTACCAATGAGTCTCAAAAGTCTTATGCTGCTGACCCTCCTCGTCCTCCGAAGCATGGATTTGAGTGGGTGTGGTTTCCGCAGGGCTATTGGGCCGAACGAGAGATACTCGAGCATACCCCAAAGAATCGAAAGAGCCCACACTGGTGGTTCAGTCGATCCTCTGGGTCACGCAAAGATAGCACTGGCAGCTCAGGTAGCAAATCCAAAGCCCCATCAACCAAGACCCCGACAACAACAATATCGGCCCCGATTAAACTGGGGGGAAGCAGATCAAAATCGCAAGACAGCTCCCTCCTTCAGGGTCCGAACAACGTCGAAGGCCAGGCCATAAGCTTTGATTTCAGAAGTGGATCTAAGAGGCTTGTCCGAGGGTTGCAGCTGATGTTGCCAATTTTCCCCCGCCGCACTTCACCTAGCGGCGAGCGCAAAGGTTTGAATGACAAGACTAGGAAAGGCCTTGAGGTTTATTTCCCGACGAAAAAGAAAAATGTGGTAATAACGAGTGGCCCTCTTACAATACTTGAAAGCTGAGAAACACAAGCACTTAGATGATGGAGTAGTGGCATCCTCAACCCCAATACCGTCCCAGACAACAACCCTTCTTGAAGAAGCTTTCAGCTACTTCGATCGAGCACGGGAGCCCAACAATAGGCATCAGCGTGGAATAGAACACCCACTAACACCGTCCTCACCTGAGGCGAGGTCTCGTCATGGATTGGGACTCGCACCATGGCATCGCAGGACTTCACAGGAATATTTGGTGTCTGCATCGAGTTCCGTCCATAAACTCTTGATGGGGAAGACACCTTTAGCAACTCCAGTATCGGAACCCAAGTACACTGGGCCAGATGGTAAGACATATAACAGAGGTATTTAAATGGAGTTACCATAGCAAGCCCGAAATGGACTGAAAATGTGTAGTTGAAATATCTTCTCCAGGACAACCCAGTTTCCTGCCCTCGGTGAGCACCATTTCTTTCCCTAGCGTAACCTAACCCGCAGTCTTGCCGCGAGAGAAATTATGGCCGGGAGAGTAGTTTCTTCTCCGTCACAGCCAGCACTTCTATCAAGGTTCTCGATCACTGATCGGTAAACACAGGAGGCGTCTCGACTCGTTACTCCACCAGATTTCGAGGAGACAACCCCTGTACCAGAATTAGGAGAGTTCCATTTCCATCTGAGCTCTCCAGAAGAAGAGCAAAGACAGACAAGCCAGAGGTCTCGGTCTGGCGCCCCGACTCATATTGAAGAGGGAATAGCTTCTCCTGAAGGTTGTGGCGGCACAGCCATATCAGCAACTAAGATGGCGAGGAGCACCAGTTCACCTCAATTCGAATTGAACTATCCAGAGCACCTCCCAAACAGCCCCTTGTGCCCGAGAAATCCAATGCATGAGAGTGGGGGCCTGGGCATTTGCGTGTATCACGGGAGGAGGAGGGAGACAATTAGTACAGCTGATGGGGTCATAGGAGACGCACAGGAATGATGATTCAGACTGAAATTCAGACCAGTAAAAGTTTAAGAGAATGTGAACTTTCAATCCCTTGAGTTCAATTGTAGTCTGAAGCCTCTAATTAAGCATCTGAAAGAAACACAAAAGTCCAAGTGAGGTTACAGTGCTGTCAAGTTGAACCACGTGAGTTCGCGCTTCCGAGCGCAATTGGCCACCGTACTCTTCAACCTCAGAGCTCAAACAACTTGATATTCCACGATACCTTGCTACCGCGGCCTCCAACACACAAACGCTCGTCGCATTAAACCACCGAAGATGGCGACAGACTCCGTCCAAGATCCTCTCGTCCTCCTGCGACAATCCATAGCATCTGACAAGCCCTGCATACCAACAAAGACCGAAGATGCCTCGTCTACAGAGGTCAGCCTGGCGACAGCAAACTTCCTACACTTCCCCTCCCCAGCTCAATTGTCCATCCCTCTCACCACGCCGACGCGATTCATATCCTCCAACAAGCCCGTTGATCTGCGGAGTATCTACTTTGCGTGGCTGAAGAGAGAGACGGCCATCCCTGAGTACAATGCACAGGCGCTAGCACTAAACGCAGAGCTGGCTGCGGACGGGGGAGCTGGTGGAGAAGTGCAGAATCTGGCGTTCGTGGAGAGGCTGGACTTGATTACATGGCTCGAGGGTGCTTCTGAGGAGAGTGAGTACATTAAGCCTCTGGCATCAGACACGACCACCGCTGCCGCCTCGGCGCAAGTTGCTTCTGGAGCTACGGGGGGCATTGCGCCAGTCACGAGCGGTGCGGCTGGGAGGCAGGGCAAGACACTCGACCCGCGGCTGGCCGAGATCTACAACGGGGAGAGGCGGATGGGCGATAGGAATAGTGTGCTGAGGGGCATTAAACCTACGGTATGTAGAAGCAGATGTTTGCGACAAGGTACTGTCTGTTTCTGACACGTCTCTCAGGACTTCTCACATGTGCGCAAGCTTGCGGCGCCATTCAATGCCCGCAAGGCTGCCCACGCAGCTGCGGCGAACATCCAAAGCAACCCCACGCTTGCCCATAACCCCAAGGCGCCAGCTCGGCGGCCCGATCCTATTATTCTACTGTCCCCTTCAGCCTCGTCTCTCCTCCGCATGTCGAACATCAAATCCTTCCTCGAGAGTGGCACTTACGTCCCTGCTGAATCGTCCAGCTCGACATCCAGCTCATCGGCATCAATCCTGCACATCTCTCGTCTCCTGCCTTCGGTCGACGCGTCGCGCCCTATCCGCTTCATCATCGTCGACACGCCGGAGCAGTTCAAGCCGGAGTACTGGTCACGGGTGGTGGCCGTCTTCACCACTGGACAGGTCTGGCAGTTCAAGAGCTACAAGTGGCAGCATCCCACAGAGCTTTTCCGACACACGCTGGGGGTCTACGTTGGCTGGCGGGGAGATCAACTACCGGACACGGTGCGCGGCTGGGGCCGAGGCGTCCTGAGCACGCAAGTGGACAAGTGGAGCCCAGGGGCTGGGGCGGCGAGCCGATGGCGCGACCGCGAGGTGGTGGAGGGAATCTGGAAGGCAATTGAGGATAACATGAGGAACAAGGGGTGGAGGAGGGATTCGGGGCCTATGAGCGTCTGAGGCGAGGGCGAGCGTGACCACGAAAAGCTATGTGGGTGAGTGTGGCAGAGTAGTTATGGCGTCTGGTGTCCCAGGACTGGCAAAGGGAGGTGGGCGGGTGTACTATCATGGGCAAACTGACATAAAGGGAAAAAGAGATCTCGAATTTGAGAGAGAGATGATGTTTAGCAGCGTTCTTGCGATCTGGGATGATTGCCGGATACCCCTAAAATTTGATCAATCAAGGCATTTGAAGGTTGAAAAGGCCCGAATTTTTCTCAATTGGTGGTGTCACTGTTACTGCTGTTAGATGGAGCTTGTGTCAGCTCCTAAGTAGAATGAGTGAACTCACGTCCAGGATTCGATTCCTCACCCTGCTATTCAGCGCCCAAGCAAGCAAAAGAAAGAATCAATCAATCAATCAATCAATCAATCAATCAATCAATCAATCAATCAATCAATCAATCAATCAATCAAACAAATAAACAACAAATCTCCCAACAAAAGCAAAGAAACCTACCTACCTATCTACCTACCTCCCTTCCTCAGAGACAAATCAAAGCATCAAGCAAGTCCAGCTGAAGAAGCATCTCATCTCATCTCGGTTCGATTTTGTCACACCTGAACTGATATGTATCTCAAATTCTCAATCGCTCGCTTGTTTGCAGACACGAACAAGCAAGCAAGCTACACCGCTATTCCTTTCCGAGGCGCGACGTGAGGGGAGCTGGGGTGAGCCAGTGAGGACAGCGTGGTACGTTGTACTTGTGGCGGATGGGATTTGTACAGTACATACCAGCCTGCCAGGGGGAAAAGGGGGGGTGCCCCGTAAGGCGTGGTAAGGCGTGTAGGTAAGGTAAGGTAGGACAAATAGCATGCGTGCGTGACACGCGAGCAGCATAATAATGATAATCAAATCAAACTAACCATTTGCTTTTTCCGCCTCATAACTACTAGAGTCTAGAGTAAGGTAAGCATGTCTTTTTTGCCATGCGTTCCCAATACTCAATATGTTCCGTGCATCCCTAGTACCTAGTTTTGCCATGCGTACGTAGCGAGCTCAATAGTCGTGCGTGGGCGGCCACGCGGTGAGGATGACGCGGGACGATTACTAGGTAGTAGGTAGGTACGTCGCTGGGCTGGGCTGGGCTGGATTCTGGACCCGGATCTGCGGAACGAGGGGACGTTTCTTACTCTTTTTCTTTTCTTTTTCATTATCCTTTGCCTTTTTCTTGGGATTGTTGAGTGGCGATATGCATGGAGTAGGGGGGTTTATTGCCTTTTCTTTTTTTTTTCTTTTTTTTCTCCTTGGCATGGCTTTTCGGCCGTTTGGTTTGGGGTACGTGCGTATGTTGCTGATTAGGTACCTGGTCGTTGAGTGGGATTCTGGAATTTTGGATGATGGAATAATGGACACACGCGAAGAGCAGGGAATAATACTACCTAGGTAGATGACAAGCTTAGTTGTCTAGACGGTTACCTATCTAGGCCAACACTTCGCAATCTTCTCATCATCATTCCAGCCTCGGTCCTCGGAGCTCCCGTATCTATCTGTCCTATTTTTAACCCGCTACTACTGGTTGACGGTTCGTGGTTCGCGGCTCGCGGTTCGTAGGTAGTTTGTGGTTCATCTCCGGGCTGGATGAAAGATGACGGACGGGATGTTGGGGCGGGTAGGTAGGGATCGGGCGCCACGCGCGGGTTCTGGAAGGATTCTAGAAGGCTTCTAGAAGGATGATGGATTTAGGGGGGAAGGTAGGGTTTAGTCGGTACCTACCTACGAACCTTAGATCCTTTTAGGTCTTATCTTACTGGATACAGCAAGGTCAGGGACGAATTTCAAATAGAAGAGAATGAAATCTGGACTCAAACAAGATTAAGGTAATTCTACAGAGTCACGTTTGGAAAATGTTTAAATTTAAAATGGAATCATGGAATCATGGAATCATGGAATCAGCAAGTCATTTTAAAACTCGTTTCACCCTCCCCGTCGGAGATTATTGGACAGGGGCGCCACGAGGGAAGGGCGGCCAATCCGATCCTGCTGCCCCCGTCGGAGATTGCGGCGCCGTTTCAGCTCTTGCTTATATGATTATTGAGTAAGGTACCTTAAGGTAGTAGTGTTGGCAGCTATTACTGTTGACGTGCACACAGGAGTACTTTGGATGCCTTGAAATTCAGGACTCACGGATCCCGACTCAGGAGGAGGCTGGACTTGCCCTTTGTCTTCGCTGTTCTCGTGTGTCCATGCATGATGCATCCATCCCTTTGTTGTTGAGCGATGATCCGTTCCATTGAGGGGTTCGTGCAGGTATGAGAGAACACGTACGGTACTGGAGACAAGGCAGCCAATAATAAGCTATTAGGAAATCTGGATCAGAGTTAAGAATCGGAATCAAGAGTCAGAGTCAGAAGAGTCAAAGTCTCAGAGACTCACAGACTCGATTCACAGCTTGCCGTGGTCCGTGGCCACCACGTGTCCGCTGCATTAGTAATCGTGCTCGGTGCCTGAGGGCAGGAACGTCTCGTATCTGGCGGCTGAGCGGCTCCCGGTCGATATCACGTTTAGGTTAAGATAAGGTAGTTACTAACCTACTACTTTGTACTATACGTCTACCTCTGTACTATCGCAGACTATACCTCCTCTTATATACCTTAGTAGCAGCCTCCGTCAAGCCATAGCAGCTGACGCTCGTATTGATAAGTAGTAGGTTATCCGCTGGAGGGGTGGTAATAATAGTCCTGTAGGCTGTATGAACCTACAGAGTTACAACGTACGATGGCTTTGCCCATGGGTGTGCGCTGCACTCCGCGAGTCGCGCAGAAAAAGAATAGCGTGGAGGGATGGTGACAGGGGGGCGCCCGACCATGCCGCACGAGGGAGACGAGACAGCGAGGGTGATTTGGAAGAAAAGCGGGGCCGAGGTCGGGCCCAGGCAGCGACGCAGCGGGGCAGCTGCTCGATGGTGCTTAGGCGGTGCTGAGGCCATCCGAGACATCCCGGTCCTCGCGTGGCCTGACGAACGGTGGTGTCGGGGATCAGGGCCAGGGGGGCCAAGGGGGGCCGGGGGGGGGGGGGTTTTGAAGGATAATAGGGGGGGCGGGAAGGGGGGACAGCAGAATCGATAATAATGGGTCCGGTTCGGGGGACGGGGACGGAGCAAATACTCGTGGAAACGTGGGCGCCGCCCGGCTAGAGATGCTTGAACGGACGGCAGGAAAAGGGGGCCGAGAGGGGGAGTGAAAACGTGGCAATCACCCGCTGCTTTTATGCCGGCTTCTGGATGGCCTCGCAGTAGTCGTGCACATGAGTTATGGACAGGAGGTGCAGTTTATCCACATGTGCTATCCACGTTTATCCACGCGCATAAAGAACACCGGGGCGGTCCATTATGCACATGATTCTAGCCATGATGACGGGTATAAATAGCATATGACCTTAGTAATCCCCTCGTCGGTACTTTCAGCCTCCGACCAATGATGCGTGGCGCTGCCCCTCCATCGTCCCCCATGTGCCATGTGCCATGTATTGTATCTGCCGATTGTGCGAGTGTGTCGACCTTGCATGCAGCACTCGTGGTGGTGTTGCATGCAGACATTGCAGAAAAACCATGGATAGGACAGTAGCACAGCAGTAGCACGCGCGCAGAGGTAAGAGGGGTTCAGCAGTAGGAGGTACATGGTACATATGTGCAGTGCTGCGTATGTGCCTTGTCCTGTGTACCCAGTACATCCACTGCCCACCGCTCTGTGATACTGTCGTACCTTAGGTCGCGACGATACACCGCAGCCTCGCCTCCATCCCCTCCCTCACTATGCACGCGTGCGGCTTGCTCTGTTGGTATCTTGCAAATCCCTACGTTTCCCTCATCGATAGACAGGACTGCTTTCTTCTCTTAATGCTCTCTGTGTGCTCTTCTTGACCGTGTCCCTCTCTTATATTCTGCTCCCGTGTCCATTCAATTCCTCGATGCCCGCGATTCCTGCCATCTGACGCTCAGTACGCGATACGCGAAACGCCTGCTGCCACAGACAAGGATCTGCACACACGAATCGACGACTCGAACCAGAGAGACTCTTCCAACCTCCCTCTTCTAGCTCCTTCCGACGCTAGGTACGTAGGTACGCTCTAGAACAATTCATGCTATTGCTCCGGACAACAACAGTATTGTGCCCTGTATCGTCGACGTCTAGAAGGGCCATCGAAGGGAAGCAATCAATCAACCGCCCGACCAATCACCTTCGCCCTGTGCTGTTTTGCTTTTGTACTCCATACAATACCTCCTCTCCTGTGTACAGTGTCGTCCGGACACAGTAGTTCTCTCCCCTCCCTTCCCCCCAGTCTCGGCTGATCCTGTGGTGGAATACACCCGACTGTCTTTGACCTGAGCCACTGGGCCAGCTGTGGGTGTGAACAATCGAAACAATCAACCCCTTTCTTTCCCTTCTTTCACGACTCCCCGGATCCGAACGAAGTAGCCGGGCCGTCTCTATCAGCCTCATAGGGCGGCAGGACATGGTTGATCCATCCTGGCAAGACAAAGAAACAGGAAAATAAGAAAAAAATCGAAGGGCTTCCGAGACCTTCCCCCCAAGCCTCACCGTTTCGACCTCGCGGCCAATCGACAACGGCGACGTGCAGGTGGGAACGACCATCAGAAGTTTCTGTATTATTGGGCCCCTGCCTATGAATGAACAACGCGCAAGAGGGTGCATAAGGAAGTAGGTAAGTAGGCATTCTCCATTTTGCTGCATTGGGATGCCCCAGAGCAGCAGCGTCTGGGGGGCAGCGCCATCCAATCAATAATCTGCAGCACTACCAAGTTGCCAACAGGCCACGGCGAGACACATCATCGTGCAAAGCCTTCTCTGCCCCATGGCCCAGAGCATTCCTGCTGCGTATGACTCCGTCACTCCGTACGGGCTGCTACTGGGATGCCCTCTACCAGACTGCCGGCGCCCTGTGGTACAGCAGGGAGGGACAATATATCTGGCTTTTTCCCACGTGCGAATCAGTACACGGGATGGGCAGTGGCTGACTCGTATCTGGGACAGAACAGGCGGAAAGCACCAGCAGCACCAGCGATCGTCCCACGGCGGACCAAGCCGGCAAAGATTGACAGAACTTTATTGCCTTCCAAATTATTTCCAAATTAAAATTCCACGCGGGAGGCCCTGTGTCAAAGTGAAAAGAGCCCGGCGGAGTGGTAGGGAGAGTCGAGGCGGGAGAGGGATCCACCTACCGTCATCCAGCGGCAAGCACGGGGGGAAGTTTCAGGGAGCAAGCAGCAAAGCAAGCGAAGCAGGGCAGAGCAGAGCAGAGCAGAACAAAGCAAGCCGGGCCAAGTGTCAAAGACTCCAGAGTCCAGACCCAGGAGCCAGGACCCGGGGTGCCAGATATCTCTATCTTTAGGGAGGACTCCGGGGGTGGAGGATTATTTGCGCTTTCAGCGTGTCTTTGAGCCGCCACGCGACGGGACAGAGTCTCTCGGCATCGAAGACCTGAAACCTTCTCTGCGACTTCTTCTTCGTTCTTGGGGGCAGCGGTGATTGGGCGGGAAGGGCAAGCATTAAAGCACCTATCTGACGCTCGCCGAGTGGAGACTGCAGGGGCCCTGGCAGAACTAGGCCCTATCCCTGTTCCCACGCGAGACGATCTTTTTTCGTAGGCTACTACTCCGTACTACGGCACCTAGCCACCTGCTGCTGTAGTAGCACGACACTGACCTAGCACTATTCCAGCGTCCAAGGACTGCGACTATACAGTACAGTACAGTACAGAGTACAGACTGCTGCAGCGTGCAGTCTACAGCCTAAGCCTACAGCCTACAGACCATTCCTGCTAATGTACAGCACGGAAGTCAGGGTCTAACCTTTCTTGCCTGCGTGTCTTTTAGGTGCGACGAGGTACGACCTGGCGCAGCCTTGGACTGCAGCAACTACTCGTCCGTCTTTAGCCCCAAACCCATCGCATTCCATAACCACACCCACCCACCAACCATCAAATCCCCCCCCCCCCTCTAAAATTCTAATCCACCCACCCCCTCCCCCCCCAATCATCTAATCCGTCAGAAGACCACTCTGCGCGGAGTCCTGTGCAGGCCCAGCGCCCCAGGGTTCAGGGGTTGACCAACAAGCAGAGCGTCCGGTACGCTACGCTGCGCTATCTCTGACCTGCTTTACCCTGCTTTACCGTAAAGCACTCTTGTCTCGTCTTGCTTCTCCTCTCTGCCTCGTGTCAAACATTCTTGCAGTCTTTAGTACTGACCAGACGCACCCGGCACGGAGTACATACCCATACCCGGCCCCCCCTCAAATTGTTGGCCTTAGATGGCTTTCTCCCAGTCCACAGGCCCCACCACCACTACTACTACTACAACTACATCTCCTCCTACCCTCACCTCTTCTTCGCAACTTTCCCTCCCCTCCGCCGACCTCCCCCCTTCCCAGCAACAGCAGCAGCAGCAGCAGCCTCAGCAACAACAACTGCAACAGCCTCCACCGCAGCATCCGTCTGCTCTCGTGGATTCGCCTGCTCTCCGCACCCCTCTTCCCACTGGGGACGCCGCCCTTGCCGGCTTCACCATACCCGATCTCACGCTGTCAAACCCCCAGCACACCTATAACGACAAGCAACCGCAATCCGCGCTACCTACGAGCCCCCCGAAACTCAACCGTACCAGCCTGTTCGCCTTGGCTCGCGACAAGACCTCGAGCGCCATTGCTATCCTCTCTGAGCCTGCGCTGCGTCCACGAGGGTCGTCGGGTGGTCTATATCGATCAGGCCAGAGCAACTCCCCTCCGCCCCCTCACAGTAGGAATAGCGTCCTGTTAATCGACGCGCCGGCCAATCCCTCCGCCTTCTCCTCTGCCACGGTCTCCTCGGCGGCCTCCTTCTCACAATTCTCCCATTCGAGATCAGAGACAGCTACGACCCGCCGCTTGCTGCTCGAGACGAACCCACCTTCCCAAGCCTACTCTAATACACCGACGGATACACCAGCCCCAGTCATCATTGCCCCATCGGCGAACTCTAGCAAGATGCATCAGACCTCCTCGCGCTTGCTGCGCATGACGAGCGATGACAGGCCGTTCACAAGGGTAAGCATTGTGGAAAGCCAGACTTCTGGCTATCAAGCTAATATATAGAAGGACTTCAACGACCTGTTCGCAACCCTAGTCGTCAGCCTGCCCCTGGCACCACACCGTGTACGATTGACCAGAATAGAACACTCCTTCCTATCAGAGGAAGCTATCAACAACTTGGGATCTTTGAAGTTCTCTCAATCCAACCGGATGCCAGACCCCAAGGATCCCTCGCGGATTGTCACCACAACGACGACTACCACCTTCTCTATGGCTCGTGAGATGGCCCGATCTGTATGTCAGCGCTTCGTGGACGCCAGATTCATCGAGTCAGCGGATGGCAAACAGCAAAGGGAGTTCACAATGAAAGGCACGGTGTGGCACCTGACTCCCAAAGGTATCTACGTGCTGGAAAGATTCTGCGCCAAGAATGGGATCCAGCAGAGGCACGTCGCCGAACTTGTCAACTCCCCGCGGAATACGATGCAGCTCGTCATTCTCGAGAGAGACTCAACGACGGATAAGCTCTCTTCAGACCGCGGCACGATCGAGGTCATCTTTCGCAGATTCGTGGGCCAGAACGGTCCGAACGTCAAGGTGAGCACGAGCTCCGCCGACTCCGACTCTCTGAGCGAATACAAGGACGGCATCGCCGGTGTGAGGATGGCAAGTGAGCGGAAGGTTGGAACGCCTCCACGGACCGTCTACCAAACCTTCACGGGTAAGGCGGCCACGGATTGGTTGATGGATTGTTGTACCACGGTGGACCGGAGGGAGACGACTGAGATCGCATCTTTATTCCTGGAACATGAATTGATCTGGTGTGTTCAGTCAGATCGGTCTTATCTTCCACAGTCTGCACCAGGTGCACCGGAGGATAAAGAGAGGAGTATGAAGTTCCAGCCGTCGAAGCTTGCGATCTACCAGCTATCGCAGAAAGGCAAGGACGTCATCAACATGACCTCGAGGGAACGTATATCGGAGAGTGATGGCGCTTCGACATCCCCTAGTCGGGGCCCGGTCTGTCGCGATTCTAATACTCAGAAGCTGGAGAGGATCTTGAGCGATCCGGCCCTTCGATTGCTCTTTAGGGAGAATCTACGAGACACGCATTGCGAGGAAAACCTGTCTTTCTATCTCGACGTTGAGGAATTTCTCAAGTCCTGCAAGGCTGCTCTCAAGTCGACTTCCCCCTCTCGGAATGCCAGCCCAGGAGGTTATAATCTCGAAGCCGTCAAGGAGACCATGGCTTCAGCCTACGGTATATATAATGCCTTCCTGGCCCCTGGTTCGCCCTGCGAACTCAACATCGACCACACGCTTCGGAATCAGCTTGCAACACGGATGACCAAGGCTGTAGGGAAGGATGCCGCCATGATTGAGAGTCTGAGAGAAGTGACCAAGCTCTTCGAGGAGGCGAAGACTTCGGTGTTCAAGCTCATGGCGAGTGTAAGTTTTGTTCTTCCTCTCGTATTGTCGTATCGTGCTAACGGAATTATCCAGGATTCTGTGCCCAAATTCATGAAAAGCCCCAAGATCGAGCAGACTTTCAAGTCTATAGAGTTCGACTCGTACCATGCATCTCATGCATCTCGGCCCAGCACCAACAGTGCACGCGAGCGCAGCATGAGCAGATCCAACACATCCAACAGATGATATCGGATATCTCTTGTCTATTCCAGATACCCATAGTTCGTACTAGCCCAAGGTCTTGAGGCCCGGGCAGGATCGGTTCTTTTATGGAGGCACAAAATCCATCTTCGATTTAGCGATTGCATAGGTTCCGAATGCCCCTCACTCAGTGACGGAGCGCGTTCTTAATTATTAACGATTTCGACGTCGCACCAGACAATGCATACAGGCGCATCTGGCGGGTTTATTCAGGTCGTCCTTGTACATGGCATCTTTGGCGTTCGGAGACCCCACGGGCTTGTTTATTAGAGAGACCCCATTCATTTGATGATTATAGCGACTCCACGAAATGGTTGGGGATAATGGATGACGAGACGGGGCGGGAAAAACCGCCTTGAGAACGGGAGGGGTTGTGCGCGCTAGCCGCTGCTTGTGTAGTTAATCTGGCCTTGAACCTCATCTTGAGGAGACGCCGTACTTCATGTACAGTGCCTAGGCCCAGCTGCATAGATGACAGAGAAAGCGAAAGGAACTACCTTATTCAACTCAAGCAGTCTCGCCACGTGATTAGCTACACTCGAGGATACCTTACCTGAAGTCCCTACAGGGAGTCGGGGGTTGATATTGAACCTCGTGATCTTCTGACGTCAAGCCAGCAAGACCTTGCTGGCTGGGGGTTTATGATCCATCTTCCCATCCCACGCCGCCAAGCCCTCCGCACCATAACCTCTATGCACTGTAGGGAGTGTATAAAAAAAGTAACAATCCAGCAAGCGTAGCAGGAAATCCGGGTCGAAACGAACACACACCAAGTAATAGCCGCGCGCCAAATAGCCGATCTCCTAGACGCCGTGCTGTTTCGGATGGTGGATGGTGATTGGTGGGTGGGCTGCTGCTGTGTCTCGTCCCTTATTTTTTTCTTTTTTTAGAGATAGAGATGAGGGGTTTGGATTTGGAGAAGAAATTTGGATGAGTAATGGGGTATGGAGTATAGATCTTAAGACGCTTGATTGGTTAGGGGGGTTATAAAGAAAGGGAGAGGACAGAGAGGAGAGGAGATGAGATGAGCAAATTTAGTGTAATTGAAATATGCGGAGGAGCTAGGTTCTTTGACGGGTTTAAATTCGTATGAGATGATACTGTGTGAGAAGAGTCATTCATGTTAATTGTTAAGTGTTTGAGATCTATAGGAGAGGTGAGGAAGGGAGAGTATGAGCACCAGAGAGATAGATATATAGATGCCTGCCTGGAAGGTATGGTTTCTAGACAAGAGCCTGGTTATTGTTATAAACAGGCTTTCTCACATATGACAAACCAATCGCTGCGCTTGCGAAGGATACTCATCCATGGACATCCTCCAATGCCTTCTTGTATCGCAGCATCTTCATATAAACAGGCCAATCCCAGGAATCCAAACAATCCGCTTGCAAATCATGATCCTGCCTTGCACTGCACGTATTATTATTTCTCATCTCATCCCACCACCAATACCATTCATTTCCCCACCTCACGCCCCGCCCGTCTGTTCTTGCGCCTCCGCCGCGGCGGCTGCTGCTGCTGCTTCGGCCGCGACCCGCGCCTCCATCTTCCTCCGCGCCGCTAGGATCATCTCTTCGCGCCGCCGTTGCAGCAGTGCTTGGCGCTCATTCTTATTCTGACTCCATGCCTGGCGCGCGCCCGCTGTGCTGCCTTCCGCGCTGGATTCTCTGACTCGTGAGCTCTCTTCTGCTGCAAGCTTGTCTTGTAGGTTGTAGCGCGTGATTAGGTCCGGTTGTAGCGGTTTCTGTTGCTGGGTGCCTGTCGCGGTAGCGGAAGTAGAGGTTGAGGCTGGCGCTGCTGCTGGTGGTTGGAAGGTTTGCGGAGGCTGTATTGCAGGAAGGGACAAACATGATCAGTAACATGTACAAAGATATAGTTTTTGAAGGAGGGGGGAGAAAAAGGCGGGGGGAGGGTTTGCTTGTTTGATAGACAGATAGTAGGCAGAGGAGCAAACTCACCACTTCCAGACCCCGCCCGCTCAGGATCCGCTCTGTCGTTGCTACCACATTGCCCCCGTTCCGCTGCAGATCCCACATGATGGTGCGCCGCGGTATCTGCGGGAACATCTGCTGGACGCGTTCTACATCGGCCTCGCGCGCCCGCAGGCGTCGAGCCGCACTGCTGCGGTCAGCTGCGATGTCCGAGCCCGGCGACGACGAGAAGAAGAAGTAGCGGATGGCGAGGCCGCCTAGGAGCAGCACGATGAGCAGTTGCGGGATGTTGATGGTTTGGTCTGTGGAGGAGGGCATCTTGCTTCGTGGGGTGGGCGCTGTGCTGTCGGGGTCGGTGCTACGGTTGTGACGTCGCTGGTGCGGAGCACCTTCACTTCTGGGAGGCTGGCAGACGGCACCGGGGGTTAATGAAACTGTAGGACTCCAGGTGTCGTGTGGATGGCTTCGAGAGTCATTGAAGGGATTTTGGTTTGTAGGTAGGTTGATGGAACCTTAGTACACGGAGTTACACTCGCGGGTATGCACGTTCTACCGTTTACCAGGCAAGCTTATTTCCTCCCTGTCGCGCCCCACGAAGCCGAGCGCGCCTGCGCGGCAAGGGGTTGATTCCTTATCAGGCAGCTCCTGCGTTTAGAGGCTTGGAGTAATATTAGAGGGGAGACATGGAATTCATGTATCACAGAGCTGGAACTTCATGCAAGTAATTTGTAAGAGCAATTATCATTGGCGTCTTGTGCAATCTACCAGCTGGTAATCCCTATGCAAACCTCGCCGGGTTGCAAGAACGCCGATGAAAAGTCGATATCCCCGTTATGCCGCCTGTAGTAGCCCATGTACCCTAAGGCAAACGGTAACAAGAACGCCATCCCACGGTTCCATGCAAATATCTCGGTTTTGGTCCCTCAATAACAAGCAGCCATCAAAGAATTAAGCCCGCAACCTCATATTCGCAGAAAACACCGCCTATCGTGCCAGGCCATGAAAGCAAGCTGAGAAAAGAAACCACGCAATGTCACTAGTCGACGATGCTCAAGAGAACGCCTAGATAGGAGGACCACGTGGACCATTTGGATGATTCTCGAGGTCATCGTAGACAAGGGTGAACTCCCGCTACCAATACATTAGTCTAGAATCCGAGGTCAAAGGGGCTGTTTACTCACACGTTCGCGAACCCACTGCTTGATATCGAAGAAGATGTAATAGCCACGTTCAGTGCCACTGCCGAGGGACTGAGGAACCATCATATCATCCTTTGTCAACCAGAGCTGCAACTTCTTGTGGTAGCGCCAGTTACGGTTATGCCTATTCACAATCGTTAGAGCAATGTACCTAGGTCTTACTAAGGAGCAGCTTACAGTTCCTGGGCTGCCATCATCTGCTGGATATCACCCGGGTTTGAGTAGAACATGAAGATCAGAGCCTCGTCATTGAAGTTGGTCATCTTGCTATCAAGCGGGGCGGTATTGTGGACGCGATAGCACTCAGGGATCTCATAAGCAGGGACCGCAGGTCTGGGTGGCTCATTGTCAAACAAGGAGTAAATTTGGGTTGAGAATGGTCTGAGCTAGGTCAGCATCTGTAGATCGATCCTGTAGATCGTAACGCGTCTGATGACTTACTCGGGGGAACTGAGATCGAAACCCAGGTTGGTAATGTCAGAACCCGTAACAAGAGCTGCATAGTCTGGGTAGTTGTTCATCAAGTACGAGAACCCCTTGAGACCAAACTTGTCGACATCACTCATGTGGGCCAGTGGGTCCTGGACCTCAGAGGTGGATTCTTCAGCATTGCTTTGAGACGAGCCAGCACCAGAATCAAGGGCTTGGGAACGCGAACCCGATGCTTCAGGCTGCTGTGCGCCATCAGGACGCGTCGACGATCCGCTGGCCGACATGGTTGGTTGTGGTGGTTGTGTTGTGTTATCTTCACGTAAAGGCTGAGGAACTGAGGAACTGAACTGCGCATTTGAGAAGGCCTGGGGTTCGCTTAATTAGCCCAGATTGGAAGCAAAACAACAGACAGACCAATTCACTCACACTTCGGTCGCTTTCACCGCCTAATCCTGAGCGCTGTGTCTCAACTGGTGATCTTGATGTTGATAAACCTTTGGATCCATTAGTCAGATCAAAGTCAACGTGTTGCACATGTCGCTTACCTGACAAGCTTGCAGGAGAGGCAACACGGTTGTTTGATGCCATTCTGTTGCTTCCTGATAGAGCGTTCAGAAGGCCATTATTCCGAGTTTGTTGGGTGGGATTTGTAGATCCAAATCCTGCCCCACTGGATTGAGCACCGAAGCCAACATTTTGGATCATGTTTGAGCTGCGGTCTTGTCCCATATCGCCATTTGCGTTGCGGCTGAGTGGAGGAAACTCATCAGCGTTGTGGGACTGCGATGACTGGCCAATAGCACTCTGGTTACCAAACCGAAATCCACTTTGATTGCTTGGCAATTGAGATGAGGAGCCAAAGAGATCATCTTGTTGCTGTTGACTCTGCTGTTGAGCACTCATCTGCTGTTGAGAGGAGACCTGGGTCTGTTGTAACCGCATGTTGCTTGATGGTCCTAGACCTCGAGATCCAGCCCATGTTGATTGGCTTGGTTGTGGCTGGTTATTGGATAATGACGGGAACTCACTAAGAAGTATATCAGTGAGTGTTCATTTGAAAGCTTTATAAGTGATCAAAGGGAAAGGAATGATATCCAGATCTTGACACGTCCACAGACTCTTCCAAGGGGAAAACAGTGACATATTCAGATCTTGACACGTCCACAGGCTCTTCCAAGGGAAAGCAGTGACATATTCAGATCTTGACACGTCCACAGGCTCTTCCAAGGGAAAGCAGTGACATATTCAGATCTTGACACGTCCACAGGCTCTTCCAAGGGGAAAACAGTGACATATTCAGATCTTGACACGTCCACAGGCTCTTCCAAGGGGAAAACAGTGACATATTCTGATCTTGACACCTCCAAAAGCCCTCCCATGGGGTGAAAGGCTCATGTTTGACTGATGACAGAGTATGTCCAGACCCGTTGTGCAGTTCAAGACTGCCCATGGAGTTCATACCTTGCACTGAAGTATCCGCTAGAGCTGGAACTCTCACAACTGAAGTACACGCTGGAACCATCTGAACCATCTCCAGACAACTGAGAGGCCATTCCAGGAGTCTGGGTGTCCTCCCGTCGAGCGTGGTTCCAACTTCCCTCCATGTTGGTGGGGTGGGGTGATGAGGTGGTTGTAGTTGTGGAGTTGACAAAGTGGGTTGATTTTCAAAAGAAAAAAGAAGAGGAAGAGGAAGAATTATACTCACGAGAGATCTAACTGCGTGGTTGGTTGTGACGAACCTCCTATTGTCTGTGCGAAACTCGTCATGGGGCCGTTGTTTGGACGAGGATTTCCTAGAACGCCGCTGCCCATAGGCACTCCTCCCCCGCCAAAAGGCCAAGTCGCTCCTCCTCCGTTACTTGCTATATCCAATTTAAACATCAGCACTTCGTGGACTTCCAGCAATGAAGGTATTTAGAGGGCATCTGTACCCATCTTTCCGCTTGGTGGTAATCTATTCGATACGCTTCTATTTTGTGGTAACTGTTGCTGATTTGGGTAGCTGTTTGGTAGGCCTCGTAATGATTGTGGTACAACTCCTGCCAGATCGCAACAGTCAGCCTTCATTCCCGGAAAAGAACAGAAGCAATTGAAATATTCATCAAAGATTGGCCATGACAGTCCGCGCAACTATCAAGATAGACATCAAAATGCTAGCCTGCCTTCTGAAGCCGCAATGGTTCCTCTGCTGCTAGATCCCGTCTGGCAATAATAGTTATCCTCAAAATAACCACTTGGATCGCCTAGACGGCGTGGTTACAGCAAGCATCTATCTTAAAGAATGGCAGCTTGCTCCTGGACCAGTTCTGAACTTCCGCAGCACCCTTGACCTCTCTACATCACAAGTGATGCGCCAGCAGACTGGATATGGAGAAAATGTCTTTGTTTGCGTGGTGCGCCATGCTTTTCATAGGGCAGACGGCTCGAAATCGTGGCTAGGCCAGCGCGGGGCATCCTGAGGGATTGAAAGGGTGTTGAATATCCATACCTGGTCGATTCATGGTGTTCTCTGGTGGATTTGGGCCCTCCAATCTTTCCCTAGAGGTCGCGATCGAAATGGTATCTGGTACAGGGGGTTGACAGAGAGTTGTATGCTTGGATTGTACCTTTGAAGCTTGATGTTGGAAGTGAAAGGTGTAGTGCTAACGCACGGACACTCCACAAACGAGTGCAGCCTCATTCGCTAGGCTCGATGACGGTGGTTCATGAGGCTACGTACTGATTTGCGCCTATCTTTGTAGTTGCAGTTACATTCATGATTCTCTAGCAAATTCTACTTTTGTTCCTTTGATGTTACGGTTGAAGCTGTCAAGTTGACATCTATAAGGTGCCACCACCGACTAGACTCTGCTGTGAGCCCTATCAAAGAATGTCTGCAAGAAAGTGAGTATATATTTGCGGCTATCGAATTTAGGCCCGAAATGTTCGGTCCCTTTCTGTTGAAATCATTGCTTTAAGTTCCGCCTTGGTCGCTTCTTTCCCGACTCTCACTGCTTCTTCGGGTCTTTGATGGGCCAAGAGACCGTGATCGATGAATCAACAGCGGAGAATATTGGATAATCGGTACAGTGCAATCAATACCTTTGGATCAGATTGATTTACAGTTGTCACTATGTTTTGCCAGTGTTTGTTGCATCGTTGGTTTCCGATATTGTTCATCCTCCTTGTGGAAAGCCTCTTTGTGGCAACCTATGTGCACTATCGTTTTGATCTAAACCTCGAGGACCTTGGCCGGCATGCAATCCATATGCTCCACCTTCCGCAAGATTCAACCATTCCACATCTTGCATATTTCCTGGCTCCAAATGTGAAGCCGCCCAACCTGTTTGGCTTCCGACTACCGCTACCTCTGGAATGACACCCTGCTCTTTAAACACAAACGGCGGCAATCTCGAACGTGCGTCATCGAGCTTCAGGGAAGCAAATATTTGTTTCATGTCTCGTAGATCCTCTCCTGGCAAGTCTATGGCAGGCGACGAGCGCTCTTCCACAAATTTGCGGATGGAACGTATGATTGGCGGGTAACCTTCATCGTTAGGAAGCCACCAGTCTATACAAGACCGATCTCGAAAGATTTCTGACATCTTGGTTCGAAAAGTATAGGGGTATATATAACTACGGGTCTGATTAGCAGAGGCTGGAACAGCAGTTCCGGAAACAACTTACCCATTGGATTCTATGGTCGCCAGCTTGCGACGAGCCCACATAGAGTGTCTCTGATCTCTAGGGAGGAACGAGCATGATATTCCAAGACTTGATTGTAAAGCCAAGACTGTACCGGGAGGACTCCCAGGCCAGAGCTCGACAGATTCAAACAGCTGACAACTAGCATACGCCTTGAGACAAAGTTCTCTACTCGGTTGCGTCTTTATCGTCAAGGCGGTCTGATACAGGTGCATCAAGCTGATAGAATGCCAGTCGATCGCGGCGACGTTCATCACCCAGAGGGGTCCACCATATATAACGCCAGGCATATAGGGGTTGACGATGTCATCAGGGTCAAAAGCTGGGGCGCCGCTGAAATCTGTAACCAGGTAACGACTATCTTGTAGAGATGGATCCATCTGGGTCTTCCAGGCCTCGATCCGTTTCCCTATAGCTTCAATTTCTTCGAAAAGTTGACCATGGGTAATCCCCTCTTTGCCGTTTTTTGCGAAGACAGTTGACATGTCCATAGCGATGAGGCGGAGTTGTGCAAAAACGAGCTCAATCTTCCAGTTAAGGTTAGTAGACTCTCTCGATACTTGTTGCTCAAAAAAGTCTTGCGCATAGGACGGCCACTCCCTGTCGAGGACCATTTCAGATCCAGTCATCAGGCTGGCCAAAGCGTCGAACCTCAAGTACCATCCTAGTATGACACGGCTCATTTCGTTCTCCATTATTGTCTGGGGAGTATAGAGTTCTGTCAGGATCTCGTACGCTGCCTTTTGATGGCCCAGCAAGTTGATCCAATCCCCTAGAAATTCCTATAGATAATCAGCTTTGAGGTTTTTACTAACCGCTCAGCTCTCACCTCGATTGTTGCAAGCTGCAATATTGCCAGTAGTGTGCCTACATTATGTCGCTCGCCTTTTCTCAGAGATTCGAGCAGCAAGGATACTGCCTTATTGTAATATTGAAGGAAATCTTGGATTTTGCCGTCAGAATTATGCAATGTTCGCTGAAAAGCCGAAAATCCGACCAGGGCATAAAGTAGTGCTTCATTCCTCAAGGCGGCATCGAGAAAAGTTGTCTTCAGGACATTTCCTGGGTCAAACTTCAAGGAGTAATGGAGGTGAGTGAGGTTTTGGTAAAAGTAAGCCAGATAAAATTGAAGATCTGGGGGGAGTTGGGACCAGTCGATTCTTAAGTTGGTCGAAATTACAGATGGCGAGGACGTTGTTCCAAGTCGAGAGGTACCGAATGCCTGGTATGAGAGGTATCCTACAGAACCTTCTGTAGATGGTGTAGGCGATGCACCTATATCTAGCCCAGGCGGCGATGTCTCTGAACCTGTTCCTGCAGTATTGTTCTGTCCACCCATATGTTGAGAAACACTACTACAGTGAGCATTGGATTTCGGCGCGGTTCCAAAATTTGCTGCCATCATCTTATGGATCTCATCTTCGCTAGGTGTCGCCTCGAGAGGGGTACGTTCCAGGCCGTCTTCATATTCATCCCATGATGAACCCGGACTTCCTTGGGCCCCGGCCTGAATCGTCTGGGGGGGACTATTGCTTCCCTGTTTGGTGGATGTTGATATGTCTGGATAGACACATTCTCGACCACCTTTCTTACATCCTACAACGTGATAAGCATACCGTGACACAGTTGTTCTAAAGCCGATTCCTTACGTTCGCAAATCGGGTGAATCTCATCGCACTTGAAGAATAAGCAATCATCCAACATATTTGGTTCTAAATTTGTTGTACCTTGACACGCCTGCTTCTACAGGTATAACAGCCAGATCTTGTCCGGCGGTGCTTATTCTGTTCTGAACCCTGGGACGACTTCTTGCGAGTTCGATTAGATTTGGGAATCATGTTTGGGTCTTGAACGTTAAATCGATACCGTAGGTCTGTGAGAGAGCTTTCTGAGCTCAGCGGCTGGCAAGGTTGCGATATTTGTCCTGGTAGACCATTGAATTGGAACACCTGTTGGTGAGAATCAGTTGTTGCGTGGTCTATTGGACCTTGGTAAGTAAAATCAGTCATGGTGATATCATAAGTGAGGTGCGAAGCCTTGCAGCAAACAGTGTTATACTCGACGAAAGCAACCTCCGTGGAGGTGCACAGCTTTGAAGTGATGGTATCCCAGCACCGGGAGAGATCTCACTAACCCAAAGCAGGGACGAGGTCCCGCAAACTTCCCGCGTTGTCCAGTTCGACTGGCCGTCGTGGAAGCAATTGTATACAATGCTAGAAGACGGAGTCTTTCATAGCGTCAGAAACGTTTCAATTTTCAACCCTGCAATCCAAAGGGCTCTTTAGCAGTTCATCAGCTAAGCCTGGGGAGACTGGGATCTCAGCCAGGGTGTAGACCCCTGGAGTCAACCAAAGCTGGAAGTGCCGTCCTGCAATGGGCTCAAACCATCCAGAGTACGTTAAAGTGGGGTGAAGACGCGGTTGCTAAGTGGTGCACACTGTACGCACTCTATAATCGATGAGGCTATAACGGGTATAGTAGCTAGGCATTTCAAGCTGGACGCACTGGCGTGAGCAGGGTACGTATTGGATTCATTTTGACGTCTCCAGGAGTGTTTGTAGGTCAAGAATGGAGCCTTCCAGTTGCGGAATTGCTCCCTGCGTGATATGATCTGATAAAAAGGGCTACTGTATTACCTGCACGGGAAGTTGGAGTGCGTGACAGGGGTGTCGTTCAATGCTGAAGTACTTCTTTTTAACTGTCATTTTCCCATGACAATGCCAGCTGGTATCTTTTCAGTGCCAATCCATACAAAACGGACACCATTGTGATGTCCTAGGTATGCCCCGCCTGGGAAAGTTCTCGTATGGACCAATTCCAGTTACGGCTGTCAAATCTTTTCTGGGCTTGAGCTGAGCATTCTAGTTGGCAAGATCAGACCACAGTGTGTCCAGAACGTCGATCAAGGTGAAATGGCAGTTGGCCGTAGCCTTTGTGATACGTGACAGGATGAGCCGAAAACTGGGATGCCGCAGAAGTGGATAGTGTTGAGATGTGATAGGGGCAGAGAGCCAGCCTTTGCAGGAGGAAGAACTAGGGCCTCGAGTCACCGTTGGACGTCGATATCTAAGATGCAGCATGTCAGTGACAAAGTATGGAGGACCACTACGGCCTACGGGGGAAGTGGACCCCTAAGGCGCCCAATTTTAGAGTCAACAAAGGTCTGTGCTCACAATAAATACTCCGTATTGCGGGTCAATTGCCCGACCCATGTTGATCACTTCAGGGAGTTCAAACTCCAGAGTCCAGAATCCAGACGCCCTGAAAGGCCATACGGGCCGTATAGTAATTGGGTGATTGAGTTAAGTAGTTGCTCTATACCCCTCATCCACTCCAAGCTCTAACCTTGACCTTTCTCTGACGGAGGCTGAACAGGCCTGAAACTGTGCTAGTCAAGGGCACAAGCGCCTGAAGCAATTGCCGCCATATTATACGATAAATGTGTACCTTATGCATAGGTAGATACTGACAACTCACTACTGCATTTTGAAAGAGGAGCAACAACTCTGGTTGCCTTGACTATTGCTTTGAAGTTGAAAGTTTGTACGGAAGTACGTACGCTCTTCCCGTAAGGTGGATCCAGTTGCCCGTCGGGCCCACAACTTAGAGCCTAATACATGAAGTATAAGCCGGGTTGACACGGATGGGTTGGTCCCTGTCGGGCAAGGCTCAGGACTCAGGAGAAAGAACTGAGGTTAGTGGAATGGAACTTGGCAAGGAGGCCTGGTCAGATGAGGCTTGAGATCAGGTCCCGATGAGGATTGAATTCGATTGACTGTTCGGAGAAATTCTTTACGGAAGAAATCCCGTTCGTCCAACAGGGGGGCGGGCCATGGTCGAGGAATGCCGTGTACAAGAAGTATGCCCCTTGGTACACGTACCATATCTTGACCTATTATATGGGAAATGATTTAGCCGGAGGAACCATCAATACTACAATCAAAACAAACGGCTTACGGAGTAATTGATGGTAATCATGGGGTAGGTACCTATGTTTCCCTTCATGCGGATTCAACTTGACTAGGGAGGCTTGGTAGTTGGTAGGCACGTCGGAGCAGCATCCGAACAGAGGGAAGGGGCAAGGGGCTGCCGATATGTTGAACTACTCCACACTGTACCTCTGTACGGAGTAGTTCTCAGGGCGAAGAGGACCTGGGAATCTGGACATCTGTCTTCTCCAATAATAACAATATACCGTACTTTCGGGACTGCCGAATCAGGAACCCCTGTGGCAGTCATTGCCTTAAGAAAGATCCTATTAATCAAAATAAGGGGGGCAAAGTCTCCAACATGCCCTCTTCTAGACAGAAAGGGGTCGAAGAGCTTTCTTCGACAGCCTCAAAAGAAAAGCAACAAAAGCCTAGAAATTCAATGTTGCAAAGTCTTTTCTGACGTGTGGGCCTACCCACTCTCAACGTCTCTGCCTTTCTTCGGGCGATGCCGCCGGGCAACGGTGCAAGCTCTATTGCTGCTAGGTATGTACTGTAAGACAGGGAAAGTAGGTACCTTAGGTACCTTATCTTACAACATGGAACGGAAGGTCACGTGGAGCCCTGACCTCCACCAAGTTTACCTATAGGCAGAGTCTAATATCAAATCACAGGAATAATACAAATACTGTACGAGTAGTCGAACTGCTAGAGGACATACTCCCGCTGCGGCTATCCGTCGTTTGACAGCAACTTCCGAGTTTCAAGGGAGAGTTCACCTGCATAGGTAGCGCATTAGTTGGTCCAAGCCCTACACCTGACAAAGCTCTAAAAAAGCACGCGCATTTTCTTTTCTTCTACAGCCTCATCTCTATGCATGAGTTGCGGGATATAACTCCATCCTGGATATCATGCCTGGATCAAGCTAAGGTATTCGACATGCCGTAGTACGGAATCTTGGCTGCAGGCTGCAGCTGTCACCAGAATATCACCAAGATCCTCCGAATCCTTCCATCTCGGCAGCTTCATCGGTGGAGACTCGGAGAGATGTGAGCTCCAACTACCTACTCCACGACGGAGGGCGGTCTTTCACAGGTGCCGTTGGCCCGTTGTCCCGCTGTTGATCACTCAAGCTACTTTTAGCACCTGCGCAGCGCCCATCTTACGCCGTTACGGGGGGAGGCGTCGGGATTAACTCCGTATGGGTGTTGTTGATCGGTGATGGGTCGGAGTCGACGTCCAACTTTTCTATCGTGATCGCCCATCGTGATCGTACTTTTCAGCACAGGCTAGGACTGACGAAGACTCGAAGGTGGTCGACTAAAACGTTTCAAAGATTCGCGACGCTGATGCCTTGATATACATTGTCGCAATGATTACTTGTTCGTCACATTGTCATTTCTATTGGCTACACCCCCGTCTCTGTTTTGAAGAGGACTCGGTCTGTTTCAACTTTGAATTTGGAAGAGCAAATATTCAAAGCTTGCATACTCTGTAGGGTCAAAGCGTTTGCATCACAGTCTTCGTCGCGCTTGTTTTCTTGGCGCCCACAGTTTAGACAGATCCCTCCACTGATGGATGAGACCCGAGAGGGCTTCCTACAAGGAAGAGACAGAGACTGTGAGCTTTAATGCAAGGGGCCTGTTTCAATACACCGTTCGGGTTCACATCCGAGTGTGATGGAGGCACGACGCCGAAGGAGCTCAGGAAGGCCTCTGCCCAGTGCCCCATTAGCTTCATCTCATCTACATACCAAGACAAACTTATATGTGATTTGCTATGTAGCGTTGTACACGCTAATCTTAGATATGGCCTGAGGGACCTGGTTGTCGATATGGAGGTGAAGCTTGGACAACGTATGGATGAATCTGTCCAATACGCTATAGGCTCTTGACGATCTTACTGTCTGTCGTTCGTACTTCAAAGCATTCTTGTGTTTAGCGTGTTGAGACGAGTGTTATTTCTTAGTCATTTCTGCTGTCGCAATGCCACCGTTTTGTTCCGTGGTGATTTTATTTGAGAATAGTATTCCAAATACTCGACAGAGCCAAAAACAGTGATGGTTCTGGAGTTGGGCAGATCCACCCCTTCTCAGAACCTCAATGACATAGGTCAAAATTCAAGCTGGCATCTCCATATTAGATTCATCGCCTTCATCTGGTTACAAATTTGTCATGCGAAACAGCCCGTCAGAGCTGACCTCTTCCATCGATTGCCCCCGATATCGAGATATGTACATTGATTCAAAAAGACCGGCACCACATCGTGAAGAGAATAATAGCGGGAGGGTGAACCAATGTAGCCCAGTATAGCATCCATTCAAGCTCTCTAGGCAGATCTATACAAGAGAACACAAGAGTAGTATCATGCATCTGATCACTTGCTCGATCTTTGGTTACCCCTGCCTGGCGTCCATACCCACGTCTACATGAAATCAACGAAAAGGGTTTATATGTAGGCCACGCAGATCAATGCTTCGGCAGTGGCCCCGTTATCCGACGAGGCTGGGAATTGGCATTGCCGGACAAGGCACTATCTCTGTGCGGAGAGTAGTGTCGATCTTGTGATAGTGATGGACTCAACACATTGCATATATCCTGCAGAAACTGATAGGGAACTTTTCAGGGATAGTAGGAAGTCCGCTTCCGGCATAGCGGTTTAGATACAGTAAGAAAGTGTTCTGGCAAAGATGAGAAGACGTATCCAGCAAATGGAGTTTGGCCAAACGTATCTCAGGCGCTGACTGCCCTCTCCTCTTTCTGTCTTCAGACTTCGCTCCCTTCCTCATCCTCACTGTCCAGGTTTCCCCGCCAGCGCCATGCTGGATCATCCCTTCACCTTGGACACCATCCAGCTTCGAGTCGAGTAGTCCATATGTACGCATAAGTCCTCTAAACTTCACGATTTAGGCATTTCCCCACCAGAATCATCCGCATTGTAATTCCATCTTCCATCCTTCCATAAGGCAAGAATGTTCGCCATAGATGGAACATACCACGAAACAGACAGACCTGATTTCTTTCTTTGATAAAGGTATGGGAAAGATAGATTCTATAACTTCAAGTACATCTATCTCTATAGCTTTCCTCCAACCTCTGGATCAATGCTTACCTTCCCATGTTCACACGTAGCCATAATAGCACCATCCCTCTTCCTCCTCATTGTCCCCTTGATTGTACAAAGTCTCTTGCCTGCATGCACCACCTCGCTCTCAATCAATATCTCCTCCCCCACTGGTATCGGCCGAAGATACGTAACACTCAGGGTTCTGGTGACGCCGGCGAAGGCCCAGAATCCGGGTTTGGCGATCGGGGCCAAGGAACACGTCGTGCAGACATCGAAGATGGTAGCGGTACACCCGCCGTGTAGGTTCCCCAGTCTGTTGCAGTGTGATGGTTCAACCGTAAAGATGAAGGTTGACCGGCCTGTTGGATGGGAGGAGGCAGATAGGAGACGGATTTGTGTCTGAAAAAGGGTGGCGCCCCAGCCCTGTGGTGAGGGGTAATTAGTGACCGAGAATCCCCATAGTAGTTATCGACTTAATGTCTATTGAATGAGGGCGACAAGAAAGTCGGAAACAGAAGTATGAAAGATGAATCCTGATAGAGAAGAGGTTTCTCAAAACATGGGACAAGAACAATTAAGCAGCTCAAAATCCTAAGAGTACAAAAATCATCACTCACTTGGTACACATCCTCGGACATTGAGCCCTGGAGCATTCCATTCACCTTCTCCTCAGCAGATAGTTCTTCGTCCAGAGGGACACTGGCCAATTCCATCCCCTCAGCCACCCCAGGCATAGAAACCTTCCTCTTTTGCTGAGCCATAACGAAGTCTCCCTAATTGTAGAAAGAGTGTATGGGTATGGAAACCAACAGCCATCTTCGAAATCCAGTAAAGGGTCCCCCAGACTCTGGGGCTGCAGCCGAGGTTCATTTGATTATGCATATGTGCCTGACAGATGAAGTGATGCCTGAACCTTGTCGCGTGTTTATGTTGACATTCGCGTTTTCAGCAACGGGACCGCAACGATGATACCAACGACCAACGACTTTCACGACCCCACCACGCCAAAATGAGGGTTGTCGAGGTTATAATTGACGTATGCGCCTTGATCTAGGAAATTAAAAGCATATGCTGATTCTAACAGGGTTTTAAATCGTACGCTGTACGAACTGTGATTTCCGGATGGTAAACAATGGCAACAGATTCTTCTTTTCTGGATACTAACGCTTCTGTAGGGACGAGAGCTTCAATTCGATTACAGGTCTTAATGGGAGTGGTAAATCCAATATTCTGGACTCAATATGTTTTGTTTTGGGTATTACGAACATGACCACGGTCCGCGCGCAGAATCTCCAGGTATGCGCCAGGGCTCCCAGATTTTGTGGACGTGGGCATACTGACGGAGTAATGTAAGGATCTTATTTACAAGCGTGGACAAGCTGGAGTTACCAAGGCCAGTGTGACGATTGTTTTTGACAACCGCGACAAGAAGAAGTCTCCTATCGGATTCGAGGAATATGCCCAGATCAGTGTTACCAGACAGATTGTCCTCGGAGGCACAAGTAAATACCTCATCAATGGTCACCGAGCGCAGCAGCAGACTGTCCAGAACCTTTTCCAGTCTGTTCAACTCAACATCAACAACCCCAATTTCCTCATCATGCAAGGTCGCATTACAAAGGTGCTGAACATGAAGCCGGTTGAGATTCTCGCCATGATCGAGGAGGCGGCTGGTACACGAATGTTTGAGGATCGAAGGGACAAAGCTTTTAAGACGATGGCCAAGAAAGAGATGAAGGTCCAGGAGATCACGGAGTTATTGAAGGACGAGATAGAACCTAAGCTGGAGAAATTACGGACGGAAAAAAGGGCCTTTTTGGATTTCCAACAAACGCAAAATGATCTGGAGCGATTAACTAGGATGGTTGTAGCGCACGACTATATCAAAAACCAAGAAAAGTTGAAGCAGTCGGCGAACGACTTGGAGCTCAAGAAACAACGGGCCCAGGATTTGGAGGAATCCGCTATCCGGCTGAAAAATGAGATTGACAATCTCGCCGAGGATCTCAAAGCCGTGAAGGCACAACGAGAGAAGGAACTGCGCAAAGGCGGAAAAGCCCAGGCACTTGAAGAAGAAGTAAAGAAACATTCTCACGAGCTGGTTCGACTTTCAACAGTCATAGACCTCAAAAAGTCAAGCATGGTTGAGGAAAAGGAGCGTAAATCCACCATCCAAAAATCTGTTTCCGAACTCGAGACACTGTTAAAGCAAAAGACAAAAGTCTACGACAAACTACAGGCACAGTATGACGGAGCAAAGGAGGAACTCGAGAAGCTAAGTCGGGAAGCTGAGACGAAGGAGGAGCTGCTTCAGACTCTGCAGACCGGTGTTGCCTCAAAGGAAGGACAAGAGAGTGGATATCAGGGTCAGCTCCAGGATGCACGCAATCGAGCAAGTGCTGCGTCAACAGAGCAGGAACAGGCCAAGCTCAAGATGGCGCATCTTGAGAAGCGTATCAAGGAAGAGGAACCACGGGCGAAGAAGGCGAAAGAGCAAAACGCTAGCCTATTCAACGATCTCGAAGGGCTACGATCACAAGCCCAGAAGCTGGAAAGAGAGCTTGCTAAACTGGGCTTTGAGCCCGGCAAGGAGGATGAAATGTATAAGCAAGAGTCTACTCTTCAGCAGACGATCCGAAAGCTTCGCGAGCAATCCGATGGTATGAAGCGCAAAGTTGCCAACATCGACTTCAATTACTCTGATCCAACCCCTGGTTTCGATCGGTCGAAGGTCAAGGGTTTGGTGGCTCAGCTATTTACCCTAGACAAGAACCACACGGCTGCTGGAACTGCTCTCGAGATCTGTGCTGGAGGTCGCCTGTATAATGTGGTCGTTGATACCGAAGTCACTGGTACCCAATTGCTGCAGAATGGCAAGCTTAGGAAACGTGTAACCATCATTCCTTTAAACAAGATCGCCTCTTTCAGGGCGTCTGCGGAAAAGATTGCTACAGCGCAGAAAATTGCCCCCGGAAAAGTCGATCTCGCATTATCTCTAGTTGGTTATGATGAGGAGGTATCAAATGCTATGGACTATGTCTTTGGTAATACCTTGATCTGTGCAGACGCTGCGACAGCCAAGCGAGTCACATTCGATCCTGCGGTCCGGATGAAGAGCATCACTCTCGAAGGTGATTCGTATGATCCATCTGGAACTCTATCTGGTGGCAGTTCGCCCAATTCCAGCGGGGTCCTGGTCACCCTGCAGAAGCTGAACGAACTAACCAAGGAGATTGGGGTGCAAGAACAAGCTTTGGCAGATCTCCAAGCTACAATAGCCCGAGAGAAGAAAAAGCTTGACCAGGCACGAAAGATCAAGCAGGAATTAGATCTCAAATCCCACGAGATCAAGCTCACCGAAGAGCAGATTGGCGGCAATTCCTCTTCGTCCATCATCCAAGAGGTTGAGAACATGAAAACGGCAATCACACAGCTTAAGTCTGATCTTACAGAGGCCAAAAAGCGACAAGAAGAAGCAAACAAGGATATCAAGCGCATCGAGAAGGACATGAAAGACTTCGATAACAATAAGGATGGCAAGCTTGTAGAATTACAAAGCTCTCTCGACGCCTTAAGAAAGGTTCTGGCCAAGAACTCCGCATCTGTTAAGGGTGTACAGAAGGAGTTGCAGGAGGCTAGGCTGGAGTCCGAACAAGTTGGCGGTGATCTTACTGCTGCTCAGGAACAGCTCCAAGAGGTTGAACAGACTTTGAAGGCTCAGGAAGAGGAAATTGCCGGGCTGGTGTCCGAACAGAAACAAGTCAAGGTCCGTATTTATCTAGCCAACTAAAAGGGTAATATTAACAATTTCAAGGATACCCACGATATTGCTCAAGCCCACCTTAACGACGAGCGCGCAAAACTAACTGGCTTTGACGAGGAACTCCGCTCGCTGGAGGAAGCCTCACGATCAAAATCAGCCCGCATTACGGAAGAGGGTCTGGAGATGCAGAGGCTCGGTCACCAGATTGAGAAATTTCATAAGGAGCAACAAGCCGCCGAGCAAACTGTAGCGCATATGGAGAAGGAGTATGAGTGGATTGCGGATGAAAAGGACAATTTTGGCAAGACTGGAACGCCATATGACTTCAAAGGTCAAAACATCGCCGAGTGCAAGGCCTCATTAAGGAATCTCACCGAGCGTTTCCAAGGCATGAAAAAGAAGATCAATCCAAAAGTTATGAACATGATAGATAGCGTGGAGAAGAAAGAGGTGGCACTGAAAAACATGATGCGGACTGTCATCAGGGACAAGAAGAAGATCGAGGAGACGATCGTCAGTTTGGATGAGTACAAGAAGAAGGCTCTCCAAGAGACATGGCAGAAGGTCAATGGAGACTTCGGTCAGATCTTCGCCGAGTTACTGCCGGGTAGCTTTGCGAAGCTTGAGCCTCCCGAGGGCAAGACCATTAATGAGGGTCTTGAGGTCAAAGTCAGCTTGGGTAAAGTTTGGAAGCAGTCATTGACAGAATTGTCGGGTGGGCAGCGGTACGTCGTAGTTGTTCATGGTACACAGGGCTCGTGCTGACATTCACAGTTCACTCATCGCTCTCTCCCTTATAATGGCCCTCTTGCAATTCAAGGTAAGGATCCTCGGGAAGAAAAGAGACCCTTTCTATGGACAGATTCCTGAGGACTGAAATATGCTTTACCCTCGAGGCAACGCCTTTAGGGTAGCATGTGTTACGAATCACGAATCATGTCCCTCCCATAGCCCTTTTCGTCTCCTAAGTAAGCGATTACTGATTCTCGAACAGCCAGCGCCAATGTATATCCTAGACGAAGTGGATGCAGCTCTGGATCTCTCGCACACCCAAAATATCGGGCGGCTCATCAAGACGAGGTTTAAGGGCAGTCAGTTCATCGTGGTTAGTCTGAAGGATGGCATGTTCCAGAATGCCAACAGGATCTTCAGAACGAGGTTCAGTGAGGGCACAAGTGTAGTGCAAGGTCCGTGTTTCCCGAACAATCCCCTAATCCGAGGCCATGCATGGCGAGTGCAGAAGCAGTTTATGTTATTGTTCTGTTGCGGCGGCTGTTGCTAACTTCTGAAAAGCCCTTACTCCTGCAGATTTCAAGTGACGACAGTATCAAATATTGGGCGGGGTGCCGTTGGAGGTCAACATCAAATATCTGGGTAGCATATTGGGGATTGGAGTTTGGGTTATAGGCATTACCTTGAGTGGTCTTGATGATTGTATGAACTATACCTAGGAATGTGTATGAAGCATTTTGATCATGCGTCGCTCCCCGAGAACCCCCCTGTATGAAGAGAAGATGAAGTTAAAAATTCGAGATGTCCGAATTCAGCCGTTGTCAGTACGTGTGGTTTGAGCGACAAAGAAGGGGGCGAGGTCAGGGGTAATTTTATAGGTAGACAGTCCATAACACTAAAGCCACTCCCGGCCCCGATGATTCCCCGTTTCTCCGCATCGACTTCAACTGCGCCACAACCCGAGGAGGCTCTATCGCAACCGTATGTAGACGGCCTTTTCGATCAGCCTCTGGCGCTCTGTGAGCATGGTGAGTGGTTCAGAGAGACGAAGACCTCCTGAAATTCAATGCAGATTCATCTTCGGTCAACGTAAGTTCCACTGTTCCAGCCTGGATGCCGTGCCAATTGCCACGCCTCGGCCACGCCTCGAGGAGGTCTGTACTGTGCGCCTGAAACCCGCAGTCCAGCATAGGGATTCAGGACACTCGTCGCGCAAGATTTTTGAGAGAGCATTTTTTTTTTTTCCTTAATCAATTTCATATCTTCTCTCTTTACCCTTTTCCCCTTTCTAACCGCAGTACTTCATGTGCATTATCTGGTAAGACGCAACGGGCACTCCATATTGTACAATAGGGGACTGACTCTTCTCACCTTTGCAGAAGACAGACAGCACATCCCGTGCTTCGTACTCTCCTTAATCTAACATGGCCGCTTTCTTTGAGCACTACCGCGGCATTCTCGAACAACACTACGCAATCTATTCTAAGCAATTGTTCGACTACCTCTCGTCTATCCCGACGACCACATATATTCTGACGGTTCTCGCCATCTGCATACCACCGATCATCGCACTTACTGTCTACGAGCTGGGGCAAGCTAGACTCCGTGCTGAACAACCTAAAGGGTGCCGAAAGTTAGGTCTAAAGATAGACTCCAATCTCTCGAATGAGTTCGATGCAAAATTCTCCGAGGGCCGTCCTCCAAGTACGGAGGAGACCTCTGCTGAATGGTGGAGGCTGAAGAGCATGTGGATATACCCAGTCAAGAGCTGCAGAGGTGTGGAGTTGAATAGAGGTACCGTGGTTGCTTCTGGCTTGGAATACGACCGCCAATTCTCCTTTGCTCAGCTGTCTCGTGCTACTACGAATAGCCAGGACACAGAGAAGCCTGCGCACGAATGGCAGTTCATTACCCAAAGACAGTTTCCTGCCCTGGCGAGAGTCAGGACTGAGGTTTGGGTTCCCGATCAGGCAGTGCAGACATATACACCTCATGGCGAGGATGTTGAGAGTGGAGGGGTGATTATACTTAGCTTCCCATATCAAGAGCCGGGCTGGAGAGGGACGGTTGCGAGGTGGGGCGCTGCAATCAAGGGCACAGTTCCTGAGAAGCATTTCAGAGTACCATTCGACCCGTCTCCAGCGCAGATTGAGAAGGCAGGGTACACTTTCGAGAATATAAAGATATGGAAAGATACCGTGCGCGCGCTGAACATGGAAGTTGATATCCCTGAGGAACTCCGATCCTACCTTGGCATAAGCCATAAGCTTGGTCTCTTCAGGGTCGACAACACCAGGCTACGGGAGGTGCACCGAAACGCGCCGAAGAAGGAGGACCTAGGTTATCAACCCGTCACTGGCTTTCAAGATGCAGTAAGTCTATCCGCTCCCATCCAGGTACGGGATATCGCAACTAAAGGCTCTCTAGTATCCCCTCCACCTCCTCAACCTGGCTAGCGTCCGCGACGTCGAGCGCAAGATGCCCAAGGTCAAAGGCGTGCCGCGCCTCTCCGCCATGCGCTTCCGCGCCAACCTAATCATCACGGGCCCGGAGGCCTACGCCGAGGAGACCTGGCGCCGCATCAAGATCGGCTACTACGAATATGACGTCTCCTGCCGAACGGCACGGTGCAAGCTCCCCAATATCGACCAGATGACCGGCGAGCGCCACCCCTCGGAGCCAGACAAGACGCTGCGCAGCTTCCGAGCCGTGGACCGGGGCGCGGGGCCGAACATAGGCTGCTTGGGGATGCAGCTGGTACCTGTGGCGAAGGAGAGCGCGTTGCGCGTCGGCGATGAGATTACGGTGCTGGAGCTCGGCGAGCATGAATACATCAAGCAGTGATTTATTTCCCGGCGAATCAGCAAGCGTTTCATTCATGTGTTATTTCTACTGCGGGGGGGCTCATTGGGGCAAAGCGAAAGCATATAAAAAAAGAGCATGTGATGTGATGCGATGGGATGGAGTTTAGGGACTTTCGCTCGCGCTGCATGAAAATGGAAAACAAAACTCCCCGGGCAATGGCGATGGCGATGCTGATGTGCGTGCGAGATTGCCCAGTCCAGTCATTAAGTAAGGTAGATACCAAGCGTGTGTTCAGTCAGGCTTGGATTGCATATCATTGTTGAGCGAAGATACCCCCACACGCTCTCAGACGGATTGATTGCCTGCCGTCCTCGTGTAATGTGCGTGCGTGTACTTGCAAACAAATAGATCTTCTCTTTTTTTCTATTTCTCCTTGCATAGATAGTTTTCTTCAGGAATTACAATCTTCTCATAGGGAGCTGCTATTTGTAGCTACCTACCTTACCTACCTAGCTAGCTACTTAGATACCTAGAGAGCAGCAATTCATCCCAACCCTGATATCATCCACTTCTTCTTCGTTGTGAGTAGAGTGTAGTATAGATAGAATAACACTTAATTTATATTGTATTCCTCCGATTGGAATGGATTGGAATCGATCCATATATCGATATATTGTTGCATAGAATGAATAGGTAAGCAAAACTATCTTTTCCACATGCCAATCCAACCCCCCTCTCTCCCCCCTCTCTCCCCATCACTCCCCATCACTCCTCCCTCCTGAAAAGCCGATGCATACATACATACCTAGATACCTAACAACTCAACTTACTCAACATCCATCCATCCATCTGTTGAGCGGCAGATGCCGTGTTGAGCAGGCAGGTAAAGTGCTCGTATGGCTTATTTATTTTATTTATTACGTTGAGATGTGAGATGATGTGATTATCAGGGGAAGGATGGAAGGGGAGGGGAAGGGGAAGGGGGGAGAGAAACATGTGATTCCTGCATGTTTTCACAAATGTGTTTGTTGAGATGTTATGATATCAGTAAGTGAGTGGTGTGTGGGATAAGTAAGGTATTGTGGAGATGCGGATGCTGCCGAGTTACATACATACATATAGTTAAGTAATGTATGCTGTGCATAGATAATAGTGGTTTTGCTTACGAATTACATTTGTGTGGGGTTGATGGGGAATGATAATGGTATACTGCATCATGCATTACATTCAAGGGAAATATGCTAATCACTGCTTTGCATTGGGAACGCTGCCATTTTGGGAAACCTGGAGATTTATTCTCAATAGCTCAACTTTATTCCCCATGGCTCAATGCAGCCAGCGGGATCAATCAATCCATCGCACGTCGCTCGCGAATTGACCAGACCAGACTACGAAATACATACAGAATGGAGAGACCACGACGATATCCTCAAAAGCCTCCGTTCCCAAACGCCACCAATTCTAGAAGGTAGACCCACGCTCAGAAGCAGCAACTTCAAAATTCAAATTTTTTTTGGGTAGCAGGCAGCTTTTTCATCGACTCATTAAATGTGCTCCAGAGCACTGGTTATTTACAAGGTAATTGCACTCATGCGGCGTCCGCCGAGGCGATGGGTTCTGCGATGCGTGTCACCTGACTGCCGGCTCGGATGATCTTCTGCCCTGCTGAATCGCTGACGAACGAGATGTCCTTGTTCTCGCGTTGTGCCCGCTTCCAGATCTCGACCTCGCAGCCTCCTCGGAGGACACCCACACGCATCGTTGACAGAAGGTTGTGTGCAGCGTTGGAGTGGTTGTAAACACCACCGTTGAAGATGGCTGTTGCGTCCTTGCCAATAGCAGAGGTGATCAGGGCCTTTCCACCGGGGTGTTCCTTGATGAAGTCGGTCACGTCGTGAACGACACCAGCAACAGCAATGAGGGCTCTGCCGTCCTTGGCTTCGGCCTCATATGCGTCCCAGTCGATGATTGGCAGCTGCTCAAGAGGAATACCCCAGTCGAGTTGTTGTCTCTTCTGGTCGAGCTTCTTCTGTAGCTGCTGGAGACGGCCCTTCTCGATCTCATTTTGCTTGAACTGCTTGAGGTCATAGGCGAGACCGAGTTGCTTCCAGATCCAGATGGTCCACTTTGTGGGGTCATATTGGTGCCACTCGATGGCATTGCGGTAGTCTGATGGGAATTCGTGGTGGAAGTTGTGGTAACCCTCTCCGAGAGTAGCGAGAGCAGTGATAACGTGGTCACGAGGAGAGTTGCGGTCGTCGAATGGTTGGTCACCGAGCCAGTGTGCCAGGGAGTTGACGCAGAAGGTGGCCTGTTGAACGAAGAAGATGCGGAGAATCCCTGCGTAGATGAATCCACCCTTCCAGTCTCCCCAGCCAAGACCCGTAACAATGCAGGGGAAGATCAGTCCCATGGTGATGACGGTCTTGAGGTAGTTGCGGTGTTGCCAAACAACGATGGGGTCATCGTTCAAGTCTGAGATGTCGGTACGGCCAATACGCTTGGGGTTCTGCTTCATGACCATCCATCCGAAATGCGAGTAGAGGAGACCCTTTCGTACGGAGTAGGGGTCCTTGTCGGTGTCGGTGTATCGGTGGTGAGCTCGGTGGTCTCTAGCCCACCAGCGGATCGAACCCTCAACGGCACCGCCACCCATAGCGGCAAGGAAAATCTTGAGGGGGGTCGTTGCTGTGTAGGATGAGTGGGCCCAGAGACGGTGGTAACCTGAAGTTGATTGTTAATACAGCTCCCATGGATCATCCCCCGCCAAGGAGAGCAGTGATGAGGAGCTTACCAGCTGTGATACCCAGACCGGTCATGAAGTAGTATACGACAGCCCAGACAGCCGTCTTCCACTGGAGAGGGGTCCAGAAGGCAGCAATGATGCCGTACAGGGGCACAAAGAGGATGAGCGTGACATTGATCCAGTTGATATGCTTGTACCAATTGTGGATGGTCATGGGCTGTTCAGTGATGTGCGGTTTCGTGGGATCATACTTCTTGCTCCGGGGCGCCGACGCAGGCTGGGCGGCCTGCTGTGGTGCAGCAGAGGCCATAACTGTGATATGGACCGGACGGCGGGAGGAGGAGGAGGGAGAGGAGGAGGAGGGATTGGAGAGGAGAAGAGGTAGAGGTCTAGAGAGGACGGGAGGAAGAAGAAAAGGAAGAGGAGGAGAGAATTGGAGCGAGGGATGGCGGGACCCTTATAATAGGCGTGGAGAGACCCAAAATGCACTAGTGTCTCCCCAAACAACGACGCGCCACCGATCAGTGCTGGAATCGACGTTGGCGCGGTGTATTCAAGCCTCCTGTACGTCTTGATGGGCGAGTGGCTGGGACAATATGATTCGAGGACCCCGGATGGTGGTCGACTTTTTTATTTCTGTTTTTCCCTTGGGGATCTTCACGGGCAAATGTCGACTCCGTAACCCAGTAGTAATATGATATGAGCCGAGGAAGCCAGTGGCATGTTCATGCCTTTCACAGGGCCAAAGGGGAGGGGGGCGGCTCAACGGGTTGGGACGCTGGAGCTCTCAACAATTTTGTGGCCATATAGGGATAAAAATAAACACACGAGTAAAAAGTGCAAAAAATCAGGCGACGGGCGGAACGCATGATCCACCACCATTCGAGCGGGAGGCGGGGGGAAGTTGATTACGGTATTATGGACGTATTATGATGCTGGTGTTAGATCATCACTCATGCCATTGTTACTTTATTACTGTGTTATATATTATTATGCGCTCCTGTCCCCATCATCCGCTCTTTCCCTTAAGGACCTTACACAGTGCACAGTCCTCAGTCCTTTCCGTAGATAATCTGCTCTTATCGCATATTTGGCATCCCACTTGCCCGGCCTGGGCCTAGCGTCCCAACGACTTTAGCGCCCCTCCGAGTCTGCACCAATCAGCGCGCGCCTTTCTTCCCAGGACGGGCACTTGGATCGGTTGCGAAACTGCGAAACGGGGGAACTTGCAACTCAGAACCGCCACGTCCCGCCTCAACTGTGGCTGGTTGGTCCCGTTGGCCCGCACGCGCCACCCCCACAAAATCCAGGGCAGAGTGGCAAACCCATCCATCCATATCCCGTGGGAGTACGTACCACCGATGATGATTGAGGCTCTGCCTTGTCAAGAGGGGACTTTGCTCGGGAAGAGGGCGTAGCTCGGGGATTTACGGTGAGTGATATTTCCTCGTACCTAATCAAGGTCTTAGTAGTAACTGGCTGGTCAGTGCTTACCTACCTTAGGTCATGTCATCAAGACTTTTTGTCCAAGGTAATCTTTATATCCTTCTACACACTTCATAAGCTTCATAAAAGAACAAGCCAGAAGGATCGCATGGTTCTCTGCCAGGCTTCCTCTCCTCCGCCACCCCCTCCTCAGGTTACTGTAGCAGGTTCAGTAATTGCTACAAACGGATGTTGGATCTCCTTTTCGACCATCTTCCTGATCTCCTACTACAAAGTTGCGATTTCTTTGCCGTCGCGAATAAAAGCCTCGCAGTAACTTTCTGCCTTCCTTCTGTCTCTCCCACCGTCTTCTTCTCGCCTCCCATTCCCACCTCCCCCTTATCTCCCTTTTCCTTCTCTTCCATCTTATAAGAGTGTCGGTGTTTTGAACAAATATACGTAAATCTGAAAAGGAATAGAACATAAGCTGTTTGAAATGCAAATTAAGGGGGTAGATGAATGACAAGATTATTCGAAAATTCCTAGGAAGAGGTGAATCACCATCTAAGACGAAAGATAGAGGGAATAGAGGAGGTATTCAAACAGACTCCCCCATCTTGGCTCGACTAGGCTCAAAAGCAAGACGCGCGTAAAGGGAAACCAGTCAAGCCAGATGTGTGCTTCAAAGACTTATATCAAAGAGAAAGGTCGCTATTAGGAATCGGGATTTAAACTCATATCAAGTATAAACACCAACGGTCGAGTAGTATGATCAGTTTGCTGGTCTAGGCTAGGCTAGCATCTGACCAGCTAGCTGTGATCATATATATAATGATAATGACAATACAACCTTTCAAGGTCTTATGGTAGTGAAAATTGGGAATAGAGAGACAAGTGGGTAGGAGATTCAATCCCCTGAGTCGCTCCTTGAAGGACTGAGTTATGACAAGAAGCAAAACCAAAACTGAAAGCTGCTGGAAAGAAGGATATATATATTTATCTGGGATCTTGGACGTGTACCATGTAGTTAGTATATCATACACTATCCTGATGCTACCTTATGTCCTATATAAGGTAAGTTAAGGTAAGGAGGGTCAGGTACTTGTCATGTTGACCGCTGACTCGGTAATCACATGACCCAATATCACGTGCCGGATTTAAGGAGACATCTTCAAAATAAAGACTGGACTCCTGCCATTCTATAGAATTAATACAACAAGTTAAACATCAATTCAATTACTACATATATTCTAATGACATTGATTATGTCTTTATACTCTCGTCCACACCACTACTCCCACTAGGCTCCTCACCCTTCTTGTTATACTCCACGGGCCCAGCCGCAAGCTCAATCGCTTCTCCCTCCCCTGGATCTCCCGACAAGCTCTCCGTCTCCTCCGCCTCGTCCTCCTCGGGGAGTAGCAGGTTCAGTAACACTGCTGCAAATCCCGTGACTGCAAAGCCAGTCTCGAGAACGAGTACGATGGCATCGAAGAACCCGGACTTGGCTCTGTTGTTCCCCTTGTAGGTGAATACGTTACTGAACCATGTAGGTACCAATATAGCCCCTAAACCTAGCCCCATGGAGCAGGCAAGGATGAATCGGGTGCGGCGAGTGAAGGGCACGCTGGCGATGATCCGCAGCCCCGATACCGCAACGGATGCGAAGAGGAAAGTCGTCATGCCTCCAAGCACAGACGATGGGATGGCAGTCAGGGCCGCAGCAAACTTGGAGAAAACCCCCATGACGATGAGGAAGAAGCACGCTGCGTAGCCAGCTTTGCGGTTGGCGCAGCGGGTGAGAGCGATGACTCCGTTGTTCTGCGCGAATGTCGAAACGGGGGTGATGGTAGCTAAACTTGCGATACAGCCGTTAAATCCGTCTGCTAGGATTCCACCTTGGATTCGGGAGTCGAAGAGCTTCCCTTCTACCTGGAGACGGGATACATCGCAGGTCGCGGTGATGTCGCCGATGGTTTCCATCATGAGAATGAGGTAGATGGCTAACTGCAAAGGCGTTAATTCTGAACCCAGACGGAACAGACTGGGTGGCTCGGCACATACCATAGGCAAGACAAGTGGTCCATAGACGGACAGAGGGAAAGTCTTAACCCAGATAAAAGACGCAACTGGGGCGACATCGATAGTGCTCTTGTCAAAGTAACCCGTTGCTGCTGCAATGATGCAACCAACTAGGAGGCCTACAATGACACTCACTATATTTGAGTTAGCCAAGTGTCTAATATGAATTGTGGCCCATTATAAAGACCAAACTGGACGGGATTGAACCTACGAGACTTCATGATTGGCGACCCCCACCTCTCGGAGATGATGATGGTGACAAAAACAGAGAACCCGAGACCAATGAACTGGGCACTTCCCCAAGGGAGCGCATGAGGTGCTGTGTTTGACGGACAAAGCATATAATCACCACTTGTAGGTCGGCCCATGCAAGATCCGGAGCCCCCTGCCCAATCCTGAAAACCTGTCTGGACTAAGGCCACCCCAATGAGCGTCACGGTTGGGCCTAGAAGTCAACCGATTAGCCTCCTTCTCGAATAGGTCTCTCGGGGCAAGCAAGGAACCCAAAGGAAGGCTCAAGTATAAGCGCTTACCTGTCACAATCGGAGGGAAGAGCTTCTTCAGAGTCTTTGGAGTCATGAACGAGAGCCCAATCTCAAGCAGCGAGCAAAGGGAGGCCGTGCCGAGAAGCGCCCCATAACCTGCGGGGCAAGGGAGAGGGGTGCCATCTGCCGCTGAAGGGCACTTGCCATTGGCATACATCTGCGCCAGGCCTTTGGTAGCAATGGGGATCATGGAGAACGAGGTGCCGACGACGGAGATCAGACCTGTGCCGACATAGTACGGGGTCTTGTAGATGTGGAAACGAGTAATTTGCACGGATGATAAAATACCACAGACGATCAGGGAGGTCGAGACGAGATATTGTGTGGTTTGCTGGTCGAATGCTGCCGCGCCGGCGATGATCATTGGGGGTGCTATGATACCAGCAAGCCTAGAGGATAGGGTCAGCATTGCTGGATTCATGCAGAATTTACCAGAATCCCGAACAAGGTCACTGAGCCGCAAGGCAGTGTTCACTCTGAAGAGGAACTTCAGGCTGAACCATGCCTTGGGACCCTCGAAGCCGTTCTGAATAGAAAACCCCGCTCTGGAATGTACATACATAGCAAGAGAATGTTGGAATCCAAGCAGCAGGGCCAGGAAAACGGGCATCCGATCTTGAAGGCCAAAAAAGGGGGCTTGTTGCTTGGACTTCTTCATAAAAGGAAGATTGGGTTTGAAGAGGAAGGCTATGGTTGTCAGCCTGGGAGGCTCAAAAAATCACCAGCATCAAATTTCCCAGCGGGTACACACCATAGTCATATGTGCCAATGAGTCCCTGCTTCGTGGTGAAGGCCCTCGAAATGTGTTGGATGTGTTCGCTGAAGGAGCGCTTGGGAGCCATTTCTGGACCGATTCGATCGGGCAAATCTTGAGGCACATTACTGTCGATGGTTACAGACATTTTTAACTAAGGTTTAAAACACAACGATCATGAAGAAAAAAAACTCTCCGACTTCAAAGGCACAACGTTGCACTCTGGAGGACTCGGTGGAACCTATACGACCAAGTACAGTGTAGCGCTGGTCTAGAGTGCGGCCGAGGTTGAAAATGCCAAGAGCAGCGCGACTGCGATGATGAAAAGATGATGATGATGATGATGAGGGACGAGAATCATTTGACAGACAGGAACTTGTCAATACTATATAGCACTACGCTCCTCCCGAGGGTTTCGAAAGCCCAAACCAACACGCACCAGCTTGATATCGTGGGATCGAGAAAGCGGAGAGCCCAGCCCAGCCGATATGGACCCGGCCGCCATCCAGCTTAGCGAATCGCACCGGGCAGCAAATGAAAAAACCCAGGAAAATCATTGCAACAAATTTCGATGATTCACGCCGCCATCGACGCGCCTGTTCGTCCAAACACGGCGCCAGGCCTTATCGTGGGCCGCGGTCGCGCGCGGGGGCTTTCGCTGCTGCTTCTCCACATTGCGCAGAGGCGGGCGCGCCCTTTCCGAGGTCTGGAGGCGCAAGGAGGAGCCAAAAGGAGCCAGAAGGAGCCAAGAGGAGCCAGAAAGAGGCGACCTCCGAGATCTTCGCTCTTCCCGCCGACGCTCTCTGGGCCTCCGTACTCCTCCGTGCTCCTCCGTACTCCTCCGTCCCTCCCCGTACGTATCTCTCTGACTGCGCCGCCGAGGGGACCTCCGCATGGATGATTCCGGTCACGTGGTCACGAGCTGATAATACTCCCGGAACGTATGGTATGTATACAAGTACACTGAGGTAATGCCTCATATCACGAACTGGATTCCCCCGCCGTGTCCCTATCGCACCTGCGCGACACTCTCCTATCGCCAGGCGGGCCGGACCGCCCGTGTATTAACAATCCTTCCTGAAGTGTTCAGCTGACGCTATGCAAACCCAACCCATCTGCAACCAAATTATCAAGAACATGTCTGTCGTTATGCTTCGTTTCTGTCGTTAAATCATCATCTAAAGTCGCCGGGGGGATCTCAACATAGGCACTATGCGCGCTCCCTACGCCTGCTAGATCCCCCGGGTATGCAATTGCTGTTTCAATCGCCGGTACTGTGTTCCGCGGCTCTTCTGCTTTTGCTATGGGCTGTGTGTCCTCATGTTCTTCCATGTGCTGTGGTCCTTGATTCTGCTCAGGCTTGGGAGCCGAGTCACATACGAATTCCACGGGCCCATTTTGAATTGGGGTGCTGTCACGAGTGATGCTATCCAAGTATTCGGATCCCTTACGAGAAGGAGGTAGCGGGACTTCACATGGAACAATCTCATTTCTCACGGGTGTTGGTGATCTTCCTCTCCTTGGGAAGAAATCAGACTCCTCCGTAACGTCGGTTTCCGCGTAGCTATAGTGTGTTGGAGGCTTGAAATCGGGGCTGTATTGATAGCTGGGCTTTTCGGATAGAGCGAAGTTACTTGGAGAGAAAGCATCCCCCTTGAAGCTATCTTCGTCGGCATGGCGTGCATCTACTACAATCGGTATTGCACGCTCCGGCTGACGAAAAGTCTCTTCAACCTCGGGGAACAGCTTAAGTAAAGCCTCTGCTTGCGGTCGACGCCGTGGGTCATCGTTGAGACAGCGTTCGCAAAGGTCTACATAATAATCCGGTATCTCACGTGGAAGGTAGCCCAAATCCAAGGGCCGTTGAGTTTCCGGTTCATCGTGCTGTGTGGCCAGGGCATATAAGACCATGCCGAGTTGGAATAGATCCGATTTGACTCCTATATACATCGAGATCCTCTGGTTGCTCTTGATGAGTGCGGCAACTTCTGGTGGTTCCCAGCCAACTGGGCATCCTCGTCGATTGATGTCAATAATCTTCGCATTGTCATCTTCGTCGATGACAATATTCGATAAGGTGAAGTCGCCTTGGACGAAACCGGCTTCGTGGATCTCCGAAAGTCCTTGGACGATCTGTTTTGCCCAACGTTCACGCCGACTCCAAGGAATCCTGCCCTCGCCATCCGCGATCATGTCGATCAAGGCACCCTGCTCCGCAAAGCTTATGAGAAGCCCTTTGACAATCTCGCCCTTATTGTCGAGCACTACACCCCCAAATCGGATGACACTGCGAGAACCAGACAGTTGATGCAATGCATTGATCTCGTATAGAAATTGGTCGACGGTATCTGGACCAGGAATCTCTTTCTTGATGAAGACTTGGCCGTTAATACGGACTTTGTAAACGAAGCCAGAGAGGTGAGAATCAAAGACGAGCTCGTCTTCGCGGACCCTGCGACAATTCAGATGGCTGATGGCTTTGACTGGCGGGTAGTAGATGATTTCATAAAGGTCTTCCACCACGTGCACGTGCAGTCTATCGTTCTCTGTCTGTAATTTCAAGTTTGTAACAGTATCGTAGAACTGAATGTCCGGGAGTGACTCGCGAATCGCCTCGTATATTCGCGCGCTTTTATCTCGTTGGAACCGGGTTCGCTGCAATTCTTCTTCCAGCGAGCCTTTTGGGGCGTTCCTATAGTCCACCGAAATGGTGACTCTGCGCCAATGGGTCGGTGTTTCTGCAAATGTGACGAAGAACTTCTCCCTTCTTGATTTGTCTCTGAAGTGCATGCTGAGATTTAAAATCCAGCGACGGTCAAGCTCTTCTCGTATAAGCTCATCAAATGCCTCTGAGGATAATGATGCCGTGTCCACGTTCAATGCATCCTTCGACAGATCCACATATCCCTGAGCCTCCTCCTCTTGTGTAGTTTGTACGGATGGCAAGCGATCCAGCACAGTGCCGATGGTCTCGGTCGTTCCCAGGACCTCAGGGGCGCTCACCCGGGGCGGGCTAGCCACCGCAGTGGAGGAGTTCCGACACGAAGCATTCCGCCGTCGGTCGAATGACATTGTCCGCCGCTCATCATGGTTAGGTTTGACAGGTTCAAGCCTGTCTCGCAGCTCGGACTGCTGCCTCTTGAACGTCCCCGCGCGAGGTAGACCGGGCACAACCTTTCTCGATAACCGGCGCGCAAGGCCAGGCCGCTGTTTGTCTTCTTCGAGTGGGGCTGGAGGGGTAGCTTGACCACTACTATCTTTGCCGAAAAGCTTCCTCCAAGACCAAGACGTTCGTTGATCGGTCGAGGCGGTCCTCTCGTGGCCCTTCTCCGTTTGTGCCATTGTCCGTCAGGATGGGCTCTAGGGTGAGGAAGATCGTCAGGAACGGCAGAGGCTGATTGAAGATGGGGGAGAGTTCGCATACCCGTAGCACAAGCACTCGGTAAGGGGATGCAGAGGTGATATATGATGGTCAACGATTGGGAAAGATATGCGTGATCACTGCAAGGTTGAGCTCGTGTATCATGCAGCTACGCGATGATAGAGCGAGCAAGTGGACTCTCTGGCTCCGGCAAGAGCATATCATTGCATCTGCACAGCATTGATGGAGAGATAGATCCTGTGGGTGCTGGGTGGGGGGTGGGCGGGCAGGCGGACAGGCGGACAGGCGTACGACAGTTGGGCGGACCAGAGTTGCTTGGGGGAGGAATGGGGGACGTTGATATAGAGCCCCAGGAGGGACAAAGAGCCTATTTGACGACGCGGAGATGCAGAGGATGGAACGGAGGATGCAGAAGCGGTCAGGTCAACTGTCGACCGGCACAGAGCGGTGGCTGAGGCGCAGGCAAGTACAGCGAAGCAACAGGCCACCGGCGCGGATGGGGCATCTTTTTCTCTTGGCTGTCCTTGTTCTGTGCGCCCTTGTTTTTTTTATTTTTATTTTTATTTGTATTTGTCCTTCTTTCTATCGGCGCAGGGAGCGTGGAGGTGCGCAGGGCGGAGGGAGGGGGGAAGGAGGAGAGGGAGGATGAATGGTGTATGCAAGAGGACCGAGAGGGACCAATTGGTGTCGAGGTCGTTGGCGGATCACAGATTCACAGCTTCAAGGGCGTTGAGCTACTCGACAGGAACCGGCGGGCACACGGGGAACACGTATGCCACACTGGAAGCCTTTTTCTCTTTACTATTCCTTGATTGCGACAAGATATCTGAATGTGACATTCTTTAATTTTTAATCATTTTCTTTTACCATACGATATCTCTGGACCATCGCGTCACCGCACGTCGGTGTTCCATCAGGCCGAGGATCCACGACAGCCTCGCATTGTCTTGTCCGTCACGACCATAGAGCCGACTGTCGCCTGTCGGGCATCAAGGCCGGGCGGAGTGAGGCTTCTTGGGTATATATGAGGCTGCTGGGACTCCCTCTCTCCAGTCAAATCGGGTTGCCTGCCCACGGTACCTAGTCGTGCTGCTGGAACACGTATGTATGTATGTACTATGTAGGTATGTATGTACGTGTATGTGCCCTGTATGTATGTATTATGTATGTGTATGTATGAGACTACAACGTACACGATGAGTCTTCCCGGAGAATCAAGGATTAAGGAAGGAAGGATATCTCTGCCTTGTCTACCGTCTGCTGCAAGGAGTCGAGGATCGAAATCGAGGCTGCTCAAGGCTCGTCCCGCCACGGCTCAGCGGTGGATACGCCCTACTTAGCACTACCTACTTCACAGTTTAGACTCGCAAACTCTTGTGCTGAACTCGGTAAAGAGACCGGCGCGGCCCCTGTTAGATCAGGCTCTGCTACAGTAGTAGTCTGCTCTGCCGCACAGCTTTTCTCGAAGGGTCCTCCAAGGCCAGCGGCACCGCGTGGGGAAGAAGGACCCCGGTTGATCTTGATCTGATATACAGCATCAATCCCTACAGCAAGGTAAGGCAAGGTAAGGTAAGATAGGTAACGAGGTAAGGCGAGGCAAGATAATGCACGTATGGACGGTATATGCTACACCATACATGCGCACATGCTACACAACACGACACTTCTATGTTCTTTTTTTCTCTCTAGTTTTGAAACAGCCAGCGAACGCTCAACCCGCCGGCCCTCAAAGCCCTTCACCCCCGACGAGGGCGGCTTCGGTGTATTTATTGTACAATACCTATACATTATATACTCCAATGATGTCTCGTGACTAGATAAGTCTCTCCAGATGCAGCTGAGAGGAGAATGCTTTCCCGTGGTCGATCGACGCACAAATGATCCAGTAACGCCGAAGTATACGCAACACCACCCCCCCGCCGACCATCAGCTCCCATCGATGCTCCATTCAAGCCTTGACACACGTAGGGTCCAACAAGGTATCTAACACAAAGTGACTTGCTCAATCATCCTCTTCGCTCTTATCCTTCTCCTTCTTCGTAAGCTGCGCCTTCCATACGTTGTTCGCTTTCTCCTTATCAAGATTGGGGAAGACCAGGTCGAATACGTCAGAGTACCATTTGGCTGGCCGGCCCTCGACGCCCTCCTTGATGTTCTGTCACATTATTAGCATCATACCATACAGCCAGAGGATCGCCCTTTACTTACATCGGGGAGTTCTAACCAGTCGGACATGTTGTCCTCAGGGAAGATGATCATCTTGGAGCCGGCTCGTCGGGCAGCAACAGTCTTCTCTCGGAGACCGCCAATTCTGAGCACTTTTCCGGTGACAGTAAGTTCACCGGTCATGGCAATGGTAGGATCGAGGGGTTGATTCAACGCCAGTGAAAGAAGCGAGGTTGCCATCGTGATACCCGCGGAAGGTCCATCCTTCTGGACAGCCCCCTCCGGGCAGTGGAGATGTAACCTCGCCTTATCGAAGAAGTGGTTTTCGGGGAAGTCCCTGGCCATGACTGACTTTGCAAAGGAGTAGGCAATGGATGTTGATTCCTTCATAACGGATTTCAGATTACCAGTCGTTGTAAGTCCGGGACGAGATGACGGTGTCAAAGCGCTCTCCAAAATCGACTCCACATACAGCGCCGCTCCCCCCATTTGCGTCCAAGCAAGTCCCATTGCCACTCCTGGGGGTGTTATATCATACAAACGATCCGACGTGAAGACTGGAGGGCCAACATAGTCTTTCAGGTTATCTTTGTCGATGGTGACATGTACGGTGTCTGGAACATTGAGGCTGACGCGTGGTACCGCTGTAGTCTCCTTTTCGATATTTTCTGATGTTTCCTTCACATCTGATGTATCCTTCTCAGATTCTGCAAAAGCTGCTTTTCCTTCGTCGGTCAAAGCTTCTTCTTCGGGAAGAACACTTTCACCAAGATCTTGCACAATCTTCAATGCCGACTTGCGGTACACTTTTTCGATTTGTTTCTTCAGGTTTCGAACACCAGATTCCCGACAGTATGACTTGATCAACTCCTCGATAGCAGATTTATCAAGGTTGACGTCAACATCCTTCAATCCAGCTAATTCCTTTGCTGCCGGTGCTAGATATCTTTCAGCGATCGCCATCTTCTCGTTGGCTACGTAACCAGATAGCTCAATCATCTCCATACGGTCGAGAAGTGGCCGAGGGATGGTGTCGGTCATGTTGGCAGTGCAGACAAAGAGGACCTTGGAAAGATCAACAGGAACATCGAGGTAGTGATCAAGGAATGAGGAGTTCTGCTCGGGATCAAGCAACTCCAGCAGCGCCGAGGCTGGGTCTCCTTGATGACCTCTGCCAATCTTGTCGATCTCATCAATTAATATCAACGGATTCTCAGTCTGGCATTTCTTGAGTGCTTGTATGATCCGTCCAGGAAGTGCTCCAACATATGTTCTTCGATGACCCTTGATTTCGGCGACGTCCGTCAGTCCTCCGACACTGAATCTGTAGTATTCGCGGTTTAGTGCTCTGGCAATACTCTTGCCAATACTGGTCTTGCCAACACCAGGCGGGCCCACGAAACATAGAATTTTGCCCTCAACAGTGCCCCGTAGCTTTCCAACTGCAATAAACTCAAGGATTCGATCCTTCACATCCTTCAAGCCATGGTGGTCTTCATCAAGCACTGTCATTGCGTTTTTGATACCAAAGTTCTCTGCACTCCGCTGGCCCCAGGGAATTTGAGTTAGCCAGTCCAAGTAATTTCTCGTCACATTGAACTCCGAAGCGGCCGGCTCCAGATGGGCTAGTTTGTTGATCTCTTCGTCGAAAACCTTCTTGACAGCTTCTGGCATCGCCAGTTTGCTCGCCTTTTCCTTGAACTTCTCAACCAGCTTATCTTTGCCATCAGATTCGATACCAAGCTCTCTGCGAATTCCCTTCATCTGTTCCATTAACCAGTATTCTCGCTGTCGCTTCTGGATCTTGCTCTCAACATCCTTGGAGATTTTTGACTGCAGCTGAGCATTCATGAGTTCCTTCTTCAAGACCACCAATGCCTTCTGTAACCTCTCCTCAACATTGAGTGTCTCGAGAACATCCTGCAACTCAGGCGCATCGCTAGCAGAGACCGCCGCGGCGAAATCAGCCAGCTTACCTGGCTCCTGCATAACATTGCCGGCAGACTGGCTCATGGAGAAAGTAGAGATCTGATCGCGGAAGAGGCTGTTCAGACTGGCCACCTCCTTGAAGACGTTGACAATCTCATTCGTTACGGCACGGATAATGGGGCTCTTGGGGTCGTGTGGTTCCTCAACCAGATTCTCCACCTTGACGAGACTGACAGGGTATTTTCGCAGGAATGAAGTTGGCTCGTAAGACGCTGGGCTATCGGGGCTCTTGGGCTGGACCGCGCCCTCCTCAAAACTGGCAACGACATCCCCCTTCTTCTCTTGTACCTTGTCTTCCTTTGTCTGCTTCGCGGGAATGACATCGGGGACTCCAGGCTCAGATGCCGACCCTTCAGCCTTTTTCGCCTCGCCGCTCTTGATCTGTTCCGGTGTAATAAGCTCAGACATTCTGATTCGGCGATGTGGGTAAAGGACTGCGGTGAGCGCATTCTCGTCCGCATGAAGTGGGAAAGCGCTCGTGATCTGCGCGAATACGCCGACATCGTGGACATCATCCATACTCTCAATCGTATCCCGGTCCGAGTTCTCATCCTTGATGAGAAACGCTCCCACATACGGTTGCCCCCTCTTGATCATATCCTGTATCGCAGCAACCACATGGGGGTCTCGGACGGTGACAGCCTTGTAGAACCCTGGAAACAAGGGTCTCTTCGTTATAGGGATAGCCATGACCTGCGGGTAAACATCTGGGATGCTTGGTTTCTGCAGAGCCTTTTCAACGGCTGGCCTGCGTCCTTTCCTCCCACCATCTCCATTGCCAGAATCACTGCTTCCCCCAGCAGACGCACCACTGCTTGCCCGCCCATCGACCGCACCTCCCGGTGCAGCATTGCCACTCTGGGATGCCGATTCCGGGGCTCTACTCCTGCCCTCAGCTACTTCCTCGGCACTCGCATCCTTCACCTTGTCCGCAGCCTTCTTTTGTGCATTCTCATCAGCCGCATCTTCAGGAGATTGGTCTTTCGGGTCCTTGGACTCTTTCCGCCGTGCGGGAGAGGTCGAGAAGCTCGAGGCGCCAGTCGACGTGGCGGGAGGCGGGAGTCGAGGCCGTAATGAGGGCGAGGTGGCAGCTGCCGCTATCTGGCGCTGCCGAGATGCAGTATATAACCTCCTCGCATTATGTGAAGCATGTCTGGCAGAAGTTGTGGTTAGATTTCGGAGCGCAAGCCGCCATGGTAGATTTTGGCCGTATAGCATAACTTCGAGAGCTGTGTACACGCGATACCCTTTAAATATAGATACAGAGACAGACGCTGGGTAGACGCTGGATAGAACAAACCAAATACGAGGCCTATCCCGTATCCAAAGATGCCGTTGAGGGTGGAAGAAGAGAATAGAGAGAAAGGGCGGGAAATCCACAGAGAGAAGGTTGGAGAAAGAATATAGTAATCCGTAGAGCATTCGAGATTAACCGTCATGATTTCAAAGACCCAGATGCCGAGCACGGCCGTTTAATTTTAACTCCGATGACTTATTGATGCCTAAATATTCCGGTATCACACCTACCTCCTTTTGTCCCGAAGCCTCGCCTCCCCTTTCTATGAGCATACCTACCTTAGGTACCAGGTAGGTACCTACACATGATCTATCATTCATCAGAGGTATCAACAGAAGCCCGAATTACTAGACTATCTAAGGCACCAGTTATAAAGGATATATCAAAATACTATCAGCTTCAGTTCCACACTGAGACGGCAGAATATTGCACCCAAGACTAAAGACCTGTGGACAGCCTTGGCTACGATATATCTTTATTTATTTGGCAACCTGACTATATTACTTCCATGCGCTAAGACCTGACCATGGATCGTTTGAACTCTGCTGCTGTGTACCCCGTTGTGAAGAATTTCCATACCCATACTCGCCATGTCCAGCCATTGGCGGAACGCCCGGTTGCTGAAAAGTTTGCTGCGGACCAAGAGGTGGCGGACCAGGTGGGGGTGGGGGAGGGACGTATCCATGAGGTATGTATTGCTGCTGTCCAGACTGTTGCCTCCCATATTGATGTTGGGAGAGTTGAGCTTGGTTTGGGGGAGGTGATGTGGGCTGTGATGGTCGCCCATAAAGATTCTGAGAAAATTGGGTTTGTGATGGCGGAGGTGATGTGGCTTGTGATGGCCGCCCATATTGATTTGTGGAGAAAAATGTCTGCGTTGGTGGGGGTGATGTAGCTTGCGCTCGCCCATATTGGCTTTGTGAGAACTGCGTTTGCGTTGGTGGCGCCGACATAGGTTGTTGGGAAGCGTCTCGTTGAGAGTATGTGCCGGGATTGTAACTATTCTGAGACTGTGACGTGGAAGTCTGTGCAGTATAAGAATCGGGCCTTGATTGCTGCTGGTTGGAATGATAAGAGCCATTCTGTGGAGCAGCGAAGGCAGGATGGGCGGATTGGAGTTGTGCTGATTGCGGCGGTGGCGAGGTCGGCACTTGATATTGGCCGATAATGTTCGTGGAGGGATATCGCGCTGACGGTGACGTTGAATTGTAGGATAGTGACTGTGTCCGAGATTTGCTTCCGGAAGGAGAGGTAGAAGGATCCATTGACATCCGCTCCATAAGTCCACGCAGACGTTCACGTTCCCTATCAGCTTGTCCGTTTGCGTTACTTGCTCGTTCCTGCTCAATATGACTGAGAAGCTGGGCGCCTTCAGACCGCCTGTTGTTCACGAATGTTTCAACATTCTTATTCAGGCTATCCACTGTGTCTTTCATCTCGCTATACCATTTTTTCGCACTTTCGAGGCCCGCCTCAAGATCCAAGTATTCCTGGTATATTCTCTTATATCTGGAATTTACAGCAGAGCGTTGTCGCGTTATACTTTCGTACTTGCTTTGCTCCGCTCTGACTCTCTTGTCTTGTAACAAGGCATTGAAGGTAGATGTGAGCTCCTTCATGAGTGACGACTGCTTGTGATTTGCTGAGAGAAGTCGGCTTTGATGTGGCCGGAATTTCTCGAGTTCTGCTTGGAAGAGCTGGTTCTCATAACTGGATATCGACTTCTTGTTAAGGATCAGCACCTGCGATATATCATCGTTATGGACCTATAACTTGGTTAGCCGAATCCTCATACATGGGATAGTAAAAACATACCTTCTCTTTCAAATCTTTCAGAACCTGAGCCCGTTCTCTCTTAATAAGATTCAACTTCTTGAGAATATCTTCGACCTTATTGATTTGGTCCATGACGCTCAATTCATCATCCTGAAAGTCTTCGTCCAAGAGATTCCCTTGCCCGGAAGCAGGGCTCCCATTGTTTCTGGATTTTCCTCCATACTGAATCAGAGCTCTTTGGAATAGCACATCCTCTTCGCCAGATTCAGCTGCACGACTCATCTCATCGAAATCGGTCTGGTGCTGGCGCATCTTCGAGTACAATTGACCGTCACTGCGTGCAGCTTCCTCGAGAGCATCCCGGTAGTTCCGGATATCGCTTCTCAGTGTGGAAGTCAACCTTGAGCTAGGTTGCTGTGTCCATTCTCCTTCGTACTTAGAGCGCATCTTCTCGCAAACACTCTCTTCCATGTCCAATTGCTTACTGCTCTTGTCCAATACCGCAATAATGGCATCTTTGCTCGATTTCAGAAAATCAAAGGTCAATGAAGGAGGCTCACCACTCGCAACGGCTTCACACCAACTCCTGAAATCATCATCGGCAGTCAATTCTTGATCAAAGCCACCCTTCAGTACTTGTAAAGCGCCGGGCAGCCTTAAATAATCTAGACTAGCAGCCATCTCGCTGTTGGCAGTCTCCACACGCTCTGTCTCTGCTCGGACCAATTTCGCCTTTTCTTCATCGTACAAGCTTGCCGACTCTGTCACGGATATTGGTACGATCTTCTGGAAAATGTCGGGTCCCGTGATGCGCTGGATATCTTGACCGGCATACAACTCACTCACAGGAATTGCTTTGGCTGCTGGAAGCTTCGGGATCACTGCAAGAGTTGCTGCTGCTGGGATGGTTTGATGGTAAATATAATCATTGTCTTTAACGAGCTCGGAGAGCTTCTCTTGGACATTGGTAAGGTGCCGTTTCGTAATCTCGACCAGAGTTGATCCGGTTTCTGCAACCAAATTCGAATTTGCTGGAACATTTCCCGGGAAACTGTTGGCCATCTTGTGCGCATCTTTCACAGCTGCTTCTGCTACCTGTAGGCGTGAAATTGCAATGCCGTGCGAATTTGCGTCATCTGCCAATGCCTGATAGTACTGAGCCAGAGATGTCATATAATTTGATTTGATCTGCCTGTTGTCAGTACGGTGGTTCTCAGAACAATGATATACTTTACTAGAAGTGGTATCTATATCACTTCGAGGAAATCAAACTGATAGAAAAGTTCTCAAAGCGTGGATAAAGAAGGCTGATAATAGAAATTCCTCGGAGTGCTCACCTGGACGACGAGTAACCAGACTTTCTCAAAAATGGCTTTATTCACATTCTCTTGAGTGCCCTCGACAGCCTGGGAATAGAGATAGCCTGCCTGGCTGGCAAGTTTTGCCAACAGCCCAACTTTCTTGCCATCCGCAATCTGCTTTTCCAGGAAAACCTCTTGGCCCTGGGCCAGCATTATTTGTATTAGGGTCTTAACGGTATCTCGACTAAGGTCGGTAGAAGGTGCATGAAGAAAGTTCTCGTTGATATATGTAAACATGCCCGCGGACGCCTGAAATGAGTGATATGCAGTCTTGAGACCGGTGTCTTCGGAACGAGTCTGGTGTGCCGCGTGGCATGACAACACGGCGGATATATTGAAGATTATCGATGCCTTCTCGTAGGCCAAAGAATATTGGGAAGTCGGCTTGTGCGTGAATGCATCGAACCTTAAAACAAGCGTTAGTTGCTGCCCAGCGCATGCTCGGACTTGACCCATTCTTACCAGGTGAAGGATATCTTGATGTGGTTCTCGTCCACAGGAAATCGAAGGTCCAGCAGTTCCAGCTGCCCATAATACCTATAGAGCAAGTCTCGTCCAGCAGCACTATCTTTCCCCGCACCCCTCATATCCTGCCGCAAACGATTCAGTGTTGCGCACTCCTCGGCGTACCGCTCCGGATCGTCCCCATATGTGTCTCGAATATATGCTTTCAGCGGCTGTATCCAGTCTATCTCATTAGTAGCCTTCAGCGGCGCCGAAATCATCGGCGACTGCATGGTGCCCTCCTCCGAGCAGGAGCTCGGCTCACTCGTTCTGTCGCCGCCGAGAGGCTGTAGAGGCGGACGCGGGGTATCTTGCGGGTTATCGTGTTGTGGTCAGATCTGCCTAGAGCGAGGGCGGGAAGCGATAGATATCCGCTGCGTAGTCGTCGTTCGTGTTGAGGTGGGGTTGTTTGGCGCACTTTAGCTGGCGGTAAATATGGTAAGTGATTCCTTGCGCACGGCTTGTGTTCACCCGCTTCATGGTCTGGGCATTAGATACTTGACAGCCGGAAGAACTGTGCTCTTGGAGAGCACGATAGTCGCAATGCGGTGAAGCCCTAGAAGGAATGATGGTGTTTTACGTGGACTTGTGCAGATGTAGTCGTCGAACTGTATAGGCGGTCGTCGAAGTTCACAGACTGCGGTGCAATATCACTAGTGGGACGAATCCCGTTGCTGCATTCTAAAGGCCACCCTGCACTCCGGGAATTCTGCAGGGCCTTTGACCCCCCGAGAGGCGAAGATACAAGTGCAGTGATACTGAGGTACCGATCATAACGGTGGCCAGCCAGTGGGATAAGCGCTGAGGTACAGGCCCGACAGTGACACTGGGCTTCGTTGGGTTCTATGCGCCGTCCAAGCACCATACACTATCTGCACCTACATCTTCTATTGAGGCTCACGATCCAATATCTAACCGCCCAGGGTTCGAGGCATGAGTGGATTGTGACCTGGTAACATCAGACTGTGTCAGCGCAAAGCGATTTTGAGCTTATTCGTTACGCCGTTGGACATGTTGCTCCCATAATAATGCTAGTCTTATTCCCCTGACAGGGAACCTCTATCAACTGATATCAACCACTTATCAGTCACTATCAACCGAGAGTGTCAATCACATTTTGGGACACCCATTCCTTGTCTAGGTTCGAGGGACCCCTTTTATTGAAGCTATCCAGATGAATATCACGAGGGTACATACAATAGACATCCTACAACAAAGTTGCTTTTTGAGTAGAGAAGCATTCTTTCTCTCAGTCCCCTTCTAGATATACATACATACAATGCTAGATATTTGCAAACAGTCGAGACCCAATCAACCCTCTTTGAGTATTCAGAGACGCCTATGCTCCATGCCTCTTATCACAAATCTCCCTGGCCCGCTTATTATGCAATACAAAGGTGGACATGGTGGTCACATCCTCGCTATTATACATTTTGAACATTCGTCTCTCATGCTTTCTTATCGTCTTCTTTAGGTGGTGCCTTTCCGGCGTCTTTTCCAGCGTCCTTGGACGACTTTCCCTCGTCATCAGATGGTGTCTTCGATTTCTCATTTCCCTCATCCTTATGGGCAGGATGATCAGTGAGCTTGTGCCAGACTGATTTCAGGAATCCCTCGCTCTTGTGCGAATCTGTCGACGTGTCCGCGCTAGAGCGAGGTTAGCATGTACAATAGGTTTACTAGAGAGGGGAGACTCCTTACGAGGACGATGAGCGGCCGACGTTCATTATCCTCTTTGCTGTTTTGTCGCCCATCTCATCCGCAAGCATTTCGACGATTGTACGTTGGTTGGCGCTGAGATACTTCGGCATCTGGACTTTGAACTCGACCTTGAGATCTCCCGACCCACCCCTCCTTCCTTGCAATTTCTTCATTCCCATGCCTCCCAGCGTGATCTTGTCTCCGGTACCCGTGCCAGTCGCAACCTTGACAGCGACTTCTCCGTCCAAAGTAGGAATTTTAACCTCACCACCAAGAAGAGCAGTAGTGAGAGGAATGGTAGCTGTGTATAATACGTCTGATCCAGATCGGCTGAATTTGGGATCTGTAGCAACTCTCACGAGGACGTACAGATCTCCAGGCATTGATCTCGCATCAGGATTTGCAGCGGCTCCAGTTGCCGGTGCATCACCTTCACGGTCTAATCGTAAACGCATGCCGTCTTCGATACCACCCGGAATGTCAACGTTTATGGTCTTCCGTTCTCTCACAACTCCGTTGCCTGAGCAAGTTCTGCATTCGCCACCTTTTGGAATTGTCACTCCTGCGCCACCACAAGCACCGCAGGTCGATGCCATCTGGAAGCCGCCAGACATGAAATGGACTCGGGTTCCAGTCCCACCACAAGACTTGCATTCTGAGCGTTTCGTTCCGGGTTTCAGTCCGTCGCCGGAACATGTTTTGCAGGTGACCAAAGGAGTTATGGTGATGCTCTTGCTGGTGCCTTTAGCCGCTTCCATGAATGATATGTGCGTCTGAACTTCGATACTGTCCCCAACCAAGATTTCTTCCTGCTGGAATGGGCTGGCCCTGCCCCGTCCTCTCCGTCCGCCTCCTCCGGTAAAGCCTCTGAAGAGGTCCTCGAAATTGAAATCAGCACCGAAACCACCAGCGCCACCAAATCCACCGAAGGGGCCTCCAGCCGCGCCACCGAAGGGGTCAGCGCCAGGTCCTGGTCCAGCTCCAGCTCCAGCGCCTTGGTCGAAAGCTGCCGCGCCGAATTGATCCCATGCAGCCTTCTTCTGTGGATCCATCAACAGTTCATACGCAGATTGCGCCTCTGTAAACTTTTCCTTCGCATTTGGGTCCTTGTTGGTATCCGGATGATACTTCTTTGCAAGTCCATAGTATGCCTTCTTAATCTCGGAGGGGGTGGCGTTCTTACTGACCCCCAAGACCGTATAGGGGTTCTTCGTCGGTTCTTTCAGGTTTGCGGTTGCGTGGAAAGACTGCATTGGTGGATCAGTCAATATCAATCATAATGTATCTTCAAGTCAATAAATTAGACTCACCCTGCTCTGTTGTGAGGCCCCCCATGCCGGTCTTGCGGCCTTCAGCCCCCGTACTGGATGAACTGTGAGAGAACATAATGTCCGTGTCTGCGAACCCTTATAGAGCTCATCTGGAAATCGATGTTGTCGACCGGCCTGGATGGGGCATACGACCCGAGTTGTAGCGGCCTTGGTCAAAAGGCCTGTTGTCCCAGCTTTCATAGTTGTCTATTATCGATATGCATCTGAACAAGCGCGATGTTACTTCACAAGATTGGAGACACCACTCTCTTGAGCAATGGTGTTTTTTATTCTAGCGAAGGACTGTTGTTATTTGCGAATGGAAACTCCTGGATTACGGATTTGAGCCTCAGCTCTTGACGACGGCTTTCAACTTTTTCTGGGGCCTGCTGTGATTGGACGGCGGCAATTTAGCGCCGAGCGGCGGGTGTGCAGCTGAAGATCCGCAGAAGAATTCTAGAGAACCTGGAAGATTTCTATAAGTACCTGTAATGCGGGCATCGTTTTTTCGTACAATAAGAAATGAATGTCTGGATTTTGCCTTTGGAATCGGTCGTCTCAAGGCTGGAGGCTTTTCCATCCCCAAGCCATTCTCTAGAGGTCGAATCCCGACGATGCCCCTTTCAACGTAGAAGCACTACGTCAGTCTTACAAAGTGGGACTTTTTTATAGATACCCCTTGAATTTCACTTCGAAACAGCCTACACAGGATGATCTAGATACATCTTTCTCTCGAACCATATACGATCCAGGAGTTTTAGGCATCATCGAATAAGATACCAGGAAGGGACTGGTTATGCCCGACCAAGTTATATTCCTCGACGCCCAGAACGAATGATGGACTCCCGGGTATTAAGAAACGATAATAGCCATATTCCATGCAGGGTATCAAGATGCCCAAACCACTATAATACGCCAATTCCATGCAAGAAAACCCCAAACGCCTTTATGATATTGCACGACCACCGAGTATAGTTGACCCTCTATCGCGGTCGTTGAGGGGTAAATCGCATGCGGAAATTCTTGTCTGATCGGGTGTTAGCCGCATACTTTAGAAGATGCTTCAGAACAGGACCAAGCACTCACCTTGCCACCGGACCTTGTACAAGAAATCAACGACGACTTCGTTCTCGATTATTCCCATACTATTGAAATGCTTGCGGACGGCGTTTGCGAGTTGGTCCTTGCCCTGCCTCCGTTGTTGCTTGTGCCGGGCCATCGTCGGTGACATCCGCCCGATTGGAGAGTTTGTGAGAACCATCTGGTTATATTGTTTGTTAAATGCTGCGGGAGTATTCAAACGGTAGTCGTAACGGTATCCGTGAAGAACCGAGGGATCGAAGCTTGACCATTGTATCTGCGCGCGGGGTCATCAGTGAGGTTCCGCTGTAGTGAGTTCGTCGAGTGATGCTTACTCCAGGATTTGGCTCCGAATTGGCAGTTGCAGAGGCGCCTGCGGCCGTGTTGCTTGGCCCTGCTGTTACCACATCACGCAGCGAGCTGGCAGGAGCAGTATTTCCGGGGCGGCGACCTTTGCCATTACCGGCACTGGATGAGCTTGTGCCGATTTTCTCTTTGGTGCTGGATGCTTCGGATCTTGAATCATCCTGCTGAGGCCGAGGCCGAGAAGGGGCCATAATTCTATGGGAGCGTTGGACTGGAAGCTGTGGTCTATCACACTTTTTGGAGGCTGGAAGGAGGAATTGGTAACTGAGAGTGCCGTCCTCGCGCGTCAAGCTCGGCACCACCTCGAGTTCAGGATGGGAAACGCGCTACGGGATAACGTTTGAGCGGGCCGGAAGATCCTCCCCTGCCGGTACTTGGTACTTCGACCACCCCGAAGTACCGGTATCGCACCGCTCCCTACCATGTTGTTTCTCTCCTTAACCTTCGTTTTTCTTTTTTTCTCCTCTTCCAATCGTCGTCACAATGCAAATTCCTCACCTCGACATGGAATAATCTCTGTTGGCTTTTGTCTGCTGACCCTTGCTCGCACGGTACTACTATTCCGGACTTCCAGATCAGGACAGGACCGCCGCTGCTCAGATGTTGGCGTTGACGCGGTACCGTACTCGGTACTATTATCGCGCTCTCAGGGTTCCCGTTTCGATCTGGCGTGCATGAGACTCTTCCGCAATCAGGGGCCCAATTCGTTACACTAGACAACGGTTGTCGTCCCGACGCAAAGTAGCCGCATCCAGCAAATCAAGAGCGCTGCTGGGCAACCAGATGAAAAGAACCCGAGGATGAAGGGATCAATTAACAATCTCACTACTGTCTCACAGTCTCAGTCAGCCCGCCCCCGTCCATCCCCAGATTGGCGCGGGTGCATGGCGAATGGGCGGCCGAGTGCTGACACGCGTGGTCATGGTTCTCCTCCCAGAAATCCTTCCAACAAAAAGCAATTATCTGCATGAGGGATAATCTAACGTTCTATCAGGCCCTCCCGTAGGGCTCAATCGTACTGCTTCGTCCACGGCAGAGGCCGGCTCCGACGACGGCCGAGCGTCCAAGCCGTTTCTTCCTTGCAAGTTTTTCATGGCTCCTGGTTTCCGGCCCCAGATCTTCATGCCTGCCTCTGCCAAAGGAGGTGGGATCTCCTCTCATCTCTGCTGGTTCTGTGGTGTTGTCTCATGTCGTCATCTGCACGCCCCCTCAAGTACGCCAGTGGGTAGGTAATATTGTACGGAGTACGGAGGAGGATTCTCGGGATTCTCTTCAGCCTTGGGCCCGTGGTCGAGTGGAACTGCCTAAGAAGGACATAGCTCATGAAGGAGGAGGGGGAGTGGGAGCCGCCGTGGAGAGAAAACTCTGCACTGATTCTTGATGCCAGTGGACGACGACGACGTCGATTTCGGCACTGTGGGCTCAAGGGTGATTATAGCTTGAGGCGGGAGATGATGATGATGCACGCAAAGCGCATACTCTATATCTCAACCTGAGGTATCAGAAGGGGGAACACCAGGGAATCTACGCCCAGCGTCCCACCGACGACGACGCCACGGCGCATCTGGATGGATTATGATGGCCGTACCTGCTTACAGGTCACCCCACAGTCTGTATTGTACCTTATGTAGGGCATGTGCTGTAAGTAATAACGAGTAGCGGTACTGTGTAGGGGGACTCGCGGTAGAAGGCGGGACGCGGCCTTCTAGGCAAGTAGAGAGAGTCTAGGGACTGATGCTAGCGCACGGGTATGGAGGTGGAGCGCTTTGGAGAGGAGGGGTAAAAGAGGACGGGCTAAACCGTAGTAGAAAGAGGACTAAACCGTAGTCGTCGTAGGCGTCAGGACGTCGTAAATTCTCTGCTTCTACTCTGGACCCTGTAGCCATCCGTACGGAGTCGTCCGTCTCGTCGGGCTGCAGTGGGAGAGGGGCAGCTGATGCCCGTGGGCATTTTCTCTGCGCCGGCCGAGGGACTGACTGACTGTACTGTACAAATACGGAGGCATAGCATACCTTATGTAGGTAGGGTATTGACGATGGTCGTGTAGTCGCGTGGGCGCATGCGCTTCTCCTCCTGCTTCTGCTGCTGCTGCTGCTGCTCCTCTACTTCTCTTCTTCTCTTAGCCGCTGCTCTTCTTCTTCTACTTCTTCTACTTCTTCTTCTTCTTTTTCTTCTTCCTCCTCCTCCTTCTCCTCTTCTTCGCCCTCTCCCTCTCCCTCTCCCCCTTGCTCGGTCGCCCACCAGCTGCCCGGCCCAACCTCTCTTCCCTGGTCGTCCCAACCCCTGACACAGCGGACAACCGACTACGACTACTACTACGACTACAACAACCTACTTTGTCAGGCGTTTTTTCTCCGCAGCTATCGTCCAGCTAAATAAATAGCAGCCGCTGCTGCCCGCCTCGGAACTCCCCCCCTCCCCCACCTACAGCAAGCTTTGTCCACCTCTCAGACCCACGACAACTCCAAACCGCGAAGAGGAGAGAAAAGGAAAATCACCCTTCGCGCTGCATCGTGTCGGCTTGCCTCGTTTTTCCCTCCCAACACAGGATCACTCCCCTCTCTTTGATATCTCGTCCTGGAGGGGCCTCGTCCCCCGCGTTCCACCACGGCTGCGGCTCGCAGATCCGTAGCTCCGAACGCGACGGGTACTGTACGGGGCGCTTCGTCGAATCGTGCAACACCAGTTCTCGAACTGCGTGAACTCCCACCGAACAAGCGACACAAGACTTCTTCGGCATGACATAGCAGGGCCTCGGGTCAATTGGCCAGCCCGTTTGGGAGTCGCAGGAGGGTGGCCTACGGTACCTCCGACTGCTGTAAGTTCCTTATATTCAAGCTTCCTTATATTCAAGCTGGCCTTCTCTCCCCGTGGGGAGGGTGAAAGCGAACCGCTGTAAATCGATGAATAAACTTTCTTGCTGGAAGCTACGGACTTGACCTGACCGCGATCAATTTAGTAGATGTGATCCGCCCATTTCGCCAGTGCGCCGCAAGTCAAGGCTTTCTGGATTGCTTGATTTGCCTGTGTTAGCTTCTGTGGATATCGTTTTTTTGCTTGGAGTTTTGGATCGTCAATGGTAGTCTGTATCTCGCGCGCTATACATCAGGACCATCCCTTGGACTATGACTTCGATTCTAGCAACACAGCCTGTCGCCTTTCTCCCGGAAAACATTACGGTGCAGATGGATACATCTCCAAGTGTCCAGATACGCGACCCCGCCATACAGCACAGCTCACAGTCGGAGACCGTCCACAAGGATCGAGGTCGACGCAGAAGTCGTAACAGGAGTAATGATGGGCCGGCAGGAGCCTCAGCTGACGAGGAGGGCGAAGGCGCAGATGGACCTTCCTCTGGGACCGATGGCCCCTCGCGAAAGCGTCGTAGGAGCCGGAAAGGTTTGGATAAAAAATTTGAGTGCCCACATGAAGGGTGCGGGAAGAGCTATTCCAGAGCCGAGCACCTGTAAGAATCCCTTTGGCCCCCTTTTCCCTGAAACGGATGCTAATTAACCAATCGAAGCTATCGGCATCAACTGAATCATACCCCGAAGCAAATCTACAGTTGCGACTTTCCAGATTGCCATCGTACATTCGTGAGACAGGACTTATGCAACAGGCATCGGGATCGGCATACTGCGAAAGGATCTCAACTTAACAGGAAAGATTCTATTCTGGGGTACGGCTCACCTGTTATCGAAACTAGCAAGCCCTCAACAATGCATGGAGTTTCTTCTCCAGAACTCACTAGGGCCAGCCTTTCTGGAATCAAGTCACATACGAACAAGCCGCAGTACCAGTCACCCCAAGAAATGAGTAACAGTCCGTATATACCCGCGACCAACCCATCTTCAGGGACATACTCAGGCGCATCTTCGTCAACTGGAGCCGACGGCTTTTCCCAAGCTAGTGCATTCAGGCGTTCCAACAGTAACAGCGTGTCCAGAGGACACGATTCAGCCAATGCAACCCCAAATAGTCGGCCTCAGCGACATGCCAGCTTTGGAGTCTCAGACGCCAAGCCAGCAGAGTTTTCGAGGCCTCCTCTTCAGACAACGGTTGGGCCGTATGGGCTGCTCTCCTCTACTTCAAGTAGCCAGAACTATCACAACAACCCATCTAGTCCAGCTACCTACGTAAACCAACAGAACTTTGCGCCCTTCTCTCTGCCTCCCCCAACATTCCCAACAGCGACAACTTCTATCTCTGCAAGGACTTCAGAGTCTTATCATCCTACTTCCATGCCCACGGACTACCCAAGTGAGACCCTCAACCCTCAACAATCGGGGCCGGACATGATGCTTCTAGATCAGATGAGTGCACCAAATACAATGCCAGTCTTCGGGGGTGAAGGTTACAACCGATCGCCCTTTGCAATTCCCGAGGATTTTGTTGCATATTTGTTCAATGGACAGCAGTTGGATGGTTCTTCCCCTATCAGCCAGATGAGCCAACCAGGCTACGCAAGGTCAGTGCCACAAGCTCACTTGACCAGAAGTCTTCGGGGAATATGCTCACAAGTTCTATAGCTACCCTGATGTACAGAACCAGTACTATGCTCCATATTTCGCCAGTGATATGAATCTCGGAGGTTTCTTTCCAGCCGGCCAGCCGGTACATCATCCAATGGCAGTGACGAGTATCCTAGACACCAGCCTCCCGGAAAGTGTCCTGTCCGAGGAGAAGAGCCAGGCCATCATTGATTTAATCAAAGAGCGATTTAATGAGACTGATCATGCACCAGTCGCGCGACAAAAGGAAGCTCTGCTTGAGGGCGACCGCAGCAATGATAGTCACATGCTGAGCCGCAAGATGATGCAGACGTATATCGGGAGTTATTGGTATAACTTCAGCGAGCAGATTCCAATCCGTAAGCAGCAGACGTCTGTCCTCGTTACCCGGAATTTGAATACTGACAGATCGAATAGTACATAAGCCGACATTTTCGCCAGATAGGACACCAAATCTACTTTTGATTGCCATGATGGCCATTGGTGCTTCGTGTCTTGACAAAATTCATGGTTACGAAGTGACACGGCAAGGTGCTGAGCTATCGAACTTCTTGGCTTGGCATCTGAGATGGGAGATATTTAGTGATAACCATTTCCGACCCCCGGCAAAGCTGTGGGTTTTCCAAGCTCTACTGCTCTTGGAACTGTACGAGAAGATGTATTCGACGCGAGCTTTGCATGAGAGAGCTCACATACACCATGCAACCACTATTACTCTTATGCGTAGGGGTAGCTCACTTATTGGAAGGTCGGCTCTAGATTCTCCCCCGAGTGTAAGGGATGACAAGCAGGGAGCAAATGGGTCAAGGCAGTCTTCGGCCTCCGGGGCCAACACTCCCGATGAGTGGTGGAACCACTGGATCACCAACGAAGCGACAAGACGTGCTGCATTTGCGGCCTTCGTGATTGATTCAACGCATGCCACTATGTTCGGGCATTCTACGGTCATGGTTGCCCATGAAATGAGACTTCCTCTCCCTTGTGACGAGTCGCTCTGGAACGCGACAACTAGTGCCGAAGTGGGTCGGCTCGAGGCCAACCTCCATGCCAACGGTATTAAACCAATCTCGTTCTTAGAAGGGCTCAAGCGTACTCTCAATGCACAGGAGGTGCGTACAAACTCCTTCGGACGAACTATTCTCATGGCTGGCCTACTCAGTGTGAGCTGGCATATGAACCAACGAGATCTCCAGGTCAACTCCCTCGGAGTTTCACATGCTCTTGGTGGTCGAGATAAATGGAGAGGATCGCTCACTAGGGCTTTTGATCTGTGGAAGGCGGACTTTGATAGATCTCTGGCTCGTCAGACGGAGAACGTCCCGACCCCGTATGTTTATTCTGAGAAGAAGGAAGAAAGTATCGTCTTTCAGAGCAGGACGGTTCTCCATCACCTGGCTCACATGGCAATGCACGTCGATATTGTGGACTGTCAAATATACGCTCGGGCAGACAGACTCTTGGGTCGCAGCATTGGCCCTCAGGATCTGAATAGCGCTCAGCGGCGCATGAAGGACAACTGGGCCCCTACAGCGAAAGCTCGAGACGCCACTTGGTACGCTCTTCGATTCCTCAGCTCAGTTCTCCTGCCAGAGGAGTCCACATCGCCAGGCATTCACGGTCGACACCCAGAGAAGCCCTTTGACTACTCAGCTCGCGATGACGTGCTGCTCAACCGACCTTGGGTCTTGTATTTTGCCTCTCTAATCGTGTGGTGCTACGGATTTGCCTTGGAAGGCCCAACCACCGCGCCTATCCCTCCGGTGCACGATTTCGAAAGCCAGGTGCGCGACATGCGTCAGTATCTGCGACGAGTCGGTGGTGTTCGATCGCCCGAGGATCTCAAATCCATACGCGGCTTCAATGCCTGCAGCGGCATGTTGATGGTCCTCCGCACAGTATTCGAGAAGACCCGGTGGGAATTACTTCACGAGGCCGCCCGCCTGTTGAATAACTGCCTCCACCTACTCAGTGGCGCACAGTCCTGAATAAAATAAAATAAAAAACCACGGATAGCGGCTCATGACCCTAGCCGTGCAATGGGCCGCTTTGTATTCTATACGGCAGACATCGGGTGTGCTCTGTCATTGTCATGTCATGTCATGTCACCAAAAAAACAAAAATAAAAATACACTCCCTTTTGGATGGATCGTTTAGGATAGGAGTATGCGGGATCTTTCCTCTTCCAATTTATCTTTTTGCGTGTATACCCTGGAAATCATCCGTGTTTATTATATCATATCATATCATATCATATCATAAAAATTCCCTCAGACCTATCGATATATATATATATGTGTGTGTGTGTATATGAGGGGGGGTGTGTGTTCTGGTAAGCGAAAGCTTGGTTGGATAGGTACTTTTTGTTAGGTATGGTTTAGGATATTTTTCGACGGCATCACGAATGGCAAAAAAAATAAAAAACACAGCTATGCGCGGTTGGATATGTGAATGATCAGGCGATGAATGAAGAACTACTGCGTGCGTGAAATGTTGGAAGGATCGGCCCGTCTTCTAGAATAGAAGGGGGGTCCAGTTTTAAGCCTCGCGTGCTCGGTTCTCCCCTTTTCTTTTCATGGTGGGGAAATAGGGGTCCTAGACAGGACAGCGAGGTAGGTAGGTACACAGCAGGAAAGAGATCTCAAAGTCAATGAAGAACATTCTATTCTCTAAATATGATCGCTAAATACATTAACATACATTCATTCATCTATGCAAACCCCCTAACCCGGATCGCCAAGCCCAGACCGGACAAGAAGGGATTTTCTCTCTTCTTCTCGAGAGCGAGATAGAGAAAGGGAGAGAGAGCACACGTGGTATTAACATCTATCATCTAATCAAACTACCACTTGTTGTTGAAGACCTTGCCATCGATGCTGCCGACGTGGTTGACCAGCTCGCGGACAGGGGCCAGGTGAGTGGCGCTGCCGCCGAAGAGCATGCCCTTGCGCATGACCTCGCGGTAGTTCTTGCCGGGCGAGACCTTGCCCAGGACGTACTCCTGGCGGGTATCGACGCGGGTGGGCACGGGGATAGAGCGACCGACGACCGCCTCCATACCCTGCCAGGCGAAGGTGATGGCCTCCTTGGCACCGGCGGGGATACCGGCCTCGTCCAGCATCATGATCTTGGTGTTGGGGTAGTGCTTCTGGATGTACTCGGCGATGTTGGGGTTGTAGGCTCCGCCACCGCACATGAACAGCTCGTCGATCTCCTGCGACGGCGCGTATCGCTTGTAGTGGTCCACGATCGCCTGCGCCGTGATCCGCGTCACCGTCGCCACGATGTCGTCAGGGCTCAGTCCCTTCTTCTCACCCTTCTTAATCATCTCGTGCGCCATCGTGTCGCGGAAGACCTCGCGGCCGGTGGTCTTGGGTGGGTCCAGCTTGAAGTACTCGTGCTGCAGGAACTCGTCCACGAGCTCCTGGTCAACCTTGCCCCGCTTGCCCATTGCACCGTCCTTGTCGTACTCCTGCTCGCCGTTCGTGTAGTATCGGACGACGGCATCGATGAACACGTTTCCTGGTCCGGTGTCGAAGTCATAGCACTCGTCAACACCACCCTGGTTGTCAGGAGGGATGAAGCACACGTTTGCGATACCACCGATGTTCTGGCAGGCCCGCAGTTTTGTAGGGTGGTGGAGGACGAGGGCATCGAAGAAAGCGATCAGAGGAGCTCCCTGGCGTCCTGCTGCTTGGTCACTGACTCGGAAGTCGGTGACACTGGTAATTCCGGTCCGGGAAGCAAGGAAAGCACCCTCCGCCATGGTCAGGGCCGACCGCATACGCCCAGGCTGAGCACATCCTGTGCAGAGCCAGATAGTTTGGCCGTGGGAGCCAATGACGTCAATGTCAGACAGCTGCACGTTGTGCTCTTTTGAGAATTCCTTGACCGCGGCCGCGAAGGTCTCACCGAGGATAACATTGACCTCGGAGAGCTCTTCTGGGGTAGTGGTGTTGTGGAGGATCATGTTCATCACCCGCTTCTTGATTGTTTGCTCAAGAGGGATTTCGCCGTATTTGAGGAGGGAGAAGTGCATTGGGGAGTCGGGAGTTTCTTGTCTGAAGTGGCAGAGGGCACAGTCAATACCGTCCTGTGGGAGTCTGTTAGACCAGGTCAGAGAGCTGGGGAAATGTCTGAAAAACCTACCATTGAGGTACCGCTGTTGAGGCCGAGAACGACCATGTCGAGCGCTGGGCTCGTGCCATTGCTGTGGCCGTTGGTTTCTGCAGCAGTCATTCTGATTGATGTTTATGCGGGGTTTAGTATACGCAGCAGAGGAGGACACTGGCTCTCCGGTGAATATTGTACGAGAAAAGTGGTATGAAGGAGGGAGAAAGATTGAAAGGACCAAGTTCACTTATATGTAGAAGAGAGGGAAGGAGGGGCGGTGGGGGGTGCAGATTGTCATCTAAAATTTCACGATCCACCGCCGTCCAAAAGAATCCAAGGAATACTCAGCTTAAAAGCTTGAAGGGGTCTCGTCACGAGGGCATCCAGCTCTATACTCCGTACGGGCCTGCGGAGCGCGGCGGAGGGCTTTTCGTCGAAGCTAAGTCGTCCATCAAATGCTGCATCTCCGCCCTTCACCTCGTCGAAACCGCGGGGGCGCGCCTCGGGTGCTTCTGGGTTCGTTTAGCCTCGTCTCGACCGCCCGTTTAGCCGTTCAGCCCTTTAAGCCTCCCGACGCGGCCTCCCGTTTAACCGGTGCCCGTGCCCATTGGTTCCCGCCTTTGCCTCTGGACCCCGTGGCGCGGGATAGCCATACGCCTTCGGGCTTCCTCCCTGCGCTACCCAGGGCTGCCTGTCGACCTTCTCCGGATCAACCCTCATATGGCTTCCATCCTTCCCAAATCTGGGGTCATACCGTCATGGTCTAGACGAGGCAGTATGCGAAGAAGCATGGCAGTGGCACTTCCTACGGGACAAAGGACAAAGGGCTGCTGGGCTGATCAGCCGAGGATATCTCTCTCCTTCAGTCCTGCTCCGGACTAGGAAATACTGTCCTATTTAATAGACCTTGATTCCCCGGATTCTTGACAGGTCTCCGGACAGAGAAGATCAGTGCTCAGTGTCGGCTGTCAGCTTGACTCCCCCCTGATATTGGTCTCCATCCCCCAGACCTGACCTCCACGCACCTTCTTTCCCGAACTCAATTCATACAAGATGGCTTACGGTACCTTGTGGAAAAGGCTGTCGGCCAGGAACCTCGCAATACTGATCCAGTCCTTCTCCCTCATCTCTATCTTCTTCGAAGGATATGACCAGGGTGAGTGACTACTCGTTCAATGCCTTAGTAATTAACATTGACGTGACCCCGTAGGTGTGATGGGAGGGGTCAATTCTTCATGGGATTATATCAACGAAGTCGGAATTGGCTCAGACGGAGTGGTCACCAACACTACTCACCAAGGAGGAATCGTGTCCATCTATTATCTCGGTGCCATTGTTGGCGCCTTCGCAGGCGGGTAAGAATACCCTGGCGCGCACCGTTTCAAGATGTGCGAGGGCCGACAAGGCTCTGATGCATTTTTGGCTCCTCATCTTTGCTTTTTCTGTGTAAGTCACTGCTGACTCCCTGGTCTTCTAGATGGCTAGCCGACCGGATTGGGCGTATCAATGGTCTCTTCTGCGCTGCTTTGTTTGCTCTTATCGGTGGTGCTCTACAGGCTGCTGCCCAAAGCTCCGACTTCATGCTCGTTGCCCGAGTGGTCACTGGTCTTGGAACGGGTGCTTTGACTTCCATCACCCCGGTTTATATCTCCGAGATCTCCTCCGCTGGGCATCGAGGTGGTTTCCTGGGATATGTCTTCATCGCCAACTATCTGGGTATTAGCGTAGCCTACTGGCTAGATTTTGGTCTTGCATATGTTGATGAAGGTAAATCAGCTGTCAGGTGGAGATTTCTCCTTGCATTCCAGGTATGTCTTCCCTCTCCCTTGTTGATTGCGCCGTTCTAACTGCAGGGTGAAGTGCTTCCCAGCTCTCCTGCTCCTTGCTGGTGTCAAGCTTCTGCCAGACTCTCCTCGCTATCTCGCCTATGCTGGACGTCTTGACGAAGCCAAGGAGGTGCTGGAGCACGTCCGAGGGAGCAATGATTACGAGGTAGAACAGGAATTCGCAGAGATCTGTGCTGTCGCCGAGGGCTCAGAACCCAGCTCCCCTATGCAATTCGCAAAAGTCCTCTTCGGCCGTGCAACCAGTGCTCCTCACCTTGGCCGACGTGCTTGGCTCTGCATCTGGCTTCAAATCATGGCTTCCTGGTCGGGAATCACGGCCGTAACTGCGTACTCGCCAGTGGTAGGTCCACAATCGTTCCCTTCTTCCTCGGAATCGCACTCACATCTTCTAGCTCCTCAGGCAAGCCGGCTACAGCTCTGTCAAACAGAACGGTCTTGCTGGTGGCCTCAACACAATCGGCATAGTAGGAACTATTATCTCTGCCAACATCGTCGACCGTTTCGGCCGCCGGAAGTGCCTGATGTGGGGTGCATTCAGTCTTTTCCTAGTGAACGTGATTGCAGCCGCCCTATACGAAGGTTCCCGCGCAAACCCTAACGAGGCTGCGTCAATTGCCCCTGCGGCGGTGACGATGCTCTTCCTCTTCAATCTCTGCTACGCTGCGACATGGGGTACGGTAGCCTTCCTCATCCCAACTGAGATCTTTCCCTCGGAGATGAGAGCCCAAGGCAATGGCTTCGGTATCACAGGTTGGGCAATTGGAGTAGGATGGACCACGTTGGTCAACCCAATCATGTTCGAGTCCATGGAGAGCCGAACGTATTTCCTCTTTGCCGGCCTGAACCTTCTCTGGATTCCCACGGTCTTCTTCTTCTACCCAGAGACGGCGAACCGCACACTCGAGAGTATCGAGATAATGTTCTCAACGAAGAGCCCACTGTACAGCAAGATGGAGGCAGCATACCATGCGGCTGGCGACGGAGATGTTCTCGGTACCAGAGCTGCGTCCGTCTCGCATAATGCAGACAAGACGGCCGATACGGAATCGGTATCGCATTCTGAGAAGGTTTAAAGGAGGAAAAGAAAAGGATTGGCTGTGTGAGATAATTGATTGTATTATGATATAATTGATTGGGTGGTATAGGAATGGGAGGGTATGTCTGAGTATTTGCGATAATAGCTTTGAAATGAAGGACGGACGGGAGTTAACTGGAATCCAGTTCCTCAAATGGATGATATTTACCGGGCGGCACGAAGTGTCAGGGATTTTAAAAATTACCGTACAGTACTCGCAGTATATGCAGTGTAAACTTCATACTGACGAAGCTTCATACTAATGGAGATGTTCCTCTTGAAAATTTTCCCCATGAGATGTCTGGGTAGGCTGTCTTCCTGTTCATTGTTCGGGATATTTCGGATAAAGAATTGCTGTGTTCCAGCCCCTTGGTTGCAGGGACGCCACATTTGAAGTCGCCTCTTTGCGCCTCTTTGCGCCTCAATATATGCTCCACTTTCTCCCGTCGGGGCGGATTATTTGCCCAATAACAACAAGTGAAACGGTGCGGTAGGTTATTATTGGTAAGGCACGTGCCCAAGGTTTTAAGCCTTACTGCTCCAGTACAGACTACTGTAGGTACAATTGGCCCACGGGGTACCTCCTTGGTCAAAACTTTGGTCATGGTCTCGTATAGGAACGGGACGAGAAGTTCGAGAAGAAGGCCGAGTCCTGGTCAGGCTGTTCGGTGAGTACTAGGGGTCCACGTTCCTTGGCGTGAGAGGCGTTCACGATCCGCGCCCACGATTCGCGTCCACGATAATGGGCTGGACCGCCTGTCAACGGTAGACTGTAAATATTCAACCGTCCACCTCATGCGCCATAGGAGAAAATTGAGTCAATACACCCAGTCTCCCAAAGACCACGAAGAGGGCTGCGTTATTGTTTCATACCTACAGGACGGAACATATCGAAGTCGACCATGATGTATAAACTTGCATTCACGGCTCTTGCCCTCCTGTCGAGCGCGGTCTCCGCTCAATCAACTACGACGACCACACTTCTGCTCGTCGGCTTTGATCAGCAGAGTATCATGGGCTCAGTCATTGCCTCGGTATGCTCCCCGAAACAATAGCATGCGTTGAAACCCCTTCTGACATGCAATTAGGATGCTACAGCGACGACCTACAGCCTCAGCTGCGGATCCAAGGATTCCGACGACTGTGGTGTTCCACCGTCCTTCACCTTCACCCAGGGGCCTTCGACCATGCACTATGCATTCAGCTACCCTGGGGATTCTGGGGAACCCGCAGGATCCCTCGACGTCGCGTGCGCTATTACATCGAAGAGTGGGACATGCAGTAGCACGGTGCTAGGTGGATTGGACTCACTCAGCCCGGCAACAGTCATGTCGACATCCTTTACAGACGGTGGGGTAGGGCTCGGTGCCCAGGTTGTCACAATCGTTGCGGATGCAGGTGCTGCTGCCAGTTCTACCAGGACCGTAGCCTCGACTTCTGCGTCGACTACGGCGGCATCTGAAGCGAGCTCGTCGGCCACAAGGAGTGGAAGCTCGGCGCCAGAGAAGACGGTCTCGAGTACCACTGGTAGCTCGGCGAGTGCTTCTAGCACCTCGAGCGTCAGTACAGCTGGTGCGGCGATGGTCACCGGTAAAGCACAATGGGTTGTTGGAGGGGCGGCCGCTGCGTTAGCACTTGCTGCGATGTAGATGGAGGTGGAATAATAGATGTCTGGTTGGATTGTGCAACAATCGTCTGTATCCAATGCACAATGCCGACTGGCTGTACGTATATATGTATATCAAACTACGATAATACTGATAGATACCACTAAGGGGCTACCCGAGACTATTCCTTGAATAAGGTATGATAGCGGATGTCTGTAACGAGAGCTGCGGCGAGTTCTTGGCAAGGGCACAACACTAATGCGACCAGCAGAGCGGGGAAGTGTTCGGATACATTGCCACACTTGACTGCGGGGAAATCGATACCCTATAATGAGGAAAACTTTCCTTGCTCCTCAAACTGCCGACAGCATTCTTCAGTGTTGGTGTTGGTGTTGGTGGCGGAGGCACAGTCGCGTCTCGGTCTCCTCCGAGGCCAGAAGCTACATAGGTACTTAACAATATTCTGTGACATTTTCCATGAGGGGACAGACGCGAAATGCTCCAGCAGACGCTCACCAGCAGCAAGGGACTTTCCAGAAAGGAGGGCCCAATCAGGAAAGCCGATGCGTGATGCATTTTATAGTTGAGCATGAACATGAAATGATCGTCGTCGGCTATGTTGGCGGCGGGAGAGCGACATCATTAGATTCCGCGCATATGGGCGGGCGCAGCAGCCACCCAACTTCACCAACTCAGGGGTTGAGACTCTGAAGACTCTTGAGATTCGTGGCACGAGCCCACCGCAGCACAAGCCAGATATATATAATCTGACCCAACGTTGGAGTTCGACCACTCATGCAGCACTACTCTTACTCAGCCCTTTTTGCGGTTCGCTTCAGCCACCCGCTCTCAAGCGCTGAGGGGACGGATTTGACGTTACCACATACCTAACGTAAGGTATCCAGGAATAACTGTTTTTAGGCTACGAGTAGTCACGACCAGTGTAAGGTAGGTAGGGGTACGGGCTAATAATATGTACCTGTAATCCTACTTTTGTAGGTACTATCGCGTCTTCATAACCCCATACATTTCCTTTCCTTCTCTTCTCTTCTAATTTATTGCATTTAAATCTCACTTGAGACGTCAACTTGTCCTCAAGATTTATCAATATCGTCTTTAAGATTGCCCAAGTCCCACTGCGCTACACTACAAGTCTAGTCTCGCAAGATGTTGAAAAGAACGGTCTTCACCACAGTGACCCCGCTCCCTGCAGGAATCAGCAGGGAGACAGTCATGGAGACTCTCCATTCTCCTACGGAGATGGCAGATCTCAATCCCCTTGTTGAAGAGCGGCACCCGATCAAACCACCAGCAAACGCCAGCCCGGAAGAATACCATTGTCTCTGGTACTCGCTCACAGATCGCGTCTCATACCTGCCGGGAGGAATCATCTCCGGCAAGGTCAGCTATAACGTTTGCTTCCATGACCTTGAAAGGGGCCTGCAGACACACTGCTACGCGCCGATGGGGTTGAATATCAAAGGGAAATGGACGCTGGGGGGCTCACTACCTGGAGAGCCCGTGGCGCCAGTAGAGCTGGGAATTGGAGCGCCGTTGACAGGGCTGTACCTGCGGGAGGATGTCGACATGAAGTGCAATATCATGATGACGAGTTTCGTCAAGAAGACGCTCAAGAAAGCCCACTTGCATCTCGTGGAGCGGCTCCTCGTCAAGGCTCAAATCGCCGAGCGCGCCGTCAACAATGAGCGCATGACCGGGAAGACTCTCGAATCGCAGAGCAAGACCTCCTGGTCTCAGTCAAGCACGGTTGAATCACCCACCAGTGACTACGGGGATTCTTCTATGACGGGGCTCGAGGATGGTGCTGTACAGCGCAATTCCCCACGCTTCAGCAACCAATCTGGGGGGGCTCCACAACTTGCTCCACAACTCGCTCCACTGGATCCGGCATATCAGCAGCCGGCTCCGCAGAGAGCTTCGATGCAATCTTATCATGCAGAGCTGCCTTCAGATGAGAGGGAAGTTATGCCAGAACGAGATTGCTACAGATCGCTCGAGGCGGGGAAGCAGACCAAGCAGACTCGGGTGGGTAACGCAGCAGAGTTGGAGTAAGGAGAGAGAAATCCAGTTCTGGCTTTGGAGATGGATGGGATTCCGGAAAGGTATAAGGAGCATGAAGATGATAGGGCAAGGGGACGAGGGATTAGAGCAGATCAAATGATACCCACGGTTAGAGAGCGAGTTGAGGAGCACGATAGGATATTACCAGCAGTGTCACAGTCATGGATTGGCCGTGTGTGAAGGCTGGTTCAGATGATGCCAGTCCTAGGTCGGGGTATCTAGAAGTACAGTACGTAATGCAGCCGCTTTAATGAGATCATGATTCGTCCGTCTTTTCCTCCTCTACCGCTTCTGTGGCAGGCGAGTCTTCCTTGTGAAGATCTTCTTTGACCTCGGATTCATCCGTCTCGTGGGCTGGGGTTGCCTCTGTCTCCTCCTGGCTCTCTGGAAGCGCCTCTTCTGCCGCTGTCTCAGTGGTTTTAGGAGCTTCAGGCTTCTCTTCCAAGGCATCATATGATATCTTATCCCAAGAGGATGTGCTTGATTCTGTCGCTGTGTCATCGTGAATCGTTTGCTGCAACTCTGGATTCTGGGCTTCAGCTGATTCCGCCTCGGCTTCTTCTGACTCGGCAGCTTCTGGCTTGACCTCTTCTGGTTTGACATCTTCGGGTTTGATCTCTTCTGATTTGACCTCTTCTGGTTTGGCTTCTTCTAGCTTGGCTTCTTCTGGCTTGGCTTCTTCCTCTGGCTTGGCTTCTTCTTCTGGCTTGGCTTCTTCCTCTGGCTTGGCTTCTTCTTCTGGCTTGGCTTCTTCTGGCTTGGTTTCTTCTGGGTTGACTTCGTGATGCTCTGCAACTTCATATGTCTCTACAATCACAGGTATATCGGAGACTCTTTCTTCGTGAGCAATAGAGAGCTCTTCCAACTTCTGCGTCATGCCATGATCTTCCTCATCTGACTCTAGGACGGTCGTGACTGCTGAGCCAACAGAAGGCGATTGTCGAATATGCCTCCTTGTATTCGTCCGCCCAACGTTCATGAAGTCTTCTTCCACTGACGAGTTACGACCACCATCAGACTTCAGGATGGATGGCACAGGGGCTTTCACTTCCGCTGCCGGCTCCAAACCCTCAGCCTCAGGGGGCAATTTGTAATTCTCCGCTGGCAAAAGTTCATATGTGTCGCAAACTGTCTTGAACAGAACATATAAACCAGTCTGTCCCTCAACTCGCCAGAAGACTTCTCGATGCTGAAACCAAGCATGTGCAAATATGCGGTGTAGCCGTCTGAAAATGTTGATCAAGTGCTTAACCCCCGCTCCCCGATCATCTACCGCGTCCCCAGCTCCCAGGCTTAGTCGGCTGGGGAATATCTTTTGACTCGTAACAATATTCGTCGCCCAGTCGAGGGTGTGGCAGCAATAATCGATTGCACAGCAGCTCTTGGGAGACTCATGCACGGCGCATAGGAACTGCCACTCGCTAGCGCGCATCTCAGGACATGTGGATGCCGAGCATGGAGGGTCGTCAAAAAGGAACCCGATAATTAAGTCGTTGCACTTGTTTATGAGAAAGCGGCAAAGTTCGTAAAGCCAGAGAGCACGATCGACAGTCTCAGGTGGTGTAGCGATTAGAGCTGCGGTCTCGCGGGTTATGGGGATTGTGTGGTCCCCATCGGCGGGTCTCGTATAACTGTAGTGTAGGGCTTTGAGATGTTCTTGAAGCTGGAATGCGGAATCAAGCTTCAGAGGAGTCAGCCTTGGTAGAGGTAGCTTTAGGATAGGTAGACTTACTTCACTAAGGGGGATGAGTGGTGGCCCGGCAGCCATGTCCGCAGACTTGGTGCCCGGATGTATTCTTCGGCCTGCGTTAGCATCGATGATGCTCTGTTCAATTGTGAGCTCTTGTTTTGAGGAGCTCCCCATCGACGGCGATTTGGGCCCTATCTGAATCTCTGTTGGAGGTGGAGGGCTCGGGAGCCTCGGCGAACTTGGTGGCAGAGACATATTAGTATCGGATGTGCCAGCTACGAGCTACAGCTCTTGAACTGGCATAGAATTATTTCCTCTGAGGGACTGAGTTGGTGTAGAAGTCGTAAACTTTGGGATGTCGCAGGAGTTGGAGGTCGCGCGCCCTTCGCGTCAGCCTATAAAAACCGTGCGCTAAAACCTTAACAAGGCTGTCTAAATGGGTATCTTTTGGACAACCTCTCAAGCTACCTTGTATGACATACAACCTTCCTCTGTGATAAAGCTTTGATTCAGAATGAACCTCGACGAAGATGAAGCACCACCACTTTTAGTGGATGTAGAAGCGGACGGAGATGAGTTGGTTAAGGAACCAAAGCCTATCAAAGTCCCAATTACAATTGTCACAGGCAAGTTACACTAGGTAGGTCCAAGGCAAGAACTATCTAATACTTGAAAACAGGATACCTTGGGGCTGGAAAGACTACGTTGCTTAACTATATTCTGAGTGCACAGCATGGAAAGAAGATTGCAGTTATATTGAACGGTACGTTCTCGGTACCGCCGGCATAGTAAAACGTGCTGATATCTTTGTTAGAATTTGGCGATTGTAAGTAGAGCCGATGTGCTTGCTTGATTTTAAGAAAAGTCTTAACAGTATCAGCGTCGGATATCGAGAAAGCTCTGACAATCAACCGGGACGGTGAGCAAGTGCAAGAATGGCTTGAAGTTGCGAATGGGTGCATCTGCTGCTCTGTGAGGTACTTGTCACTTATTTTCTTCGCCGAATCTTACTAACTCTTAGAAGAGATTCTGGAGTCAGTGCCATTGAGTCTTTAATGGAGAAACAAGGGGCCTTCGATTATATCCTCCTTGAGACCACTGGCCTGGCAGATCCTGGAAATCTAGCCCCCCTATTTTGGGTAGATGAGGGACTCGGCAGCACAATCTACCTGGATGGTATCGTTACACTGATTGATGCAAAAAATATATTGAGAAGTCTCGATGATCCAGTCAAGGAAACCGTCCATCACGATGAAGATCATGAGCACAAAGGCCCACTGCTAACTACAGCGCATCTCCAAATATCTCATGCGGATGTTATCGTCATCAACAAGTCTGATCTTGTGAGCGAGGCTGAGCTTTTGGCAGTGCGGGACAGAGTTGAAGCAATCAATGGCCTTGCAAAGATACACGTAACCCAACAAGGCAAGGTGCCAGAACTTGAAGGGTTCCTGCTAGACCTCCACGCATATGATGATGTTGGAGCTTTGGAGGTTTCAGCGAAAGGGCACAGCCATTTGGATCCAGTATCTCGCTTCATCCCCTTGCCTTTGATGCCGTACTGACCTCCTCTTAGACCATATCGACAATCACCCTACCTGTCCCTGTGTTGGAAATCGAGCAGCTTTCAAACCTTGATGCTTGGCTCAGGTCCGTTCTTTGGAACTCCACGCTTCCCGGCCTTGGTTCCAATTCAGAAGACCACAACAAGCTTGAGATCCATAGATTGAAAGCCAGGTTACCATTCTCAAATGGGGAAGTAAAGATTGTTCAAGGTGTTCGGGAGGTATTTGAGATCTTGGACGCTCCGACAATCGATGGTTCTATATCTGCGGCCGCTGTCCCTTCAACAGGGAAGATAGTGTTGATTGGGAGAGAACTTCAAGGCCTGAGGTTTGAGGAAAGCTTTAGAAATACAATAAAATCCGGATGATCCAGTCGTCATTGTCGGGCGCAATGCAGAAGTTGCTACTTAGATTCCTCCTTTTACTCCCAACGAAGACCATCGTGAAGCAGCGTTGGCTTAATTTCCGCACTGATAGAACTCAAGATTTTGCGAGAAAGAAAGAAGACCATTTTATCACTGGTCTTGTAAGACCTTTATTACGGTTGTGTCGTGTCGTTGTCCCTTATCACATGCAAATGTGCATCTCACAATGGCATACAGTGTACATCACCAATGTAAATTCTCTAACAAAAGTGGGCACGGATAGGTGCGAGCCGGTTGGTATTATTGCGTGGCAACGAGGCCATTTACTAAAATTTAGTATCGTCGGTCTGATGGTGTGATATCACGTTGCCAGTCTTGTGTAATGCTTGCAGATTGCCTGTTTCGGGATTGAGAATAGGCTAAACCTGTCACACTAGGTCGCCTTTAGTAGTTTTAGCCTGCCAAGAAGAGGAGATATCGGGGTCGGAGTGGCGTCTGGATTGGACATTTGTGTTTTTATACATCGGTTATATGTATATCATTATCAATCACTGGGTAGACGCGAATCAAAAGAAGACCGCAACTCTGGGCGGTGGAGAGACGGACAGCATTTGCAATAGCTCGTCGTCTGTAAGATCGAGTAGCATGACCAGGCTCCGTCCTTTCTTCCTGTCCTTTGTTCCTTCGACCCATTACACCAACTGTGCTCTTAACCGCGGGCCCTTCACTGATAAGCATCCCGGAAGAGAGGGCGCCCCAATGTGGCTGGTAGTGACATTCCCCAGGGCTAATTTTAGAGTTAGTCAGCCACATCTCGGCTAGATTCCAGGCTAAGGACTTAAGCGCATTGGCCGAACCCAGGCACTTCTAGAAAGGCTCCACAAGATTCCCCATCGTCATTCTTACTACCTTACTACTCCCCGTGCCCGTGCCAACCAGTTTTCCATCCCCAACTCGCATTTCCCAACCCACGGGCACACAGTCATTGTTGGGCTGCATCGTCTGTATATAAGCCCTTTCCACAGAACCATGCGAAACCCGTCAAGGTCTGGTGCCCATCATGATGGTCCTATCAGGGTTGCTCAAGTCGAGCCAAACCACGCCTCGTCGCTCTCAACAACGCATACCAGTGCTCAACTCGACGGGCAGCAATAGTTCGGGCCACAGCTCCCCAGAGCCCTCCCCTTCGCGCGAGCCTCTTGAATCCCCCTATATTCGCGAGCAAGAGCAACTCCTACCCGTCGAGTCCGAGCATCCGGACCTCCGCGATTTAAACAACAGCCTCGTGGCTCTCGCGGCAATGTTCCCTGATGTGCAAGTCGAAGTCTTTCGTGAGATGCTGTCGAGTTTTGGTGAAGAATCCAGATTGGCCGTGGTGACAGAGACTCTGCTCAAACAGAAAATGCAGTGGGTGAGAGGTCGCTATCGAGTGGTATCGAAGGAGACGGCCGGAGGGGAGAAGAATGAACCGGGCCAGCCAGACTCCCAGTCGCTGGTGCCAGTTGAAGAGAAGTTCAGGAGCGAAGGCTATAAGAAGAGCGTCAAGGCCATCACATATTATGAGTTCAAAGGCCTTCCTCGTTCGACGATCAACGCGGTACTGGCCGAGTTCAATCACTCGTACACGCTTGCACGGCCGACTCTTGTAGCATTGTCCTCGAAGTCATGGCGGTTCTCGCTTTCTTCTCTATTCTTACGCAGGAAACCCATGTCATCCCTAGAAGCAGAGAATCATCCCCTTGTAATCTGGCAATCTACTGGCCAAGGATCCATCGTCCCGACCCTCAAGGCTACCGGATCCCCCGAGTTGGATCAGGAACTCTTCGAGACGCTCATTGTGCCAATACAGAAACGGCAGCTGGCGGAACGCGAAGAGAAGGATCGCGCATTTGCGGTGGAGCTGAATAACAACGAGGCTGAAGCAAATGATGCGTTGCACGACTGCGAATGTTGTTTCACTCCTACGACCTTTGAGGAATTATCCGCTTGTAATGATGGCGGACATTGCGTATGCTTCCGGTGCGTCAGGCTTGCGGTTAATGAAGCCGTCTTTGGGCAAGGATGGCAAAGAAGCATAGACCTTGCCAGTGGCACTTTGAGGTGCGTGGCTGCAATGTCTGATGACTGCCAAGGATGCATACCACAAGAACTCGTTCGTCGAGCATTTGAGGATGACAAGAACGGCAAGGAAGTGCTCCGTAAACTCGATGAACGTTTGGCTGAAGACAGCCTGTTGAAAACCAACCTACCCCTCATTCGATGCCCCTTCTGCAACTATGCCGAAGTTGACGAGCTCTACCTACCGGAATCCCAACGTTCTTGGCGTATAAAACGGATCGGTCCCTCTTCTTTATATACCCTTGTGGCTTTGTTTTTAGGCGTTTGCATGATACCCTTCTTTTTACCTGTGCTTTTGATTTTCTCACTCCTTTTTATACTTCTAACTTCACGACCAATCTTCGGCGACGTCGCCGTTAAGCGCTTCAATGCATCCGTCACTCGTCTGCGCCGGAAACGCCGTGGCCTCAAGTTTGTCTGCCAGAACAAAGCTTGCGGGCGACCCTCTTGTATTTCATGCTCGAAAGCATGGACCGACATCCACATTTGCCATGAATCTTCGCTCTTAGCGCTTCGTACCCAAGTTGAGCTTGCAATGTCCCTAGCTATCAAACGTACATGTCCTCGCTGCAACACATCCTTCGTTAAGTCGTCTGGGTGTAATAAACTCACCTGCGTCTGTGGTTATCAGATGTGCTATGTCTGCCGTAAAGATATCGGCGATGGAGAAGGGTATCGGCATTTCTGCGAGCACTTCCGACCTAATGGTGGAAGAGGCTGTACAGAATGCACGAAATGCGATCTATATAGATGCGAGGATGACGAAGTGGTGATCAAAAAAGCAAAGGAAGAGGCAGAGAGACAGTGGATGGAAAAAGAAGGCGCCGGCCTTCACGATGAGAAAATCAAGAAAGCCCTGCAGGAGAAACTGAATAAGAGGTCTGAGGCGTCTTGGTGGGAGGGAATGCTGCGGCAATGGAGACTGGCGAATTGGGAGCAATGGTTTGATGCTCTCATTGAGACCATCGTTGAATGAAACTTATACCTTGATGTTTATGGACCTGGGATAGGATGGGCAAGGCTGGGATAGGGAATGGGATTAGCGCATCGAGCACTCAGGGTTGGCATGTAACCAGGTTTTACAAGAATACTGCGTAATATGGTCTAAAGAGGGCTTTTAAACGTATCTGGTTTGCGTACTGAAGTGAATTAAAGTAGCAGTGGCCTTTATGCCAACGGTTTACCATCCCAGACTGTCCCCGAACGCCAATCCCATGCAACCAACCGTAACGCTCTCCCAGAAGTAGTGATATATAAAACATCCCACCCACCAACCTCAGACGGTAACAGGAACACTCCTGTTTAAGGCGAGCTCCGCACTCTTACTCCAAACCCCACTTGGCTCTCTCCTCCACAGAATTAACTTCCCATCGTCTCCAGTAGACCCCAACAACTGTCCATCGTCATCGAATTCAACCTTCCACACCGGTATCCGATTCGCATCCAGTTTCGACACTTCCTTCGCGACATGGACAATCTCCCCCTGCTTGCCCTCGGCCTCTTGCTGACGAGTGCTAGACCTGGCACCAGCAAGGCCTGCCCCGATGCCAGAGGGCGTGCTTCTCGCGCCGTTCTCGGGCGTTCCCTGAACAGGCGTAGCGGTCTGTTCAGGAAGCTTCGAATAGTCCTTACTCCTGGGCGCTTGGCTTCCTTTCGCCGGAGTAGTAATCTGAAAGACCCTTATAAAACCATCCTTACAAGCCGTAGCCACGATATCGAAGCCCCTGATATTTCCGGGTGCCCAGGCAACGTCCCTCATCAGTCCACGGTGACCTTTCAGCTCCGCGGCCAAGTAGAGCTCCTTCGATGTCGAGGAGCCTAGGCTCACGCTGTGAGATATCTCTTTGGTGCGCCAAATGCTCGCTCGGTTCATACTGGCCACTATAAGAGCCAGCGAGTCTCTTTGTACACCTTGCCGAATCGCGTTGTAACATGGCTCCAGATTGGGATCGAAGGCAACCTTGAAAGACGTCTCCTCTCCCCGCGCAGGTTTCTCGCACACAACTACGGTATCTACCTCAGCCCAGCTATCCAGATTCTCCGGCTCCTCATTCTCGTACAAGGTGAGTTCGGCGTTGCGTTTGATCAGCGCAAGGTAGGTGTGTCGGGTTTCAGGGTTGTGTTTGATAGAAAAGGACAGGAAAGGCGCGCGGGAGGGAGAGCGCAGTTCCCAGACTGGCTTATTGTTGTGCGAGTTGAAGCGCCTTCCTTTCCCAGGAACCAGCGTAGGATCTTCGACCCAGAGCTTGAATTTGCCATCGGTGCCAATGGAGGCTATCAGGTTGGGGTGGATGGTTGGTGGGAGCCATTGGATCTGTTTACGAAGTTATTAATGCTGGATTTGACAGGCGCAATAAGACTTACCTGTAGGATTTCAGCAGTGTGAGCTCCCCAGGTGTCGTTTAGGTTCCATGAACCGTCTTTATGTCGATTATATACTTTGATCTTCCCGTCCACAGAACTCGAGGCGAAGCGGTCGCCATAGCTGTTGAAGGCTGTCGCTTCGATCATGTCTCGATGTCCATGCTGCAGGAGCATGAAGCCCTCCTGCTCGGTCTCCACGGGTAAGTCGTCCATCATGAGTGACGCATAAGAGGTTGTGACCTTTCACACTGGAGAGAATGAAAGAAGAGATGGGTGCGATGCCTGTAAGGTCCGTGCACCCGGCTACATTGACAAGGCTGAACGAAGCTCCAGAAAGAAGGGAACATGCATGTGCTATTGAGGACTGTTTTAACTTTTCACACCAGGATTGAACACCATATTGCTCTATATAATCTCAGTGGTTCTCATATCAAGTTCAGTGAGGAACAAAAATTATCCATCCACTGGTTTCATCCCCACCAGAAAATCGTCTGGTCGCATTGTCAGAGCCCCGCAAAAGCGCTAGCCTTCTTTCAGCATTGACCCTTGGTTTTATCTTCGTGGCCTTTTCAGCCTCGTCGAGCCAAACCTCCCCCTCGAGCCTCCAATGTCCCTATAAGAAGCGCGCGCAATGAAATGATAACACGAAAATGACGCCCGCGGCCCTAACCTCCACAGAGACTTGGAGTCTTCTGGCCCTCTCCTTCGCGTGCTTCGGCATCATTGCGAATACTCTCCACGGCGATGGCGAACCTCTCATCGCCTCTCTCGCATTCAGCGGCATTGCTTTCTCAGCGAGCTACTCGATGATCAGATGGCTGGGCCCGACCTTCATGAAAGCTGGGCTGAAGGGGAAAGATCTGAGCAAGGTGCATAAGAAGGAGATACCGGAGACAATGGGTGCGGTTTGCGCCGTCGTCTATTTGTTGATCGTCATTGTGTTTGTACCGTTTCCCTTCTATAAGGACATAGTAGCGGCTACATCAGGAGGCGGGAATCGAGATATTTTGATGGAGGTGGAAATCGTAGAGAAGGGGAGGTTTCTGCATCGATTTCCACATAACAAGGTATGTCACTCAAGAAGAGGGCGCACAAACCCAGCACTGACAGGCGTAACAGCTAGCATCCTACCTATCTGCCATCCTCTCCCTCCAATCCGTATGCATCCTGGGCATCTGCGACGATCTTTTCGATATCCGCTGGCGGCATAAATTCTTCATCCCCGCCTTTGCAAGCATACCCCTCCTAGCCGTCTACTTCGTCGACTTCGGCGTGACACAAATCGTGGTACCCAAGCCTCTCCAGTCCTACCTAGGAACGCTCTTCGATCTCGGCGCCCTCTACTACATATACATGGCAGCGATAGCGATCTTCTGTCCAAACAGCATCAACATCCTCGCCGGCATAAACGGGATCGAGGTCTCTCAATCGCTCGTCATCGCCTTCCTGCTCGTCATCAACGACTGTCTCTACCTGCTCGTTCCATACCCCCACCCCGCAACGGACTCACATCTCTTTTCTCTTTACCTGATCCTCCCATTCATCGGCGTCTCTCTCGCTCTCTGGTGGCACAACTGGTACCCCGCCCGCGTCTTCGTCGGCGACACATACTGCTACTTCGCCGGGATGGTATTCGCCGTCGTCGGAATCCTAGGCCATTTCTCCAAGACCCTCCTACTGCTCTTCATCCCTCAGATCTTCAACTTTCTCTACTCGGCCCCGCAACTCTTCCGCCTTATCCCCTGCCCGCGCCACCGACTGCCGCGTTTCAACGCTAGGACGGGACTCCTGGAAGCCTCGGTGACCGAGTGGCAGCACCCTCCCAAGCCTATCATCAGCCTAGCGCTGAAAGTCCTGGATCGTTTGCATCTGATACGTCTGACCATGAATAAGGAGGGCCAGGTCATCGAGAGCTCAAACTTGACCATTTTAAACCTGTGGTTGGTGTGGTTTGGGCCCAAGCGGGAAGACAGATTGGCTATGGAAATCATAGGCATGCAGGTAGTTTGTGGTCTTCTGGGACTCTTTGTGCGACATCGATTGGCGTTATGGATCTTCGACGCTGATAATTTGACGGTCTAGACTGGTGGGATTGATATATAGGATTGTAAAAGACTTGGGATGAACCACTTAGATAGTTCGAGATATTGAAAGGAGTATACCATAGAATATATGCGCCTTAGGTTGCATACCAACGAATTGAATGACCTGGATGCAATCGTGGAATTTAAGGCTATCAGGCCTACGACTGCACACTAACAGTTTATACGTCACAACAAGAGAGTATTTGAGAACTTTGAAATGCCGTTGAGGCTTCTTTTCATCAATGACTACTGGTACAACAGATATGACTGCCCTCACATTATAAGGCAATGTGTCCAGCAAAGATCAAACAAAATAGGCGGAACTAATTGTTGGTCTCCATTACGCCGTATCCCAACCCCCCTTTTGAACCCATGGTACCAAACCGGCCCGATCGCTCAAACATAGACGAGGTGAGCTCGCAAGCAGCAAAAACGCACGAAGCGAAATCTAGTATGTATGTTACAATGAACCATTCGGTTGTTCCGACGGTAAATTATTCTTGGATGGTGATCCTGAAGTAGGTCCAGGACCAGTCACCGACGTAACGGGATCCGTCGTTTTTTCAACCATTGGTGTATCGACGATCGCAGATCCTTCTAAAACTCCGGACACCTTAGCTTCTTCCACGCTAGATAATAAAGGTTTTAAGACAGCTGCTGCTGCTGTTGGGCTAGTGGCTGCGGACGACTTGTTCATATCAGACGTGTCCAGATTTTTCTTCCTGGCCCTATAGTCACTCAGGCTGAGCTTCTTGGTTGTCTTGATGGGGTTCGGATTCTGGCCTACACCATTGACAGCAGGTGCGGCCAAGGTAGTGGGAAAGTGTACGGTTCCAAAAGGAGACTGCGCAATCGATCCGGCGGCGGAAGAAGGGGTCGCTGAGCCCGAAACGGGCCCAGACAAATTCGGCGTGGAAAAAGAAGGAGTAGATGGAAGTTGAACCCGTAGACCTGGTGATGTTTGGCCAGATGCAGTATTTGATCCCGCGCCATTAGTGTTTGAGCTGTTGGGCCATGGCGGTGGCGGTGGAGGCTTTATAATTGCAGGAGCATCGACCATGTTAACATCGGCAGACGGGGCATCCACGGACTGAGTAGAGGATGCGATGCTTGCGTTGCGACCTCTGGCATCTGTAGGCGATTCCTGGTTGAGCCGCTCTTCATGACTAGGGGCATCTAGATCCATCGACGCATCTGGTGAGGCGCGCACACTCTGATCATCGACGCCGAGTCTTGGTTGTGATTCGCGTTCTTGTCGAATTTTATGTCTGTTCTTAAGAAGACGCTTCGACAAAGGCACAATGGTCCTTTTTGGAACCGGAGACTTGCAGGGCTTGCTGTACCACTCATTGTTGATAGTATCAGTCTGAGTGGAGGAGTCGGCATAAGACGTCTTTGGGGTTGGAGCCGTCCCCGTCGGGCGAGACCTATAGGGTATCGAATCCCGCCGTGAACTTGGGTTTTCCGGAGAAGCGATTGCAGCCGTTGGCGACACTCCACTAGAAGGTGATCCAGACTGCCGTCGTGATGTGCTTGCATCTACGTATTGCCGTCCTTTTAAGCCATTAGAATTGGACGCTGCTTGCGAGTTGGACGTTCGAGATGCGACAGATCTTTGCCTTGGTTTCGGTGCAGGCTGCGATGTCGCGGTGGCGCCGTCCGAAGCCCTCTTCTTTTTGCGCGGTGGCTGCCCTTGGTCCAATTTCCTAAATGAGTCTTCGACCATTGCTATCTTTCTCTTTTCACGATCCGTAAGCTCCAGCGGCATACCATTGGTTTCGGAAATGCTATGAAGAGGCGTCAAGTCGCGACTATGAGGCTTGCTTCGAACTGACCCAGATACCGATCGGCTGTCATCTTCATATTGCTCCTGCTGGCCTTCACTAGCAGCTCGACTGTTAGTGGCATGACTCGTACTTGTGGGTGAGACATGGTTTTGCTTAGGTTTGCGGCCCTTCTTCAACTTGGCTCCGTTCGTCTGAGCATGGGCCCTGCCGTAGTAGTTTCGATGGAATCGAGCAAACGCGCAGTCTGGACCGAGATCGCATGCACAGCCACCATGATCTGAAAGGACTTGGTAAATCATAGCGGTCAGGTGCTCGTATTCCTCATCCGTGATATCGGCCACATCAAGAGGCGCCCCATCGTCATCTCCTAGATTCAGCAGATGTAGGAACCGTGAGCGTGAATGAGATGGAAATCGGAAATCCCAAGGAATCGTAATCTGTTCGTTGGCTGAAAGTGGACGTTCGCTGATCAACCAGAAGTGGTATTCTGAACCACTGGCAATGAAGGTCTCCAAGACAGTGTTCGCGCGACAGCTTCGTCGTACGTAGCGGCATGTAGATCCTTCCTGACGAGTGTCGATGAATAGAGGCAGACGAGGGTGGAAGAAGACGAAGGGCCTTGGGTGAGCTGTTTCCTGCCACTTGTTCATATCATCATTGCAGTAGTCCTTCTGGAAACCAACGACGCCATTGAGCTCTCCAATCCGACCTGACTGACTGAGGTGCGTTGGGGTAATTAGGAAGCGCCAGTGGAGATTTTCATCATTGATTGTAACATCTTTTCGTTCGACTCGCAGTTCAGGCCACTTCAGCATATCGACGGGCACTACAAGATTCTGGAAGACATCTGCCTTGTCGTTGACACCGGCATCCTCGCGCAGCTTCTCTGGATCATGAAGCCATAGCGATAATGAATTTGTGACCGGTAGGCTCGCAAAAGAGTTGGTTTGCGATGTTTGGAAGGTTTCATCATCATCGTAAAGTGATCGAAAGTAATCCGAGTAGGAGTGGATCTGGACGTGAGGTGGCAAGTCTGGCGGGGTATTTGCCGGACTTGGCGGATGAGCGTTTGATGGAGGACGTGCATTAAGAGGGGGGCTGCGTTTGCTCTGTGAGCTGATGGATTGATTCGATCGGTGATGGCCTTTCGTTTTCTTTGAATGTGAATGGTGATCTTGAGGGCTCCCATTCTTGGGGTCATCGTGGTCGTGATAACCATTTAGTTGAAGGTCAGACGGCTTCGACTTCTTCTTGTGACTCTTCGATGGGGGTCGCTTGGTTTTCCTATCGCTGTCGTTGGCTGCTTTGTTCTGTCTTTGACTCCGTTGGCGTTCGGTCGCATGCCGTCTATCGAGCGGTCGCGGTTTGCAGTCGGCACAGGAGTGGTCGAATTCGGCTTTCGAGGCATCGGCAACTCGGCCAGGATAGAAGCACTCGATATGCTGCCATGTATCGCACGTCTCGCAGTAAATCGTGTTTCCATCGTCGTCATTGTAGTCACAAATACACTTGATCGTGTATGGCTCATCATCTACGAAGTCGGCAGCGTTCGGCGCATCGTTGGCAGAGATCGCAGAATTAGAATTCAGGGCGGTCTGAACCGGAGTCGCGATCTGCGTTGAGATTGAAAGGGGATTTTCTGTCATAATCTAGCAGGAGCCTCCGGGTGGCTGTTCGAGTGAGAGGGCAAAGGTGAGTTCACTGATTCCTAGACCTGAGTCGCATGACGAAGACGGTCGCGACTTGATCGAAAGGGGCGTCGCAGAGCGAGGAGAACGATGGGGTTCGATGCTGGCTGTCATCAGTTGGCGTGCACGACCGCAAGATCTTCTGTTCTTCGATCAGCGTCAACAAGGTGACTCGATGGACCGAAGAAGGTAGGAGAGGCCAGGTGGATCTTGGGCAGTGGGTGTCACGCTCAGAGATCGAATCGGGCTCCTTGATACCGTGTGAAGGTTCTGGATCGATGTGAACGACAGGCAGCGATCGCAAGGACGCGAATGAAGGCTTTTCAACCCAAGTGGAGGCGAAGGGTCGGCCTTGGAAGAGGTGGTCTCGACGGGACGAGGGCGTTCAACTCGGGTGGCGCTCTGCTGGCGACGCGTGTTGTAATTGTGACGGAGGACTCGAAGTGGTGATTAGGTTGAATTGGGGAGCGGCCTCAACTCTTTCGTCCTGTTCTTGAAGGGTGCGTGCATGAATGTGGTGTTGTAGAAGGGGATTCTGAGGGGGATGGGATGGAAAGGATGCTCTTAGCGTCGAAGGGCATGGCCGCTTTAGGATAGGCTACGGTGAGCGTTTCAACCGCGGAACTGCAGAAGCGACTTGGGACTGAGAATTCCCTACCTCCGGGAAGGCGGCAGCGAACACAACCCATCTGAGCAGAGAAGAAAAGGAGGAATCGTCGAGAGGACGAGAAGATGGAGGATTGCAGGAAGGCGTACCGGAGGCCTGGGCCAGCGCGGGGAGGGGGCGAGTGGTGGCAGCGATGGTGGTGGTGAGGGAATGAATGATGTGAGGGAGGAAGAGGGAGGGAGCGAGGGAGGGAGAGGAAAGGAGCGGGCGAGTGAGACAAAGGAGAGGACTCGTTACCTACTCTACTGTGTACTGCCCGCTGTAGAGCCCAGCTTTGCTTTCCTTACTGTCCTCGTCGAGTTGAAAGATCTTCTGGGGATGACGAAAGCCCGTAAAAGCTCGCCGTGAGGCCCCGAGTCCAGCGTCCAGCGTCCAGCGTCCAGCGATGCCGCCAGCCCAGTCTTGTCCCGTCTTGTGCAGGCGGCGCGCGGTGTGAGGCAGAGTCCAGAGTTCGAACATCGAGAGATTATTCGATTCGAGGCAGCGCGCGCCCTTAAACCGGCGAGGGAAGTTCATTGGTGGGCTCAGAACACTGAGGCAGCCTCCGGAGTAACTCTACCGCTTCAGGTCAGCAAATGGGCAAGGGCACGCCTGCAGGCCGTCAGTAGCGCAACAACACTGGCTGGCCTTAGCTGTAACCAGAATATGCCCGGCAAATCGCGCGTCCAGGGCTCTGATAACGTCGTGGGCCTTGGTTGTTCTCCCCAAACATCAGACAGATCCCAGATTCCAGCCAGGCCGTCAAAAGCCTCAGCGCCCACCCGGAGCGTCGAGAAATGCCGGGTCACGTGACCAGATGCATATATATACCTTAGCTACAGAGTACGGAGTAAGCCAAGGTAAGCTGAACCTAGGCAGGCAGGGAACATGGACCTTGGGTGGGGCCCACAGCTGCGTGTGCTTTCTTTTCCCTGAGACAGCTCGATCGAGGATCACCGGGGATCAGATCTTTGTTCTCTGAGGTGTTCTCTTGCCCTCCCATAGGTAGGCATGGCAACCGACTGAGCATTGTGCTTTGCGGAGAACCTGGCTAGAACTGTTGAACAACACTTCACTACGAGCCTGCGCGCATCATGTCCAGCATCACTGCAGCTGACACCACGGCCCCTCTTCACCCCTACTACCCTATCGGCATTGCTCTCTCTGGGGATGTCTTCGTCGCCAATGATTGGAGCGCGTCGTCGCTCGTTCTAGGCTTTGCTGCCGGGCTGGCCTCAATTCTAGGCGTGGCTTGGTTGGTGATGATGAAGATAAACCCGCGCCTGAAGGCTTCAGATCGGGCATTAGTGCTATGGTTCGTCTCAAGTAAGTGCTTTCAATATCAAGTATTCACCGCAAGGACTGCCCGTATTTGAGCGTCAGATTGATCAGGTATCAATCCCTTAACGGAACAATAAAACTCCAAGCACTTTGATACTGCGTCTTTTCCCTCACCAATTACCAGGATGAAGCCAGTAGTAATGTGAGCTGGGCTTGTACCAGGACGGTCCTCCAAGTATCCAGAAGTACTGAAAACGGTCTATCCATGATTCGATATCTTGCATTCCAATTTTTATGGTGATCAATTTCGAGTTCTGACCTCTTCACAGCGGGGTCCATCCACGTCTTCTTCGAAGGCTATTTCGTTCTCAATCATCACCGAATGGGAGGCATGCAGGATTTCTTCGGTCAGCTATGGAAGGAGTATGCATTGTCTGACTCGAGATACATGCTCTCGGATCCGTTCCTCCTCTGCATTGAGACTTCCACAGTGGTACAATATCAAACCCTCTCCGGGCCCCTTTTTCTCGCTGACACCGGATAGATCACGTGGGGCCCCCTTTCTTTCCTGACAGCGCTTCTCATCATCAGAGAGTCGCCATACCGTCATTCTATTCAGGCCCTGGTATCAACTGGCCATATCTACGGAGATGGCTTGTACTTTGCCACCAGTCTACTCGACGAGTTCTACTCTGGGAAGATATATTATCGTCCAGAGCCGTTCTACTTTTGGGTTTACTTTGTATTCATGAACATCTTATGGCTCATTATTCCTGGGTGTCAGTTACCTTTCTTTCTGTGTTAGGACATGCATTGCTGACTGGCGGTAGTTTGTTTATATGGAAGTATCAAGGCCTCGGCGGAGGCTTTTGCGATATCCAGCAAGGTGAGTGCTAGTAAAACCGCGAAGAAGAGGTCGTAGGTTATGGCGAAAGTCGTGGAGGCATATAGAAAGGCCAGAGACTTGGAGGGATGGCATTAGATTCTATCGGTTCCCCTAGAACTGATGCCTTCGAGACTCGATGCGAAGGGCTAGTTGAAGGGGCACAACATACTATCAAAAGCGTTCAGTGTATTCATAACCCAGCCACGGATTGTGAAGGACGAGCAGTGGATTCGCCAATATCGATTGATCCCTTTCAAGTTCAGATCAAGGAGCTCTCACTTCTCCAACTACTATTTAGTCATAGCACTACTTGTACACCCCTCACTGAGTAGACTGTCAACCTCAGTGTATTGTCATATAGCCTGAGCTCCGAGCAGCAGGGTCAGGCTACTGCAACTCCCTATCTTCACACATGTAATTCATCACCTGTTCAAGCTAGAATATTGAAGACAGCGATCGCCCTACCGATTCTAAAGTTCGAGAAGCGACATGGACAGGCACGCAAAATATGATTCAAGGATCTGAAAATAGAGTAAACGCTTCCATGCTATAGGCTTTCAAATAGTTGCTTCTGTCAAACTTCGCGTGGTATGGTATGATAAGACCCTTCGTAGGCACAATGCGCTTCCATATGAAAGAACTCCAGTAATCAAGGTATCTGCTCCGCAGCCAGCCATGCATCGAAAAAGAAGAAACCCCCGTTCATCAGATTAAGACCTCAGATAGGCCGTGTCCGCTCCTCCATCGCTCTGATAGACAACTCTCTCTCCCAGCACAATCTACCACCTGCACTATCTGGTCTGTGGGAAAGTAACAGTTGCTTCCAAGCAGATGATCTTCTTGCTCTCAGGGCGGGCGGTGTATGCATCAGCGAATACAGTGTAGGTTCCCTGTTGTCGTATTAGCACCAGCCAACAAGACTTGAAGTGTACTACTCACGGGAGGGATCTCGGCTGGCAGCTCGACATCCTTTATGATCTTGGTCTTCCCCTTCTTGATCGGGCAGCTCATATCCACATTTTCGACTTGCTCGCAGAGATCGGCCTCCGTGTTGACAAGTCTTATCAGCCCGTACTTGACCTGCAAGACAACATACGCGCCCTCCCCGATATCTTCAAGCACGGACCCGACCGCTTCGATGGTGAGCGTGCTGCCCCTGTGGGAAAGTCAGCCAATGTGTAAAACCTCAAGAAGCGGCCGCGCGCTGGACTTACTTCAGTGGAGGGTTCGGTGACAGGTTGACATGATCGAGGACGAGGAGATCATCGCCATGCGACGCTTTGCAATACGTGAGGGGGTTGTCGCCAGGTACGGATTCACCGTCGCCCAGGCGCTTCTGACCGCTCAGTGAGAAGCCAAAGCCGCCCACTGATAAGCCTTCGGAGGCAACGAGCGTGCTGAGAAGCAAAGTTATGAGGCTTATGGAGAACTTCATGATGATTATCGGAGGGTCGTATAGAGCGTGAAAACAGTCTTGTACTGGGCACTGAGGTCCTGTTGATTGGAGGTTGCAGTATCGCTTGGTTCATGGGGGAGAGCGGAGAGTGCCAGCCACCTAAGGTATCCAGTGCACGGTGCACCACGACAATGACGTTTCTGGGTCATAAGGTACCTAAGATATGTTTGGACCTTGATCTAGCTAAGCGCTATAAATCTACTTCAAGAGGTATCCTGAATACTGTACCTACAGCACAGTACGGTGCTGTAAGTGCTGAATCTTTCAGAAAGTGCACCGCAGGTTACTCGATCCTCATCGCACGAAGCTGCTGTTGCTACAGGCTACTTTATCTCCCCGCCATCTCCATCAACCCCACCCAAAATAGCCTAATTTTCGAAGCTCTCTACAAGCCTTTAAGCTTTGTGTAAATGCGAAGCAACTGTTGTTGGCTTGTGATCTCTTCCGATTTCTTTCAAAAGGGGCATGATACAGATTGTTCAATTTCCTCCCTCGTGAGTACCGCAGTGGAGCATCATCTAGGAGCTGTACTCCATAAGGTAGGTAGTTCTTGGCGTCCATGCCCGCTTGTAAAGCACATAGAAACACCAGACCAACAACTCCTACTTTACCAATCCATCTACCCAAGGCAGAGGTAGGAGAGGTAGGTATATATGACCGTGAAAAGTCTGCTAAGCCAGTATGTTCTGCCTAAAGTGACGTTGGACGTTAGAAGCAGCCGGTGTTGTATTTCCCTGGCAGAGAGCCACTGGCCTCGAGCAACTTCTGGAATTATAGCATAATCCGGGTTTGTAATTCGTTAATACAACTGCTCGTAATGAGTGCGCTGCCTTATTCAAATGCTTGGGAAGTGTTGGTGGCGATAGCGATTTTTTCTCTCTAGTCCTTACTCTGTACTTGATGTCACAGTCGCGGCCCTCGACCAACATTACTCGCTGGCGGGAACGCTTCGCCACATGCCCGCTGCACCTGAAGCCTGAAGGGCACTTAGGTAAGCAGTAGGAGCATGTGATCTCTGCAAACACTGCAAATTATTTTAGTCAGATCCTCGCTTACTAGCGCCTTCTGAGGACCTCTCTCAAGTATAAATTCCTCGCCTTCCCACACCCTCCTTTCAAAATCATACTTACCTTCTTGGCAGCGCCCTAGCTCAAGAATTAGGGGCTGGCGGTACGAGTCCTCCATTGCACATCGGGGCGACGAGAACCGTTTACTTCCCTTCGGGGACGTAACTGGGGGAATTTTTGATTGCACTCGTGGCTTGCCACACCCTCTTTCATTGTGCTCATCGCCTTGTGCGGTGACATGAAGAAGGATCTCTTTAGCTTTCGTATCTTGATGTTGCCCCTGTATCGCTGTTGGCCGCAGGTATAGAGTGTTGTTATATCGTGATTCCCAATATGTCTCCATGATCTGCTTCCCAAATTCGTGAGCGTGTCGTGCTTTACCTCCTATCCAATGATGCATCTGCCTGCCAAAGATAAGCAAGAAGTAACATTTATCTACACCTACCTACCTAGGTACCTACGTAGAAGTTCCTAGTTCATATAACTGCTTTTTATTGCGTTGAATCCAAGAACTACATGAGTAGGATTTTAACGTTGCCTCATCCCCGTCCTCTAGCCAAGCAAGCAAACGCCGGCCGTGCTGTTCGTTCTCGAGTTCATAGCGAACAATCTAGAACCAGATTGCTCTTTCAAAGGCGGATTGCCACTATCGGAGACTTACATCGAGGCTTCTATATCGAGGTATGTCAGAAGCACATATTGATGAAGGAACATGATATCTAGGTACTTTCAGTGTCAACACAGCTACATGCCAGAACAACAGCTGCTGGGATAGAGGATTGGACGTCCTTATTTCCCTTGGCTAAATAAAGGCTCTTGACTCTTATCTCATCTTTAATCTTTGCGGGTCACTGTCAGGGCGAGTACGTGCAGGTCAGGTTTAAGATGCCTTCCTCCCAGCTTTAGCCGCACAGGATTTACAACCTCACGGTGTGAATGCCTTTCTGGAAAATGCTGAGCTACTCAAGGTACCCTGATAATTCCAATTATTTCATTTATAGCCGGTCCATGCAGAAGTAACCCCACAAGCCACTCTGCATAGTAGATGCCCATACAGCGACCAGTTCATAACTCCGTGGTGATCGATCACCTGAATACACCCAGGGCTCATAGCATAGCCCAGCCAAACATGCAGACACTTCTCTCTATACCTATTCGCCAAAAAGCCTTCGCACTCTTCTCAGAACACTATCCTTCTCAGGATCGTATGGGTGGTCCTTGCTGGGGATCTCCAGCAACGCAGGGAAGGCTGCAGTGTATGAATCGACTCGATGGCGTATTCGCTCAGCAATCTGAAGATTAGATTGATTAGCCACTGTATTCAGTATATTGGAGGCAATATTCACATGTTGATTGATCAAGAGAATCCCAATATCCTTTCTCTCCGTAGTGAACCTGTCGAAAGCTTCTTCGATAGCTGCATTGTCCGTCTTGCTGTCGACAACGAGGAAGTTCTTCTGCGCGTCCGGCGGAGCAGTAACATGCTGTCCCAACGTCAGCATCAATGCCACCATGATCTGACCATTGATGAGTGAATCCATACACCAATACCTGCTAACAGCAATCCCGTAACGGAGTCCTGCGCGATCGATTAACAAGAAGCTCGGCGGAGCGGAACAGAACAGACTTACCTCGTCTCCGATCACCGCCAGGAATTGCCTATCCTTGTAGGCAGAGGCTGGAGCTGCCATCTTGTTCGTATCTTGCTGCGGTCGTGGCCGGCTGTCGCAGTCAAAGCAACATCAGCTACGAGGCGGGAGCTTCCAGGCGGCACCCCGCTAGCGAGAAGCACCTTGCGACAGCTTCGCCAAATCAGAATCCGAGGTTCTGCGGCCCTGTAAACAACGAACAACGACGTCGTGCACATTTTGTATCCAGCGACTAAAGGATGTGAGGAGGAACCTTCATACCGCGCCCACCATGCCGAGACTTGTGCGCCGAAAACCACTCTTGGAGCGGATAAAGGACTACTTAAATCCTGGCGATTTTCTATTATGGCTCTCCGAAGAATTCGAGACGAGAGACTGGGATGCAAAACAGCTTGGAGCTCCTGTCGCATTGGGTTTACATGTTGTGCTTCTGGTTGCAAGGGCAAACAGTGGAAGCTCTGGGAGCAGCGGAGCTGATGATGTGTTTGGAGACGTGAGCTCGGGATCTGGCTGGTTAAGCTACATAGTAAAACCCCTTCCTTGCGCCTGAGTAGCATTATACTGACATGTGTAGGCTACCTTCATTGTGTACTTGCTGGGCTGCTTTTCTATTGCCAACGCAATATATACATTTTTCCGAACCCGGCATTATCGTTTGTTCGAGACACCGATTGATACTCCTCAGAATACGCCCTCTGCACATCGAGTGCGCGTTGATTCTTCTCCGGCCTCTTCATCACCACTTCGGCTCCTTACGAGCATACTTGGGGACACTAGTGCCGAATCCAGAGCTCACCCAGATCCTACACGCGATGTTTGGGAGCTTGCAGTTTGGGATCCAGTGCCCATATGCCTTCGACTATTTTGCTTTTTCAGCCCCGGCCATGTGCTGGTATATTTGCTGTTCCTCCCTACCACATCGTTAGATCCTCGACCAAGTATGACTGTGTTCACAACAATAATTCTCGAGATACTGATATCTTCACAATTATTGCTCCTCCAGTCAAGCTTCTCCCAGCAGGAGAAAGATTCGGCCATAATTCATAAGGAGGTTATGAGCGAATACGATATCAAATACGTCCATCCCAGAATGAATCCTCTTGTCCGTGATGTTGGCACGCAAATTTCAGCTCCCATCTCTGAAGATAAGAACGGGGAAGGAGGCGTTGACACCTATACACCAACGGTTATACTCAAACGAGAGTTTCGTACCCATCCGAACCCCAATTATGCCAAACATATCGATCCTGACAACGCTCCTGGAGCCTCTCAAAGATTGTTCTCTCCGGCTCCGTCATATACACCTTCCGCGTACAACTCTCGAGATCCTACGCCACTCACAGGCTTGACACCACGTCCTGCTATTCGTCAGCCCCAGTTCCGACAAACCTCATCTGTAGCTGTTTCTACAGGCACAAGTACCGGTGATGGTGGCAGCTTGGGCATATATAGTCACGCCAACTCCCCTCTTAAGAAAGCAACGAGCATGTTCGATGTGCAAGGGAGAGGGCGTCGTGACGCACCGAGGAACTCCTTTGATATGGCAGGAAGAGAAATCCAAGAGCAAAGGGAAAGGAGTAGAAGCCCGACCAAAAGACTAAGTGAGATAACCGCTCCAAACTTTCCAAAAGGTAGATCACTATTTTCAGAAATCGGTGAAGGGAGACGAACGAGTGCTCCTATTGATTTTGGAGCGAGATCGAGGCCTGGGACCCATGACAGGTCTCACTCAAGGGGACCATCGAGATGGTGATATATGGATTTGTGTGGGGGGGGGGCATTGGCAGGCGTTCTTTTTTGTCATAGGATGTGACCTTTGATTCCCTCGGATGCATACGTCGTAGTACTTAATTCGAAGCATTTTCCGAGATCTTCACTTGGGTCTCTCGTCTGTGAGTTATTTTAGGTTTCTTCAACGTACCTTGCTATCCCGGCTCGCTCCTTCCTCCAAGACTCTTATCGGGAAGCAGCCATATGTCTTTTCATTCCTACTCAGCCAACCCTCTCCCATCTATCTCAATCTTCCGTTCACATCCAGACTTCATCGGTCAGCATCCTCAGTCACGTTCACAGAAGCACAACCATCATCTCACTCACAACCCCGGACTACTTCGAGTCGCTCACCAACAATGGAAGGCAAGAAGAAGAAGAAGGAAACGCTACCGCCCGCGGCAGCACTCGAGACTAGACCATCGCGCAGTAAACGTTCACGCCCGGCTTCATTCGAGAAGCTGGTTTCCCGCGTATTCCCTTCTAGACGCGCCGAGAGAGGCTACACTCTACGCAAGGAATACAGAGAGGACGGACCGGAAACTGCTACTGATCTTGTTTTCGGCATGGTTGACTCCCAAAAGTTGCACAACGGTGAAGATGTTAAGGATGACCAGAGCAGACTGGTAGAGAAGATAGCTGGGAACGCTTCCCATCAGGTTGTAGGAGATAAGGGTAGTGGACCCAATTCTCATCGTAGTGGGGCCAAAGACGCGACAAAGGAAGACGTTCATAGACTCGCGGAGAGTGGAACTATTCATCGACGAATAAGTGAAGGTGGTAGAGTTAAGGAGAAGAGACATGGGAGCCTGAGGAGATTCTTCAGCTTAAGGAAAGACAGCAAGAGCAGTGATCGCAAAGATCTGCGTAACGATGCGAGGTCCCAGCAGGAGAAGCCAGTGCCTCTTTTGCACATGCCCAATCTCGAGAAGGAACCTCGCAGGTTGAGCTTAAAGGAGGAGACAGTCGAGAAAAAAGAGGAGAGTGAAACCCAGAAAGCACAACGAATGCTTGAAGAGAAGAAGGCTCAGAGAGAGCAAAGACGTAGACTACAGGAGAGTGGAGATTTCCTTGGAGTCCAGGGGGCAAATCCACGGACAGGATATTGGGATATCAGCACTGCTACAAGTAGCAGCCAGCCAAGTCAGCTGAGCGATGATACAAAAAGGAAACTTGTGCAACAGGAAAAGCATGCTGAAGAGCAGAGAATAAAGTTCGAAGAGCAAAAATCGAAGTACGAGAAGGCCCGAGCGATGTATCGAGCTGAACTGGCGAGGGTACATAAATCAAACGATAACAGAGCAAGAGAAAAAGCTGAGCAGAAAAAAAGGGAGATGAGACTGAGGCAAAGGCGATACGGGAGGTGGAAGTCGGGTGAGAATGGATGGAGCAGCGTTGCTGAGCCAGCTTTGAGCCCAATTCAACAGTCGTTAGCTGGAAGTCCCAGAGGTCAGTGGAACACTTACGCACAACCCGCAAACACCAGAAATGTCAAGTTCTGGGTTATTATTCATCTTATCACTAATTCTTGAAATATAGGCACTGCTCCTGGGGATCGTCTTTTCCCGATGCCGTCTGCGGACAACCCAACTCCCTATATTAACCCAAATCATATCGGACAGCAGGATTACTTTGGTCATCGAAGCGTATCTTCTCCACTGGCACGCGATCGCTACAATGCTCTTGTCGAATCGGCTTCTACTACTTCCGGTCGAAGAATTGTTGAAATGCCGCGTAGGCAACGTAGGAAACGTAACTATTCGTCTGGCACCGTGCTGCACAAAGACAGCAGTTATGACTCGATCGATGAAATACTAAGCAACAATCCTCCTTTCCCCCCTTCGCGACGTCCCTCAGACGTTTTAGACGCCCCGGCAACGGAACGTAGCTCTCCAAAGGAACAGAGCCGTCCAACGGAGCAGAGCTCGGCAGCTTTGCCAGTATCTCTTCGCGCATCTCAATCAGACAATTTTTTAGAAGAAGCATTGTTTCTACCCCAGCTATACTGCCAATACGCAGGCGAAGCTACAGCGACCTTATCCCCATTAGTGTTGACGAGTCAAGTCCTGACCTTCCAACTGTACTCCCGAAGCCCAGAGGAACTCAACCCCCGAAGGGGAATCACAGCCTTGAACAAGCTCGCCCCAGTGTCTCCCAAAGACCTCGTAGCGATGCAGATCCCATCGAGCTCCCAGGTACAGAAAGATCTCACAGTCATGGAACCGCTAGCAACATCAAGAATCTGGCCGGGAAGCCGGGGGTCATCAACCACCATCATACCCACCATCATCATTACTGGATACGGTCCAGTGCAGCGCCTCTTTACCGGGTTCAGACTGATCGCCAAGATGGAGGTCACTCAGAGGCACCAATTCTTGGAGGGGAAGTCAAATCGGATTTCTCTGCAAACAAACTCCCACCAGAACGGCACGTCGAAAGTCGGGCAGAGCACCGCGTGCCAAACTCACCAAGTCGACATCGCTACATCTTCGTACCAGATGATGGTGCGAATATCAAGATTCTGTCGGAAACTTATACCAAACGGAGAGAAAGTCAGAATGACGAGCACACCCACATCCATATCTATGTCCCGTCAAAACTCAGAGAAACCGGAAGGGGTAGAGCACAAGCCAAATCTACTGCAACACCGCTCTTCGGGGAATCTGGAGATCAAGGGCGCAACAGAAGCTCGGAACAGGAGATCACAAACACACCGAAACCTGTTTCGACGGACTACCGGCCGAGTGACACACATCATTCGGGCATTCAAGTTACTCCCACGAGGACTAGGAGACATAGGAGGTCCTTTCAAAACTAGGAACAAGGCTTGGCATAATGTGGAGAACGAGGGGAAGGAACTTAGTAAGGAGCTGCCTCGAGGTAGACATACGGCAAGACTGGGACCGGGACGGGTTGGTCTCAACTCCAACGGCATTTTTCAAACGCAATGGTTGCTGCCAATATTTAGCCCACATTCGGACATTAGGAGACAGGCCGAACAGCGTCTTAACTGGCAGGACGTTGGTCTGTTTCTCGCCGCGACCGTCTTTCGCGGGCAGTAATGCGTAATGGAATGCAGTAGCCATATTATTGTGGGGATGGGTTGGAATTTGACGGCTGCTTGGAGAGACCGATGGGATTCAGTATTTCTTATTACTGTGAGTGTGAGCTTGGTTCTTGACTTTGGGACCAGCTAGCTGATGGACGGCGTTGATGATGGTTATTGAACCCAGCATTGTTATCATTCAGGTACCGTTCCATTGTTATCATCGAGGTACCGTATTTTGTAAAGTACCTACCTACCTAAGTAGGTATAAGCCCATAAGGCGCATCGGTACGTAAAAGCCGTAAAATCCATCAAAAGCAAAGAAAACGAACGATAGTCCCAACCGTGCACTGTGACCAATCGCGAAGGTTGGATTTCTGTTCGCCTGCCCGATGTCGGCTCAGCACAGTTACTTGGGCATCATCGAAAGTCCTCCCCGCACTAATACATATCTACATCCCTCTTCTCTCAACTCCCTCTTGTCAAAATAAAATCACTTCTAACCCTCCTCAATTGCTGGGCCTCAACTTTAACATCCTTACTTTCGTGAATCTTTCATTATGCCTACTGCTGAAAACAAACCACAGACCCTCTACGATAAGGTCTTCCAGGACCACATCGTTGATGAGAGGCTTGACGGCACAATTCTTCTTTACATTGGTAAGTTCGAGCAAATATTCAGCGCCGTAGAAAATGCTAACATATTTTCAGACAGACACTTGGTTCACGAGGTCACATCACCTGTAAGTAGCCCCCCACTTCCCTGTCTGCCGCCACATGCTGACTGAGACAACCAGCAAGCCTTTGAAGGTCTGAAGAATGCGGGACGAAAAGTGAGAAGACCAGATTGCACACTTGCAACCACCGACCATGTAAGTTTAGAAAGCCGAAGCTACTATCGCAAATGCTGACGGTGATAACAAGAACGTCCCTACCACTTCTCGAAAAACCCTCAAGAACATCGAGACGTTCGTCGAGGAGGAGGACTCTAGACTCCAATGCATGACTCTTGAGGAGAATGTCAAGGATTTCGGCATCACATATTTTGGTCTTGGCGACAAGCGTCAAGGCATTGTTCACATCATTGGCCCTGAGCAAGGGTTCACCCTCCCTGGAACAACAGTTGTGTGTGGCGATAGTCACACTTCAACACATGGAGCTTTTGGAGCCTTGGCTTTCGGAATCGGCACAAGTGAAGTCGAACACGTTCTTGCCACCCAGACTTTGATCACAAAGCGAAGCAAGAATATGCGAATTAAGGTTGATGGCAACCTCTCGCCTGGGGTTAGCTCGAAAGACATTATTCTTCATGCGATTGGAAAAATTGGCACTGCTGGTGGTACGGGTGCTGTCATCGAATTCTGCGGTTCTGCCATTGAATCTTTGAGTATGGAGGCTAGGATGTCGATTTGTAACATGTCAATCGAGGGAGGTGCCAGAGCCGGTATGGTAGCTCCAGATGAGGTCACATTTGAGTATCTCAAGGGTCGGCCGCTTGCACCCAAATACGGCTCAGAGGAGTGGAACAGGGCAGTCAAGTACTGGAAGAGCCTCAAATCCGACCCGGGTGCAAAATATGACATCGACGTTTTCATAGACGCCGCGGACATCACACCTACGGTTACTTGGGGAACCAGTCCTGAGGATGTTGTGCCAATTACTGGCAAGGTTCCTGACCCAGAGACCTTCTCGACTCCGGAGAAGAGGGCAGCAGGCCGAAGAAAGCTCGAATACATGGGTCTTGCGGCCAACACCCCAATGGAAGAAGTTGTTTTGGACAAAGTTTTCATTGGATCTTGCACGAACGCTCGTATTGAGGATCTTCGTGCTGCAGCGCAGGTCGTCAAAGGCAAGAAAGTTGCGTCCAACATCAAGCGGGCAATGATCGTTCCTGGGTCCGGTCTCGTCAAGACCCAAGCAGAGGCAGAGGGGCTTGACAAGATCTTCCTCGATGCTGGCTTTGAATGGCGAGAGGCAGGATGCAGTATGTGCCTTGGCATGAACCCTGATATCCTATCGCCACAAGAGCGCTGCGCAAGCACCAGCAACCGAAACTTCGAAGGTCGACAAGGAGCTGGTGGTCGCACGCATTTGATGTCGCCAGTTATGGCCGCAGCTTGTGCCATCGTTGGTAAGCTTACTGATGTACGCAAGCTTTCCGACCAGAATGTCACGCCTCGGAAGGCATCACCGACACCCATGGAGATCAAGCCTCATGTTGACGAACGGGTTGAGACTGATGATGATGAGCGTGAAATGATCGCTGATCAGCCAGAGGATAATGCTCCACACACAAACACTATCGCCGCTCACAGCTCGGCTGGTCTCCCCAAATTCGAGGTCTACAAAGGTCTCGCTGCACCCCTTGACCGATCAAACGTCGACACCGACGCCATCATCCCGAAACAATTCTTGAAGACGATTAAGCGAACTGGCCTCTGCTCAGCTCTCTTCTATGAGCTCCGATTCAACCTAGATGGTACTGAAAAGCCCGACTTCATCCTCAACCAAGAACCTTACCGAAAAGCCAAGATCCTCGTTGTCACTGGACCCAACTTTGGTTGTGGTAGCTCCCGAGAACACGCTCCTTGGGCTCTCCTAGACTTCGGCATTAAGTGTGTGATTGCACCATCTTATGCCGATATTTTCTTTAACAACACATTCAAGAATGGCATGCTCCCCATTGCCATCACCAACAAAGATGACCTTGACAAGATCGCGGCGGAAGCTCGGGCTGGAAAGGAGATTGAGGTCGACCTTCCAAACCAAACCATCAATGACGCATCCGGCAAGAAGATCTGCAGCTTCGATGTGGACGAATTCCGGAAACACTGCTTAATCAACGGGCTCGACGATATTGGATTGACCATGCAGATGGAGGACAAGATCAAGGCGTTTGAGAAGAAGATGACACAGCAGACGCCGTGGTTAGATGGTTCAGGATACTTGAAGAGAGACAAGTCAGGCAGACTTGCCGCTAAGGCAGTGCCAGTCCCGAAGACAAATAGGGGTGAGGAGGTCAAGGAGCCGCTTGAGTGGTAGAGGAGTCTAGTTTTCATATACAATATGGGTATTTGATGGTATGGAGCTGCCTGCGGTCTGGCAATTTGATGGTGGCGGACGGTTCTATGGCTATACTTCCTTGCTTGCCTCTGGCTGTTCAGCATGTTTAATGAATGAAATGCCCTTTTAGTTCTCCGTTCCAATACTTGCCTACTATGTCTAATTCTCTCTCTTGAATGAAATCAACTTGTAGCGATGCCTTCTCATTTTCTGCTTATAGTTTCCGGGCTCATCATAGCTTTCGGCGGAGGCTATGATACTATAATACGTTTCAGAAAGGCATATATCTTGTTCCATTATCTACTACTCGGTCAGGTCATTCATATCTTGGGACATCGAGCCCATTGCGTCCTAGAAATCCCCAAACGACAGCACCCCTTTACTACCCCGCGGATAAGCGTACCCCGCCCCCGCAGATGCATAAACCATGCCGTCCTTGGCACAAAAGCGATACTACGTACCTCCCTAGACGACTAGGGAGTACTTGGCATAATTAGTACAGTAGTCCCTGAAAAACGTATTTCTTGCATTTCTGTTCATTGGAAATCCACATCACCTTCATCTTTTGATTGCATCAATTATTCAAAGCCGGCCGACATGGTCCGGATGAGGAAAAGTTGCTGTATGGGTACAGATGGGCTGTGAATGCCCAGCGGCACCGTTTCATGCTTTGCACGTTTCAAACCTCCATATCTTTCAGCGGCGTTGCTACAGTAGTAGATATGAAAGCTATCTTTGACTCCCTCGCCGGACTTGGGCTTCGCGCTGGGAGCGGAAGTCCGCTCCATTCCTATGCATTCCTAGCCGTCTTTAAAATGCTAGGGTGTCGTTCCTGGCAAGTTTTTCATTCCAAGGCTTTGTTGAAATTGAGACTGGGCTTCGGAATGTTAGTAACAATGACCTCTCCTTATAAATATCTTCGCGGCTGTTGCATTTCTCCCATGAAGATCCTTAAACTACTCCTTAATATTTACAGTTGCGAATCTTTGGGCAAAAACATCTTCCAAGCCCCTGTTCTTCAAGATGCCGCGAAAAGAATTTGATACGTATGAACTTCAATTGGCCGATGCAATAGGTACGTGATGAGGAACTACCAGCAGAGATTGGCTCGTATATATGTTCAGACCTGATTAAAAATAGACGTTGAAAGGCCAATTAAGGCCTCGGATCTCACTGGAGATATCCATGATATCTTCAAAACATGGGATCAGGCTGACGATGAAACATACGAGTTACTTGTTCCAAGTCTGCTACTTGCCTCGAGACTCATTGACGTCGGGATGCCATATATTTCATCTTTCCTTCCATCCAAGAACAAAGGGTTCTGGGTCAACGAGGACGGCAAAGAAGAATTGCCGAACGAGATTCCTCTCAACCCAGATCCCTCCCTGAGTGACATTCGTGAGGCGGAGGAAGACCTCAGGGAACTAGCGAAGGATTTGAAATGGCGTGTGAATAACACAATGCATACTAAAATGAAGTGGATGGGTGTTACAAGACTTGCAGACACTGGTGACGAACCCTGGCGGCCCTTGAATTACGATACTGTCAAGGCTTGGGACCAACAGGCACGGGCGCGGGGCAAGACACGTCGACCTCTGATTATTGGAATCATGGGAGAATACGTGAAGGCTCTCAAAGAATCCGATCCCAGAAGCGAAGAACATTTGCGAGCGATTTTCATGGCCGGCATCACAATAGCTCACGAAATCGGTCATGCGATCTTCCACAATGATTTTCGATCGTTCAACCCGATGGGGGAGCCATATGTTGGGGATGATTGTGAAGCGGAAATGGGGTTTTCCTTCATTTCCTGGATTTTCAGCGGCTTCCACCCTCAGATGTCACCCAACAAAGTGGACTTCAAAAGAACCCTGTTTTGGGAACCGCAATATACCTTGTCGATGGGCAAAAGGCCATTTGATAAGACGTGCTATGCAATACCAATCTATTACCTCGAGGAGAAACTTTCACAGAAATTCTGGGATGATCTTGGTCCGCCACATCAGGCCAATTTCTCGGCGAGGGCAAGGAAGGCATTAAGACCAGACACTGACGGGAAGACGAGACGAATAGCAATTGGCAAGGAGCCAAATTGGTCGTACTCGTACCTTCGACTAAGGCCACAGTGGAACAGATCCAACGGTTTCAGAATGCCTGGGTATAACGAAAGGGACAAGATTGTAGGACTATCCAGCGAAGAGATTGAGTACGAGAAGGAGCGAGTCAAAGACACCCCAACTAATCGCCGTTATGCAGCCATGTCTAGGAAGGAGAGGGAAACCCGTGTTGGCCTGATCAACACCATGATAGGTGGTGACTATTATGATTCTGAACCTGAACTTGAAGAAGCTTTTAATCGAAAACGCGTCAAGATTAAGATTGAGGATGAGGATGAGGATTCTCAGTCCCAGGACCCTTGGCCTGGAGCTTGGGAATCACCTGCTAGAGAGTCCAGACACCCACCCGGGAATCAGAGAGAAGAAACAGCACCCATGCTTCCCGAGAATCCTGGATTAGAAGGTTCGGGGGAGACAGTCACAGAAATGGTCCAAGACATAGCAGCTCGTGGCGCGGCTCTGCATGGCTTCGTCCGTAGGAGAGACGAATCGGGCTCTGGTCTTCCGGAACGACTTAATTCCGGGCTCTCTATATTGGAAGAAGTAGAGGACTATGAGGAAGAGGTGGAGAGAGAAGAAGCCGCAGAAGATGAAGCCGCACGACGGCTTGCTTCCGAATCCTATATGCTGGGGGATCCAGAGGATACTGATGATGATGATGATGAGCCGTCAGTCGACCCTGAAACCGCACTACGATTTGCTCCCGAGCTCTGGATAGCGGAGAACCCAGAGGATTACGAGGAAGAGATGGAAAGAGAGTATGAAGCTGCAGAGAGAGCACGCGGCTCCCGTTCCCATATGGCTGATATATACGATCGGGTCAGAGGAGATGATGATTTTGATGACGAGGATTTTAATTGGGGAGACTAGTAAGGCAACGAAAGAGTGACTCGAGATGAATGTGCATTTGATCTTGAAAGTATTGGTGATATCTGTAACTTGCGGTGCTTTCTATGGTAGCATTCTTTTGACCGCCGCCTTGAACAATATTTTACACTGCTCTTGTATGGATATGGCTGCGTAGGTAAGGTAGGTAGGTGCAACATGATCAACTTCTACTTGCCTAGCAAGCCCAGCCAAAGTGAAGTAAGGTAGTGAAAGGTCAACTCGACAGACATATCACATGAGTTAATATTTGAATGGATATAGCTCACCCTACTCTATTCCCTTATCGCATGTTAAGATCTAAAGCCAATCATATAAATAGCTCGCGTCATATCGTGGCACTTGCCCCTCGACGACGACGACTACTCGCCACACGAAGGAAACCGATAACGGTCCCATACATTCGATGCCCGCACCAGAAGGATCGACGGTGTCGACGCCGCTCTTAGGTCCCGTCGTCGTGGCGTTGGTATGTTCCCGGATGCAGAGGTGTGAGGGTCTGGATGGCGGGGGTGGCAATAAAGATCGCCATAGTCGTCCTTCAGGGAAGGTCTTCCGATCAAGGGCTTTCCCCGCCGTGCAGGCTGCCGATTCGTGCCCGGACCTGGAAGAGATCCGTGCATTTTCGGCTGCGGGCCCAAATTCCCCCGGTACTGAGCCGATACTGGACCTGCTACCGATACCCGGTATCCTTCTCTCAAAGATCATCAGGAATCAATCGGCTTCATGTCGTCGATATTATTTCTGTCCTTGATATGAATTCGTATTGACAGGATATGCCAAGGGCTCCCTTCGTATTCATGGCAGGACCATGACAGCCCTGAAAATGCGAGTCATTATTTCCGTCACGTAAAAGAAAAAAAGAAAGGCAGCTGTCATACTGACTGGAGCGCAACGGCTCCTCAAGATATTTCCCCATGCGTGTCTAGGCTGCTCGCTTCTCTCTAGCGTGCTACTAGCGCCAGCCCTCCAGAAGCTTCGAGGCGCCACTTGGGCCGCGCTTCGTAGACCGCCCCATGCTGTCAGCGTTTTTGTTGTTGGGCGAAGGTGCTTTTGAACACCAAGAAAGTACACCAAGTCGAGTTAAATCCACCCATTGTCTTTGTCTGTATACCTCTTATCTGTTTTTGTCTACATCTTGTCTACCTACCTACTTTGTATTCTCTGGGCTCTTCTTTTCCGTGTCTCTCTCTGACATCTCTCCTCTTTCTCTCTTCCCATAAAGTTCAACCTCCTCTCTCTCTCCTCTCTCTCTTCTCTCACATTTCTGCAACAGAGACAAATTGAGCCAGCGCCAATTGAACCTCTCCTGTCCCTCCCTCGGGCTTCCAGACTTCAACCTCGAGTTCGAAGTAGTAAGATCAAGTCCGGCCTCAGACAATGGTCCTAACATGCAAAAGAAGGGCGCCTCGAGACCCCAATAAGTTCCCTACTGCCCAACTGTTTCTTCTTGTGAGTCCTGCCTGCGCCCTGTCCTGAAGCTCAACACTTCCGCTGACTTTTGACTTTTTGTGCAGGCTATTGTTCGTCTGGCAGAACCGATCGCTCTCACTTCCATCTTCCCTTATGCTTGGCCACTCGTCAAGAAGTTCGAGGTCGGCGATGAGGAAGACGCTTCGTTCTATGCTGGCGTACTCATCTCGGCATTCGCCCTGGCCGAGTCCTTAACTGGGATGTACTGGGGCGGATTGTCAGATAGAGTTGGCCGAAAGCCAGTACTGCTTGCTGGGTGCACTGGGACGATGTTGAGCTTGATAATGGTAGGTTTTGCCATGAATATATGGGTCGCGCTGGCCGGAAGAGCGATTGGAGGGTTCTTGAATGGAAATATTGGTGTCATTCAGACAATGGTAGGAGAGTTAGTTACAAAACCGGAGCATGAGCGTAAGCCTCCTTGCCCTAGCAGTGCACTTGTCCTACAGAACTGGTTTGCTGACTTCAGCAACAGCGAAAGCATACTCAATCATGCCATTTGTCTGGTCGATTGGCACAATTATCGGTCCTGCACTTGGCGGTACATTAGCAGACCCAGCCAGCTCGTTTCCAAACATCTTCTCCAAGGATGGGATTTTCGGTCGGTTTCCGTACCTCCTTCCAAACCTCGTCTGCGCAGGTCTGCTTGCATTCAGCATAGTCATTGGCTACTTTCTTCTTGAAGAAACACACCCAGATATGCAGCCCCGAATCTCCCTACCTGACTCAACCTACGTGTCCGACCAAACACCTCTCGTCGCCACCGCAGATGCAATCAAAAAGCCTCCCGTGGATCTGCGAGCAGATGCATATGGAACATTCGACGGCAGTGATGATAGTAAATGGAGACACGCACATACGAAGAAAGAACCCAAAATCTTCACAAAGCAAGTTGTTGAACTTATAATTGCAATGGGGATTTTCACCTACCACTCCATGACCTATGATCATCTCCTCCCCATCTTTTTAGAAGACTCGCGTGGAGAGCCTTACGCTACCTTGTTCGCGCACGCCAAGCCTTACCCAAGATTCAGCCCCTTTTTCTCGCCTGGAGGTCTAGGACTCAGCATGCAGAAAGTAGGCGTTATAATGTCCATCAACGGCGTTATTGCGCTCTTCGTTCAAGCAGTAATCTTCCCCTATGCGGCCCAGATATTTGGCATTCATCGGCTGTTCATATTGGTGAGCGTATTGCATCCAATTGCCTATGTCATCATGCCATACCTCGTCTACCTACCACCCTCTTGGCTGATGTGGGGCATTTATGCTTGTCTTACTATCCGCAATCTGTTGTCAATTCTAGCATACCCAGTTCTTCTGATATTGATCAAGGAAGCGACACCCAGTCCTTCCGTGTTGGGGAAGATTAACGGTCTGGCAGCTTCTGCCGGTGCGGCATGTAGGACCATTGCTCCCCCTATCGCGGGTTACCTCTACACCTTGGGATCTAGGATGGATTTCACGGGTCTTTCGTGGTATGGGAGTGCGTTTGTGGCGCTTGTTGGTTCGGTCCAATGCTTCAGTGTGAAGCGGGCCAGGCGCATTGATGAAGAGTCGGACACGGAGTCGTCACGATCTGTGACGGGGGCAGTAGTGAACGATCACCCCTTGGTGCAGGATGATTCTAGGTGAAAGGTGTACGTTTCATTCTTTTGTGGTGGCATGAATGTTTAAGATATAACCGGAAAAGGATTTGGGCGCCTAAGAGGGAATTGGGATGGGAGGGTACTCGACGGTTCTGCTCGCAATAAATTTGCAAATATATATGGTCATGAGTATTGGCGTTAAAAGAGGGCTGGGAGGTTGGGATGGTATTTGTACATAAGTATAGAAAATTGACATTGTTAGAAAGAGCCTCTCCTGGCAGCCAGACAGTGACTTCCACATAGATGCCTTCCTCGAGTATAGGCCAGACACAATCCAAGACGAACTCTTCAAAGTAATATTGCAAAAATCAGAGACATTTCAATCATGCGTTGAATACCAAAATCGTGGCTAAATCTCTCAATTCCGGGTTTAATTCAAAGAGGTTGTGACTCCATTCCCGTAGCAGTAGAATATGAATATCAGACAGGGGCAACAATCGTGATATAATTACCACCAAAAATTACCAATAAACTCTTCTTCCTCCCTCTCCTCTACTCAAATCCATCCAATCCAGCCCGACCCCACTCACTCACTCACTCAGACTGGAATATATCCAAGCTCCTCACATCCTCCAACCCATCCAGCAACCACCTCCTCCCGCTCTCAACCTCCAACAAATCCCCCATAATCTCAAAGCTCTCCAAGCCCAAGCCTCTCCCCACCCTCTCAAACAACCCCGCGAACGTCCCCTCTCGGAGATGCACCCCTCCCGTCGCCGGCTGATGCGGAGTCCTCACCCCCGGCCCGCCTAGAACCACGGTTTTCAAGCCAGCGTGCGCAGTCAGGAAGTCCGCGAGCTCGTCCTCGGTGCATGCGATGCCTTCCAGACGCAGGCTGCGCAGGTCGCGGAGGGGAATGTCGCAGCAGGCGCTTAGGAGGGCGGAGATGGAGACCTTGGTGCGGGATTGGAAGGTGAGTGAGAGGGTGTGCAGGTTAGTGGCGCGGTGCAGACAGAGCGCGAGGTTCTGGCATGCGGGCTCGTGGTGCAGAGCGTTGGAATCGTGGTAGTCGAGCGTGAGAGCCAGCGAGGTCAGGTGTGTGAAAGCGGGCGAGATGGAGGAGATCAGGGGCCGGTTCTGGGCGAAGAATTCGAAGGGTAGACGGTCGTGGGAGAGGGTTTGGATGGTTAGGTGGGGGAAGAGGCTGATGGCGCTGAGGAGGGAGGTGAAGCGCGAGGTGGTGGGGATACGGGGGAGGAGGCGGGTGGAGGGGATGCGCCACATCTGGCTTAGGAGTTCGGGGCAGTCGGTCGATGGGAAGGGGAAGTTGGTCAGGCTGACGGAGATGTCTTTGAGGTTGGAGAGGGAGCTGAATGCTTCGGTGAGTAGAGCCAGATCACAGACTCGAGGGAGATATTGCTCCTTGAGAGCCTTCCATCGGTGATACGTCGACCACGTTTCTTCCAGAGTGAACAGCCGTGACTCGTACTCTCGCATGTAGTTCAGGAAATAGGCGTTATGCCGTGCGTGGTACTCATTCATTTCTCCAAGGTTAAAAGTCAGAGACTGGATTCTGAAGGAGAACTTGGGGTGCGCGGAGAGGTTGATAAGACGCGTGATGTCGTCGCGGTAGGGGAATGTGGTGAAGGAAGGCGAGACGAGGTATTCCGCCCCGAGAGACGCCCATGATTTGGAAGTGAGACGGATGGCTTTCAGCTCTGGGCGGTCCAGGAGCTCAAGAAGGGTCTGCCGCAATTCAACTGGGAGGCGATCCATGACTGCGAGGTTGCTGAGGTTCGCTCCTCAGTTCTGTTCATAGGCTTGCTGAAGTTCTCTCCGATAGCCAAGAAGATGAATGAATAAATGGTCAGGCCACTTCCTTCTGATAGCCACGTCTGTTTCTCCTTAGATGACACTTCACACTCAACAATTCTCAAGATCTTGAGTTGGGTTAACTTCCTGGGATATTCATAAAATCATCAACGGCGTAGATATTGGTGGCGTTCCAAGTATGTCAATCTATCTTCATGAGCAAAGGTCTTTGAACTATATTGGATGGGATCGACTTCACTGCTATATTGATTTCTATTGAGCTGAATATGAAACCAGAAATGATTAATCAATGATCAATAGAGGATTCCAGAGTTCCATTTCCCCTTCATCTCGTCGATTCGGTGAGAATGGTGGAAGTATGAGGATGACGATGGGTATAATCGCGGGGTCAGGGAACAAGCGGTCGCAAACGTCCCGGCCTCGGAATATCCTTTGAAATCAACCATCTCCAATTCTTTCCATTCTTCCAGGCTACCCCATCGTACCCCAACCATGTCTTCCCCCCTTCAGTAAGTCCTTCCCCGAATTCCCCAGACCTCACACAGTCTCGGAGAATTCAACTAACAATCTAAAGATCCTTCCGCAACCTCCCCCAACGAACGCGCATCGGTGTCGGTCTCGCCTTCCTAGCTTGGGGCACAATCGGTCTCTATATCTCAGATACCGCGGAAAAGAAGCTTGGCTACGAACCTACTGAGAAGGACAAGGAGGCCCTGGATGCAGTCGTACCCAAGATTACGTTCGTGGACAAGGAAGATGGGAAGAGCTGAGTGAGGCCGCGCAAACATATTTGGGGGTGCGTTTGAACGATGCGAGGAAGGATCGTGCCTAGACTTGGGAACTTGTGGATGTGAGGCATATCAAACGACCAGTTGAAGAAAAGAAATCTGGAAGACCTGGGTATTTGGAGAGAGCTGGCCGTGAGACCAATTGCTTCTTGCTATATGGAGCGCCATCCGATGCCGTGTTTGAATACGACTAAGCGCCTTTTTTCTGAGGGCAAGAAGTTCCAGCAACCATTCATAAAGGAATGAAAGAACATTAGGTGAAGGAGGAGTTATAAGTGACGATATGTTTATTGGTTGTTGCTCTATGATCTCTCAAGCTCGCAACAGTTCCTCCGAGCCCTGTACAGCTATTGACGGCGGACATTCAAGGAAGGGTCTCTGCAATGCGGTCGAACCCTTGAAAAATACGGAACTTCGGGGGAAACAAGATAGATATTTAGAAGACATGCTACTCGATCATTCTATAAAGCTGGGACCCATTTCATTGTGCCAATGTGTATTTTCAATTGTTGGCTACAAGCTCGTAGCATGAGTTTTATGCACATCGAAGTCGAAATCGGTAGGTAGTATCAAAGATGCTACTCCGGACACTCATATCAGCAACATCAGCCAGATACAGCCAAGCCATCTAATGCAGCGCCATTCATTTCAAAACACGCAAGTCATATCCACGTAAATCCCCCAATCTGCCGTCTAACATCAAGCCCCAAAGAATCAATCTGAATCCTTCGCCGATGAATGCAATATGCCACCTCTACCATATGAATGCAAGTCAAAAGAACTTTTTTGTCGTGTGTAATGTACCAAGACATGAACTCGGTCGATATACGGAAGGGGAAGAGAATGAAATCAAGAAACGCCCATGCAATGCAGCAGCCCCGAAGGCAAAATCCTCTATAAAGTTGACCGCCCAATCGTCTCTATCATGCCACCCCCGATGTTCGTATGTACGCCAGCCACAGAAGAATCGAGTTGCTTGTTGATCGGTTTGAAAAGTTGGGCCATGTCTAATGTTAAATTCGTAACGCCGTAATCTTGATCAATATCGCTCACTGAACCAAGTTGCTCGCCTCGGTTCGTACTGTCCGTAACCACATGATGTCTGATAGATTTTATCAGATTCATGATTTGGGTGAAGCGCTGGTCTGGGGCCACCCGCGAATCAGACCCACTCTGCATCAAAAATTTGCCAAGGTAGTAAAATGGAGTTCCGTCTCGACAGAATCCGAGCCGGCGGGGATTTTTGGACTGAGGCGGGAATTGCGCCGCCATGTCCTTATCCCATGCTTTCTTCCACTTGTCTAACGCAGTATTAATGCGCTGCAGGAAGTGCTGCATATCCGCCTCCACAGGCGTGACCCTTCCGCTTGTATTATTACTTGAAACACTGCTACCCGCAGGATCAACGTTTCTAATGACCCAATCGTTCTGGCTCATTGGCGTACTTGCCCCACTAGATGGAAAAGCAAGAGCCTGGGAATTCAACTGCGCGGACTCGTTGGACAGTTGCCGCTGGGCGAGCCATAATTGTACGTGAAGAGCATGCACCAAGATGAATTTTGAAAAGAGGTTGGTGGTGCCGGGTTGGAGGTCGTAGACGTTATGCATCAGTGCTTTCAGCGCGGTGTCCATTTCAGGCTGTTTCGATCGACGAGTTCCTTCGGGGTTTCTGTCTCGTGCAGCGACCGGGCCATGCAAACTAAGTGCTTGTGCACACTCAGCGGAAGTTCTCGAGTCCCACGCAGCGTCATCCGCAGGTAGTGGTATTTGAATTTCGTAAGAGTTGAACAATGGCTCAATATTGAAATAGAGTGTCATTGCAACATCGAACAGGAATATCGTGTATAACAGTCGGGAACGTTTCTCTTGCTCTACCCATGCGCTCCAATCAAAACTTGCTGCGTTGAAGTGCTCAACTGACACATTGTGCTGGTGCAGAACACTGAGAGGAGTGGTAGTCATTGGCTGTGTAAGGCCGGCCCTTCTTGCGAACGCAACAACCAAAGGAAATTCCCTTCGAGCTTTCTCGCGCTGCACCGGTGTGCCATGCCAAGTAAAAAGGACCTGCATCATGAATATAGCAGTGATCTGTTCGATTTCCGAATTGGTTGATCCTATGCGCTCGTTCCCATAACTGTTTCCATTATTTTCTTGTAGGATAATTGCATAGACCTCTGAGTTCCTTCCTATTGCAACTTTAGCCAGCTCCATCATCTCACGGACTTGTGATGGTGTCATGCGTTCGGAATAGACGGCTCCGATGCAGATCATTCCGAGAAGCAGGCCGTTATAAGCTTCTGATATGCGGAAAGTCGGCATGTGTATGACGGGGAAATGGCTTTGGAAGCTGCAGAACTGCTCGAGGAACTCCTTTATGTTATCTGCAGAAAGAAATTTCCTCATTTCGCTGCTTCGGCTACTCATTGGGCTATTTGGAGGGAAGCAGAAATAGACCAGGCGGTTGGAGATTTGTTCGAGAGGATCGTCTTGGAAGTGGCAGTTAGGTAAGTCTGAGCTTGGATTGAGGCCGTTGGAAGGGTACACCCCAGGAAAGAGACCATTTGTATTGGCCTCTTGCTTGATGGAACCCTGTGAATTCGAGCCATTGGAAGGATACTGCCCAGGGAAGAGACCGTTTGTGTTGGTATTAGTCTCCTGCTTCATCGGTGCCTGTGGGTTCGAGCTGTTGGAAGGGTAGCCCCCAGGAAAGAGACCGTTTCCAGTGGCCTCCTGCTTAAGGGACCCCTGGGAATTCGAGCCGTTGGAAGGGTAGCCTCCTGGAAAAAGACCATTTGGGTTCGTCTCCTGCTTGATCTGCGCCTGCGAATTTGACATGTTTGGGTTATACGGGCTCATGAATCCATCTTGGGTCGTGGGCTGAAACATTTGTGACCACATTTGCGGATCACCAGCAGTTGAGCCGGTGAAGACTGGCACTGTGGCTATTCGTCCGTTCGATAGATTCTGCAAGTCCGCGACGGACTGCGGCTGCATGGTGTTGCCGTTGCCGGCGAAATCATAGTTCTGACTATATGAGTGACCATTCTGACCGTTGGGCATACTGAATGCGAGTGAAGGATTCATACCGGGAGGCATGGTACTCGCTATTCCTCCAGCATAGCTTTGATCAAAGCCTGCTCTGCTCGAGCCTCCTGGGCCGGGACCCGTCATGCTTCGACCATCTCTTCCTCCACCTGTACTAAGTCTCTTTAGACTATTCGATCGGGACAACTGCTCCGCTTGCTCGTCGGTCAGGCTGGAACTCGCATCGGGCATGCTTCCATCAGGGATCACTCCAAATGGATGCAATGCCGGGTCAGTCAAGTTGTTCATGCCGTTCGAACCCATCATCTCGTTCTCATTTGACATCGAGGGCGTACTCTTGTGAGGTCCTGGATGGGACTTTTTCAGATGCGCTTGCGCGTGCGATAGATGACTCGCTCCGGTGGGATTACCCCGACGTATGGAGCATTTCTGGAAATGGCGCTTCAAAATATCACTGCGAGAGAAAGTATCTCGGCAAAGAACGCACATGTACGGACGATCTCCAGTATCTGAACCTTGTTAGAGTAGGAATCTGACTGGAAGCAATTACAGGACTTACGACGAAGCAAATGACGCTTCAAGTGTTTGGCGTGGAGATAAGTCTTCGTACAGTGAGGACAAGGAAATTTTCCATCAGCATCTTTGGCAGGGATCATGGCATTCTTGGTAGATCCAGTACCAGTTGCTGTAACAGCTGGTCTGCCTGGAGCACTTGGCAAGATCCCTCTACGTCCTTGGGAACCTACAACATGTGTCGGCGGCTCAAGGTTATCTAACATAGACGATTGAGAAAGCATGTTTGGTTGACCATACGGCGAGGACATGGCGGATTGCATATGCTGTAAGCCATTCGGGGGCATAGGCCTCAAAGCCTGCGGCATGCGGTTTTGCGCCGGTGCCGGAGCAATAGGCTGAGGATGGGACATTGCAGTCGAAGACTGGGGCAAGATTGAAGACGACGTGCGGTACTGTTGCGACTGTTGCTGATAATTGTTTGCCGGCATCATCTGGTAGCCCCTTGACTGCGTCCCCATCTGTGGAAAATTTCCTAACGTATTTGCAGATCCAGGCGTATTGGGGGTGGCGGGTGTCCGTGGCGTGTGGGGTGCGCTGCCATACATGTGGATTGCGGTATGCTGAGGCTGGAGGGGGGGTAACGTATGGGGAGGGAGGTTTGCATTGTGTTGAAGCTGATGCGGAGAGATGCCGGGAAGGGACGAGTAGGGCGAATTGTTCGTGTTCATCGGATTCGAGTGGTACTGGGAGGCGTCCATAATCAAACAGGTCGTAACAGGTCTATGGCTCGAGGAAATAATGATGAAATCATTCGAATCGTCGTCAACAGCGTCACGGACTTAGTACTTGCTCGCAACTCTCGCGTCAATTGGATCTGCCGTCGACGAGGCAGAATCGCAGGACTTCCTGATACCGGCGACGAGGCCAAACGAAGATCGAGGCCGAAAACCCTTTCCCGCCGGACAATGCACGAGGCGCCGTGTTTTGAACCCTCCCGAACGCGTGACACGCTACAGCCCGAATGCGAGGAGGCCAACACCGGGTGGCAATGGGAAGACCTACGACAATGGAATAGTGAGGCCTCGACGCGTGAGGGTGGTGGTGAGGCTCAAGATGGTTGTTGTTGGAAGTAAAGTGGATCCCAGCAGGTCTTTATCCGTGCAAGTGGTTCGAAAGATGGGCTGAAAAATAAACGCGTGGTGGGGACTTTTCTTTTGCGAATTGAGGTTGCAGTTGATCTGCAGGGTCAGGCCAAACTTCTGCCACAAATCCGCCGTGTCGAACGTGCCAAGCTCCTCGTCGCGCTGAGGCCGGATAATTGGACGGTTTTGCAGGATGGAGGGGTGGTGGAGTTTGCAGAGGGGTGGAAGTGGGAAAAGAGGAGGTTGATGAAGGCTTTGCAAAGGATATGAAATTTCACGAGGGAAGAAGGTACAAGCCTTTCTACGAACGTCTCGGCCGCCGCCCTAAGGCTAAGGCATCCCAGCATCCGACGTTGTTTATTACTCAGTGCGGTGGTAGTCTACGGAGCAGGCGAGCAGGCGAGGACAGCACCGGAATAACAATTCATAATAAAATAATAATAATAACAACACTAAGGGTCGCAAGACCGTTAATACCACACCCGCCATTTTTGCTACTGGACGGCTGCGCGAAACCCGCCGGCGCTGCGAGCGTGCCATTGGCGCGGATTTGGAGCGCGCGTCCAATCAAGCATACAGTGGCCGCCGGGGGGGCAGAGGAGAGCCGTGAGCAAGTGCAGCAAAGTGCAGCAATAGCCGGTGAGTGATGACGCCCGCCGTCTCGAAATATGACGACTCACCTGCTCGTCGAGTTGGAAGACAAGTCCTCTTGTGCTGTCTGTACGGCTTTTCTCTACGTGTCATGCTCTTGGCCTCCAAGCTGGATGGGCGCCTCGTCATTGTCGGCACGCTCTGCCAACTCTCCCCCCCAAGATCCTGGCTGTCCTAGCTCTCCTAGCTTTCCTAGCCCGTTCGTCCGGGCTATCGCGCGGATGGCAAGGCTGCTCGAGGCTGCAAGCAGCGGTAGCCCGGCCCCAGGGTGCTTCGACGGGGCCTTCGACGACCTCGATGCAGCGTCGACAACTCTTTTGAGTCTGACGCAGGCACAGCTGTACGCAGCATACACGACGGCCCTCCCATGATCATCACCATCAAACAACTGCCTCAAGGCCCAGACAGTTCGCACATGTCTGTCGGCCAGCAAGGCCCGAATAGCTGACTGCCGCTCTCAAGTCCCGTGAACGACTGAGCAAGACTACTGGGCAAATGGCAGAAACTACGGAGCTTGCAATGCGATCTAGTCGGCTGGTATGCCGAGCAGCCAGAGAGGAACCCCTACCGACTGTGCCCAGAGTTGCATGGGACACTGTGTGCAGTACCGTACACGCACGCTTAACGGCCGAGCACGGATAGCCTTGCCCATTAGTCCATTGCGCTGGCAATGCTCGAGAGCTCTGGGAGCCATGGGAGCTATATTGCCGGTGACGGCAAGGCCACATAATCCTTTGCTGGTGGCGAGGAGAAAAGCTCGAGAAGCCGCTGAAAGTTCAGGACTACTACTTCTCAACCTGTCATGTTATCGGATTCGAGAAACACATGTGTGGCGTCCGGCCGCTTATCAAAATTTTACGGAGCACTTCCTAGGCGGCCAGCCACGAGCCAGGCAGGACCCCGCCACCAGCCCGTGGGCCGGAGTGCCGTTTTGGGTCCCTCGAGTCGTGTTGCCATACCCTTTTCGCTTCCTTGACGCCCAAACTAGTGTTGCCAGGGGGTCGGAGGGCTCAAGAGGGGCGAGAGTTCATGTAGTTCATGAGGGAGCAATGCCGATGACCCCCAGGTGCCCTCTTGCCGGTGTTGTAAAATGTACGGAATACACCCAGGTGTGTATACCACAGTTATCACGCACGGAGAAACTTCCCAAGTACCTTTCACAACAAATATCAATCGCCGATCTTTAACCGCAACCTCATCAACTTTATAATGATGAATAATATCTGACGCCACCATTATTTCCCCATTAAGCCATCTCCGAAGGACGTTGCGTAGTCCTGTATGTAACCGCAATTACTAATAAAATCCTTCTGGAAAGTGGCGGTTCCGAGGTATCGCACTCCAAGTCTCCAAGCTTCCAGCACTCGTCTCAAGATTTTAACCTTCTTGCCGACGAGGCCTATATGCGGTGATCAATGGGATGATCGTCCCACGAACTCATCAAAAGTCTCGTGAGTCGTCTTAATTCTATGCCCGGTTTATGAGTCCCAACTTCCAAGACCCAGGTCTCCTAAGAAGGTTTCAGAATACTTTCCGAGAATTCCCCTTACTTCAATGTACGCTACTACGCATGCAGAGCAGCGAGCAGGAGAGGCAAGTATACACCCGTACCAAGAAAGTCATATGATCATTTCAAAGCTTGGGAAGCTTGGAACTCACTAGTGGCTTCCGAGGCTCCGAAGGTCCGCGCAACTCCGTGATATCAAAGCGCCTTATACGAAGCTTGTTGAGAAGTTTGCAAATGGCCTTGAAAATTTGAGAGAGAATTGTGACGATAGGCGCTGATGAATAAGAAAGTTGTAAGGACACATGATCGAACTAGAGTTGCGATTTGCAACTGTAGGTATATACTCTGTAGCTCGACAACAGCATTTCTTACTACATACGATACTACTGTAGATAAGATGAAGACATTGAAGAGGCTCCTAATTCGGTTTGATAGTCCCCAAACTTTTCACTGGAACTGGCGCCGGATCCCTAATCCCTACCTTAGCTTGAATTAATCCGAGCATGTTAGAGATTCGCGTCGCGTCTTCCCACAGATCTTCAAGTTCACTAACTTTTACTACAAATTACCTCTCATTGAATACTCAACCGATTATGTCTGAATTGAAAAGCTACGTCAATTGAGTGTTACTCTTTAACTATACGTACTCGAAATTACAATGAATGGTGGTGGTGTTGAGTTGTACAGTTTTGAAAGTCGTAACTTCATCTTCATGTCGTTCGTAGCTCCGTGGGGGTATAACGTATGCAGAAATGTAATACCTAATAATATCCTGCTCTTTTAACGGTTGTTTTGTATGTGTGTAACCCAGGTACACGTGAAATATCAATTAGTCCCGTGACCTGTAACCAATCAGAGATGATCACATGACTAAACTTAGCGCTCTCTCTTTTTCATTGATCAACCACCATCCCATATCAAGATGTAGTGGTAATTGACGGCGTCGATATCAAGAACCAGAGCAATATGAAGCACCTATCTACTTGCGTATTGGTCAGAGAACTCAGAGGCTTATGTTATAATCACCACCTGGAGAATTACTCCATATACTCCGGTATATAATTACGATTTACTTACCCCTACCCCGAAGTGGTTGGCGGGAATAACCACTCACCGCCACCAATTCTGGTGCCGGTTTAAGGGAGTCTGAAGCCAGCGAGTCATGTTGCGTCGCTTAACCATATACTATAACGCAGACTTACTCTATAGGTACCGCGGTATTCATAGGATGCTAAGTACCGAGGGTTATATCTCACACAATTATCTCCCTACCTAGGTATGTAGGTACTGTACCTCGGGTCGAGTCCTTGAGTTATGTTTGTTCAAACAGAAAGATTTTTGCTTTCGACGCGATAGTAAGGTGTGGCATAGGAGGCACAAGTTTGTACCCTTTTTGAACGCAGGCTGTCCTACAACACTGTGGAGGAAGCAAATACGCAGAGCTGCTATCTATCTCTATGTCAGAGGCCAGAAGCCTGAAGGTCATAACAGAGCTATAAGGTTTCTAGTCCAGAAGCTGGTAACAGTCAAGCAAACACAAGTGATAGTTGCATTGTTATTGAACCCAAGAATATTTTTGCTGCACAGAAGTCCGGTCTCGTCTCTGGGGTAAAGCAGTAATCTCTTACATCGTCATTATTCGTTTATATTATCTGAATTCCTGCCCGAACATCATCCCTTGAGAGTTATCATCGTACATCATTTCTTTTGCCCACCTTCTGCCGCTCGCCCCGAAGCCCCACGCAGCCTTTAGAACAAATCTCAATTGAAAGAAATTCCGAGAAGACAGATTAGGATGGGTGTTCTATGATTCTTGCATTGCCATATGGGGAGAGCTATCTTGCTCTTCGATGTGCTGGGCATCTTGTCCATATCTTGATTACTTGAAGGGCAGAGAAGCACCATTGAAGACTATTCCCGCTGTCCGCTGTCCGCTGTATTCATGGCTACCAATCCTCCAAGGCTATCAAGATGGCTTACTAAGATATAGTAGTTACCACTCATTCTCAATCAACGTTATAGTCACGGGATCTCAGAGGATGGAAACGCTTATACCAGGCACGACTACCCCTATCAGTGTATCTGTCATCGTTTTGTATGGCTCTGTTTCCTTGCTCAGCCCGGTGTCCGAATCTATCTTCTTCCTCTGCTAACACACTTTCTTATTTGGATTAACCAATATCTTCCTATTCGGCTGCCCAGCCCTCAAGTACAACACAAGTTTGACCAATCCGACCAATGCTGTGTCCGGAATATGGCGCCGCAGCTGCAGCGTCCGCCTTCTTGCTGTGATCGAGACCACCACCATGTACTTGGCCAAAGCCACTAGTTGCAGGAGCCCAGTGCAGCTATAGAAAGGGCATTCTAGGGAACGGTTTCCAGGCAAATATTGACAGTTATCCGGCAGCTTGACTTTGGAAGATGAATAAGATGATTCTTGCGTTAGGAGTTTGGGAGGCAATATCGGGAGACTTTTTTTATCAGCACTGTTCAGGTCACACGAAGTCGCTATCTTCACCCGATATATAGCTAGGGATTGCAAATAAATATATGCATTAACCGCAATATGACCAAACCTCTTGGTGACACGCCGCTTGGAAAATCGGAGTGTTCGAGATATCTCAGTGAGATAATAGTCATCATTCATATACAAGATATACTATACTGCGCCCCATTAATACAGTTTATATACTCATGACGGGGATGTTATTTTCAGGGACCCTGAGATCCTGTTCCCTACCCTCTGTAACCATTTAGAGGGAAAGATGGGTACGGCTTGCTAGTCATTGGCTCAATACGGGGTTAGAGATCCGCATGGGGGCGGGCTTTAGGCCTCCCGAAGAATGTGGAAACGTCGGGTGGAGATGCGACATGCAACAAAATCTTATCAGGAAGATGGCGTCGCTGGTTCTGTGTAACTTGGAGTAGCTGGAGAATTATGGAGACTGCCCCTGGAGGTTGAGAACTGCACATATGGTTTAGGGGTGGAGGCCGCCGTAGACTCGCCTACGGTGACCCGTGAATTCATCAATCCGTGTCAAAATATTTCCTGATTCGCGAGGAAGAGTATCAAAGTCTTCCATCCGGCCATTGACTGTCCCCATTCAAGATGTCGACTTCTACTGCTGTGCGGCCTGCGTTGAGGCTTCTCTTGAAGCCCAGCAGAATACAGCATACCCCACCCACCTTCCTCCTCCCGTCCCTGCTCGCCCCGACTCAACAAAGTGCTCCTTTCAGCAGCACAACATCAAGCCTCTACCCCCGAGATATGAATCGTCAGCGAGGTGTCTCAACTCAGCGCCGTACCGGTCCTCGTCAGCCGCTTTCAGTCTCCAAGACCGAGATTCCTAAACCCATTCTTGATCCTTCGAAGCGAGCTAAGGTCGAAGTCGACGAGGATCATGGTCTCTGGGAATTCTTTCACAGCAAAGAGAAGCCCATGAACACACCCGAAGAAGATTATGAGCATGGGAGACCGTGGACCGTGGAGGAATTGAGAGGGAAGAGCTGGGAGGATTTACATAGTCTGTGGTGGGTTTGTTGTAAGGAGCGGAATAGGATTGCGACAGAGGCATATGAGAGAAACAGGTTAGAGGCTGGTTATGGAGATTACGAGTCTCGGAGGAGGGATATCACTGTAGGTTCAAGATTCTAGGAAGCCTGAGGGATCGTTGCTAATCATTTGGCTTAGGTGAGACGGACACAGAGGGCTATCAAGCAGGCTTTGACGGAAAGGTATTATTCCTGGAGAGAGGCGGAGGCTATTGCGAAGAATGACCCAGAAATCAACCTCTCAGGTGATGGCCCCACGTATGTTCCACGGGACTTTCTCGAGGAGGAAGTGCCTGAGGAGCACGAAGATACTGCAGCAGAAATCCAACAAGAAGTCAAGGCGGAGACTAGGCCAAACGCATAGAAGGAGAGAAGTGTACGAATGGGAACATAGATCTCGGGTCCAGGTGTTGGCACACATGCGTGCGATGGAAATCAGTTATTACAGCCAGTTATCACAGCCATCAGGGTGGTTGGGGCCGGAATTATGGCGTAGCGCAGCTTGGGTCTCGAGCTTCTCAGCTGCACATAGACGATTGTAAAAGAACCTGTATCATAGCACTATACATATATGGAGGAAATAATCGCATCATATCGTATCCCAACGAAGAGATTACGGTGGTATATCTTTCCCTTGACAGCATGAATGTTTCGAGACAAGCGCCCCTCCGTTTTGTTGTGACCGCTTCTTAGCGAGGCCAATTATCCCGATAACATCCCCAGAGAAACCCAAGTCTAGCTAGCCCCTCTCTCACCGATCATTTGACAGACCCTTATTGTTCTTCGTACCTTGCTTCTCCTAAGTTCCTCACCTACCATCAATATGGATGAAATAGCCCCCGAATACGATGTTGTTGTCCTTGGGACTGGTATGCATAACCCCGCATAGAGGGGCAGGTCGTAGCTAACATGAATAGGCCTGACGGAGTGTGTTCTTTCTGGGTATGCAAACTCGAGGGGAAGCTGCAAGTTTCTGCGCTGACTATCTGCCAAGTGTCTTGAGTGTTAAGGGCAAGAAGGTCTTGCACATCGACAGAAATGATCACTACGGAGGGTACGTTTCAAAAACACCTTGGCCATGTTAACCAAGCTGACAGCTGGCAGCGACGCAGCCTCGGTCAATATTGAAGCTGTGCGTATTTTTCCCAAGCCCTGCAGATTACCTCTGACCTGTATCAGCTCTTCAAGAAGTACGGCAACTATAACCAAGGCGAGGAGCCATGGAAGAAGTATGGACGTGTCAACGACTGGAACATCGATCTCGTGCCGAAACTCCTCATGTCCAGCGGGGAACTGACAAATATCCTCGTATCCACCGATGTTACTAGATACCTCGAGTTTAGACAAATAGCAGGAAGCTTTGTGCAGCAGGGCGCTGGCGCCAAGGCTACAGTTGCGAAGGTGCCCTCGGATGCTGGCGAGGCCCTGCGGTCTTCGTTGATGGGCATCTTTGAGAAGAGGCGCATGAAGACGTTCATTGAGTGGGTTGGAACCTTCAGTGAAGATGATTCTACCAGTCATAAAGGTAAATGTTGCCATTCTTGTAGCGATACCCCCACTAATGCTGTCAGGTCTCAACATCAGGGAATGCACAATGAAAGACGTATATGACAAGTTTGGACTTGAGGCTACGACCCGAGACTTTATTGGTCATGCAATGGCTTTGTACCAAACTGATGCGTACCTCACTGAGAAGGGCAAAGCCCCAGAGACCATCGAGCGTATTCGTCTATATGGACACTCTGTCTCTCGATATGGGAAGTCACCATACATCTACCCTCTTTACGGTCTCGGAGAACTGCCACAAGGTTTCGCGCGACTGTCTGCTATCTATGGTGGGACTTACATGCTCAATACCAGCGTTGACGAAATTGAATACGATGGTGCGAAGGCCGTCGGGATCAAAGCGACGATGCATGATAAGGGCGGTGACAGTGAACCAATGAAATTCTCTACGAAGGCAAAGAAGATCATCGGTGACCCATCTTATTTCCCTGGAAAGGTCCAGGTAGTTGGACACGTCTTGAAGGCTATTTGCATCTTGAACCATCCGATTGCTGGCACAGACAACAGCGACTCAGCACAGCTAATCATCCCTCAGTCTCAAGTTGGACGCAAGAACGGTGAGTACTTAAGAGCATGTTCCGACAGGTCAGATCCTAACAAGATTAGATATCTACATTGCACTTGTCTCCAGCGCTCACAACGTCTGCCCTAAGGGCTACTACATTGCTATTGTCTCCACAATTGCCGAAACCACGTCGAACCACCACCTTGAGCTTGAGCCTGGCTTTGAACGTCTAGGGAAAATTGAAGAGAAATTCATGGTAAGCTACCTGCCTCTGAGTTTAGTTAAAGTACTCATGGTTGCAGGGCCCACCAATTCCCCTCTACGAGCCCCTGGAAAGCGGACAGAATGACAACATCTTCATTTCAAAAAGCTACGATGCAACCAGTCATTTCGAGACTACTACAGATGATATCAAGGATATCTATCGCCGGGCCGAGGGTCATGACCTCGTCGTTGAGGGTTTGAGAGAGGGAACGAACTTGGTTGGTGAGGATCAAAACTGAGAGAAGCGAATAACTAGCTGGACGAGAAAGATAGTGGTCATGGTCTTGGCGGAATGAATAGCGAGTCCTCGGTCTTTAACAGTCCCTCTTTAATATCACCGACCTTTTGAGGAAGGAAGGCTGCGGTCTGTGTGGCTGGCTACTAGGTGAAATATGAGGTTTAGGAGCTACCGTTCTTCAAATGGCTATGCCAATTATGCTACTTGGTTTTTGTTCACTTCCAGAATCTGGTCTTGACTAGACTTACACCAGACTGGAGTGATCATTGGATTTCTTCAATCGTCAAGACACAAGCAAATCTCAAAGAAGTATAGAATTCTCTTATCCTACCGTTTTCCAGTTCAGTCACAGTTTGGTTATCCACTCACTCCCCCGAGATCTAGATCACTTGGTAAACGTCTGCTCTGCCCTCTAACCTCTTGTCTCCATCTCTTTGTAGCTACACGTGTCTGTTTCCTATCTACCTACCTTACCTGTGAAACCAACACAATTATCCCCCCCCCCCCACTCCCCT